TGTCTGTTTGACATCATTCATCTGCCAGAGAGGAGCACATTTACCGCATCCAACCAAAAGAGGCAGTGTTACTCTGCTCTGCTGGGGAGAGATGCATATGGAAAAGGGAAACTGAGGAGAAAGGGGAAAGCAGAATGGGAGCAGGGATGAAAAGACTTGCAGAGATAAGGATGATCCAAGGGCATCTAATAAGGTTGGTGAAAAGAAAACAAAAATTTGGCTAAATGTACTTCATGAAGTTTTCACAGACCGCACAGAGACATGCAGAAAAACAAACAATATTCCCTCTCTTTTTAAATACGTTTTATTCTGCCGCTGTCGCCCCCTAATCAAATCTGATCCTATCTCTCCCCTCTTGACAGGTTGCATTCACAATAAAGCATTTGAAAGCCCATTAGCTCCACTTTCCAGCACCGTAAAGCCAACAGCAACCCGATATCATCAGTAACAGTCCACGGGAAGATGACGGCCAGACGACAAGTGAGATGTGGACAGACTAAAGGAGCTGAGAGAAGGAAGAGATATCGGTGATGGGAACAAATTGAAACAAAATGGCGGGTGTTATGCCGCCGGGAAATGCTTAGGGAGATGTCTTGCGGGCTAGTGGCGAGAATTTACAAAACAAGGCATATCATCATGTAGTGTCTTAGATAATGATCATTGTGAATTGACTGTTGACGGCCGTTTACAGCCAGATCCGAAAATGTTGCAGGTCATGAAAAGATCCTTTCAGTTATCATCTGATAGCCATTAAAGATCACCAGACATGACCTGTGTCCTTAGTCACCACGTCTACATAATGTAGTGTTTGCGAAGCCCTGAGGGAGGCGACAGTGGTTTCCAAGTGAGCCGGCTCCTGCTGCAATCTGTGCTCCATATGTCACTAAGCCCATTAGGGAAACACTAGGTTAACATTACAGCTAGAGTACGAGCCGTTCTCTATGGAAGCAGCCGTGGGTCGACATAAAAGCGGCGTCACACTTTGTCTCCCTTCCTCTCTTTTTCTGGCTGCCTGTAGTAACTAGCCATTGTCTTTTTCTCACCACTACGCTTTCTGAACGGCATCCTCCATTTCCTCGCCTTGAGTAATTTCTCTTTCACTCAGACCTTTTTATGCTTCTCTTCATTTCACCCTCACTGGCGCTACAACCCGCCACTGGGGGCAGTAGAAGATGTCGGATTTTAGGAAAGCATTTAGGCAGCACTGTCTGTCAGCATGGAGTAATGACAGCTTGTGTAAATCGTTACTAGAACATTTGCTAGGTCTCTTTACTGTATAAATCTGTATGATATTTTGAACAGAGGCATTGTAAGTGTCTGTTATGACTGTGTCTAAACACTGAGCTGCCTTTAAGAAGAGAAAAAATTTGTTTTTTAAATTTTTGCAACAGAATGCGTCCCTGTTTTCGTCGAAAAATGACCAATCGCAGTGTTCCCTCCTGAAAAGCAGGAAACCAATATGGCATGTTCACCTAGAGGTCAGGTGGAGGTCAGTGTGGACTGTCATGCCTCCACTCAACTCCCCCTCCTCCCCTCCCTCCTCCTCCTCCTTCCCCATTCCTGTGACAAAGAGAGCCAGTTTGGTTGCCAGGGAAACAGGCTTTTTCCATGGCGATGTTGGAACACGTGGGAAGGGCAGGGCGGCTTTGTTTCGCCCTGTGATGAAGGATTCTCCCCATGCATGTTTAATCGCCAGACTTATGGTCCCAAACCCAACAGCCGAGCCCATCTACCACAGCCTGATTATGTTCAATGGAGCTTCTGACACTGTCATTTTGCCAGTTTTATCACGCTGTGCAGCTCCCACCGCGGGCACCTTAGCTATTGTTGCACAGGGTTCCTGATGAGTACAGCTGAGACCACAGATAGTCAGACCAAACAAGGAAGGCACACATGTGTCTCTGTAGCAGTAACCAAAATATGCCTGGCCAAATAAACACTCATTTTATATACACACACACTCTGAAACATACATGAGATCGGGCACACAATCCTTTTTGTCTTTTCTCGTATCTCAGCACCCACCCACCACTGTTTGGCTTAGCACAGTGGGGAAAAAAATGGCTGATTACTATGGCAACGGTGTGTGCCGTTCTGCTACAGCTGTGATGTATGTGGTGACACTTTTGACCCTGTGGTGAACTCTATAATGCAGGAGCTGTGCAGAGTCCGGATAGACCCTTGCTGCCCTGCCTATCCTGACACTATAGTGTACCATATAGGTGTACTGTTAGCTTTATAAGAGCAGGGCACATGACAACATATTTTCCGACAAAGACCCAAGCAGACAAGATCAGAGCTGCATACCTTTGTCATGGAAACAAAATAAAATCTCAACAAGGTCTTCATCAACACCAGTTTGCTGTGACAACAGAAATACCCGGCATTAAAGGGATTATATGTTTTGTGGTGAGTGTACATGCTATATAATACTTTGTTTACTTTGTAGAGACACCTTTAGTTACATCATGCATCAAATTGCTAATTATTGGACAATCCTATTCACCTTTAGCATTTACCATAAACATTTCAGTGTATTCTTGTGCCAAATATTGACTGCAGCCGCAGGGAGGAGACGGATATCTGTCACATTCACATCCATCTAAAAGGGAAAGGCAGTCTGTTTTGGAGCCTAAGAGGTTTGTTTGGCCCTAACATGTTTGTTTCCGACTCACCTCTCAGTTATGTATGTCTTTTATTGTCACACAACACTTCTTCAGAACCTCTGTTGGCATGCCATTTCCACTGACATTTACAAATCACACACACTGTCTCATGCATAGAAACGGTCAAATGCACACAGCCAGAGCCTGGATGTGCAGGTAAGCACACAGTGCCACAGATAGTTTTCTACAGTGATGTGCTTGCACACATTAGGGAAAACGTGCATTGTTGTGTGATAAGACAGAAAAGGCATGCATGCCCCTCCCACCACCACCATCAACCATACACACAAACACGTGCCATTGCAAAAACACTACACACAAAAACAAGGCGACGCAACACAAAGCAATACTATTGCACACAAGCTCTCTCAATCAGCACTTGTCTCCTGTCTAGTTGGTTTTGCAGAAATGTAGCACTACTTCCATGTTTCACCACTTGGAGTGCTGCAGCTTTGCAAAAAAACCAGCGCTCCCAAATCTTCCACAGCTGCTGCTGCCTCACACTGAGTTGCTGTGGAGCAGAAGAAGGGGAGCTGACACCCAGTAAATGTAGACAAGCAGACACCTTCTAAATCATTCACATTGGCTTTTTTTATTAAGAAACAATTGGTTCCACATGGTACCAGACGCATAGCGAACATATATAATGTGGGACGTACAGATAATGCAGACAAGTGGCTGTGCTAACACCAAAAATATGTTCACAAAGAAAAAGTGCTGCTCTTAAAATAAATCACATTTTCAGTGGCTTAGAAGACGACAATCACAAAGAGAAAAGAAAGAATAATGCACCCTCAGTTACAACACAGAGCAATGCCTGAGCTTTTATAATTTTTGTTACAGTCACATAATGTTACTTATGTAAACTACCTCATTCGCTGCCAAGAAAATGTTTTCTTTTGCTCCGGCAAGTGCAGAGGGAGGAATTTTCCACCTTTTCAACAAAAAAGTGAAACAGAACTAAAACAAAAGGGACATTCCATGTCCTGTTGCAGCTCCTCGGTCCTGTTTGTCCAGGTCACAGTCTGGGAGGGTCATGACCCTCTAAGACACACTCAGACCTGCCATACAACTGAGAAGTCAACCTGCAGGTCTGGATAGAGAGAGAGAGAGAGAGAGAGAGAGAGAGAGAGAGAGAGAGAGAAACAAGGACGTAGAGAAAAGCAAAACATGTATATACTCTCCATGCATGTTCTTTATTTATGCACGTTAGAGGATAATGCTGTTTTTAGTTGGACCTTATTTTTGTTGGCTTGGCCATCGGTTCTATGATAATACTGCATTCACCATGTTAATAGCTGCAACTGGGGAACATGGCAGCATTGCTCAAAAGAAGTCAGACAGTGGAAAAAAACGTCAAGTTCAATAAGGGAAAACTCTTTACTCTAAGTTTTTACTTATCCAAATTGAATGTGTAAGGGTGAAGGATATTGTTTGTTGTACAGACTGAGGCAGATTTAGAGACTTTAGAGATTTTAATAAAACTAACTTGACAAGTTGTCAGACATTCATATAGTTTTCTAAGAAAACTCTTCATGCCTTCATTACACACAATACAACTCAACCAGCAGAAATTTGGTCAGAGATTCAGGTGTGTTATACTAGTCCCAGAAAATTTAAGATAAAATAAAAGCCAACGTTAAAATATTACTCAAACTAGACTGACCTCTAGTTTTACCTCACTTACTGTATTTCGGTACACACAGTTTTTCTGTGCAAAAGGAAATTATTACTGACATTATGGGTGAGCTCATCTTGGGTTTTACCCTTTAAATAGGGTTTTGGTAGTCTTGCTGAGCCACTGGCTTGTTTGCAACCTGTCTAAACAATCATGTTTCTTTCCCTGTCAGATTTTAAGTGTCACTGTGTTCCCACATCAGTTCCTTTGTTGAGTACAGTGTTATCAATAAAAATGATGGCAAAGACTACAAAAATAACATCCATGTTGTCGTAACATGGAATTATCCTTTAAGCTGTCTGTCACTCTGCATGTATCTATATATACGTGGCCCTGCCAATCAGGGTCATCACATTTGGGGACAGTCCCCTCCACCTGCCACTGATGTTAAGCGGGTGACCTTTTCTCTCAGCTAATCCACACCAAAAAGCCCTAATTACTGCTGCCGCTCCACCAACCTCCCCAGGCCCAATAATCAATACAGCCGATTGGCCGGCGGATCACCCCGTCAGACACCAGCGCTTTACATGTGACTCAGTGTGTGTGTGTTTGTGTGTGTCTTAGACGGATGTAGTAATAGTGTTTTCATGGGAAGCTGGGATGCAACAAGAAACAACCAACTGAAGACATAAAAACGAGAATACGGAAAAGAAACACTGCACAAGTAACAGCAAGGTAAAGAGAGGATGCCTGTGAAGTAACCATCACACCACATGCACACACACACACACATTCCTCCCTCCAACCTGAATGTTGTGACACCAGTTGACCTTATTGAGCTGCTGTTCTGTAAAGAGTCCCTGATTAGAATATCTTCCCTTTAACCTTTAGCAGAGTGACGCGCCTCCCGAAAGCAAAGAAATAAGCCATCGGTTTATGCAGAGAGGTAAATGTATTCTGTCGTTATTTCATTAAGCTGTGGCATTTCACTAAAAGTCCTGATTGCATTGCTGAAAATGTCGCCTTCCAACAATACTTGCCTTTTAAAATTTTTTTAATATATTTTTTGGAACATGCAGGTGTGCGCTCCTGGAGATATACTATATGATGAGCTGACAGTGTAGAATGTATGCTGCCCAGAGCACTCAAGCTTTTATCACTTCCCTTTCTCACCTGTACGTGTGTATGTGATGCATCTATGTGAGCAAAATGCCCGAAGACATTTCGGGAGCAACAAAAGGCCAGACACAATGTTATCAGACAGAAAAAGGAAGTTTAATTTTAGATGCAGCTGCATGAACAGAGACATATCTGTGAAAAAAAGGAGGCAATATCTCTCTCTCCTCCTTTTCTTCTCTTTCTTTCTCTTTCTGTCACTCTTGCTGACAGTCTTTGATTGTATTAGACAAGTTAATGAAAAGCAACACAGAAGAAACGACTAGCAGCCCTTCGTGCAGCCTGCACCTGCCAAAGTGTATGTCTGTGTGTGCATACCTGCCAGTGCCTATGTCTGGATGTCTCGAGTCCTCAGGCGTGCCAGCCAGTCAACAAGATGATGAGACAGTAAGAGAGTGATGAGAAGCTCGTCCATACCTTCAGGGCGAGGTCCATTCTGTAGACATGAAATGGTTATGAATATATACTATTCCCAAACTACACGCAGTAAGAAAGCTGAGAGAAAAAAAATAATACTTAAATAAAAACATTGTACTGTATTTCTAGACCCCATTATCACGAGCCCCAAGTACAAAATGTGACAGTATTCTAAATTGACTATGCATGATGTGTCTGACTTTTGCATACCAGTCCATCAAAAAAGTTAAACTATTTGAGCTTTTGATAGAGCTACAGGGACATTACATGTCATTAGCTAACAGTCTTATTCAGCAAATTAAATTCACACAGACTGCCTCAAAGGGATCTTAGACTCATGCAGCCACAGTAATGCAAAATAGATGGTTTCAGTGTATAAGTGTGCATGAATATAGGAGAAGAAATAGGTCATAAGATCTGTCTAACGCCCAGCCCAGTGTTGCTAGGATTATGCCTGTATTGGACAATTCTGCACCTCAGGATGTACAAATAAAACCCCCTGATGGTGGAATTTTGTGGGTTTTGCAGAATCATTCAATAATGATGTTCTTGTCTGGCCATAGGGTTGTAGTGTGGTTGTGTTGTTTGGGGACCAGAATGGGGCAAAGGGGGAACTAACAATGGGTTTTGACATTATGAGGAAGTAGGAAAATATCTACAGTCAAATTTCTGATTTGGGTTCCAGGTTAGAAAGCTGAACCTATAAAAGGTGTTGTGTCTTGTGATTTAAGGAAAAGGGCAATATGTGATAGAAACAGCCATCCACCATGACAGAACAACCACGAATTGGTCATAGCTGTACTTCAGAAAGGAAATGCATTTAATGGTGGCTACTAGTTTTTTGTTGGTTTTGTGGTTCATCAAAAGGCGATGGTTCTATTAAGTGCCATGTCGCTACAAGTAATCTCCAAGGAACCAACAATAGGCATAGTAGTTATTATCTCTAGCTACATTTTGTTCATCCATCATCAGTGGTTGCTGAGATGAAATCATCACTGTGACCTGTGGTCAGCTGTGGTTAATCTATCAGCTCTGGCTGGCGACCAGGTCAGAAGGAGTCAATAACTTATTATTGGAGTATCCGCTGCTATTAAATGGCCTGTCATACTCTAGAAGTATGTTGACATGTAAACATAATTTTTTTGATATGCTGTTTTAATTCTTCTATCTACAGTGTGCTGTGATCAGGAAATAGTATTTGATGATGAAATAGGCAGTTCAATCACTTCCAATTTAATGTCTACTAAAGTCTAGAATGCAATTCACCCCGAATAAGATGTGTATTATGGATGCATCAAAAGATATAAATGAATACCATAAATGTACCACAGCTGCAATAAATAAAATTTTTACTGTCCCACAGCACAAAATGAATATAATAAATATGTGGAGGTTAATAGGATCAATAGTAGTGACTTAAAAGTTGTTCTCTGGATACTTATTTCTGTCTTTGAAAACTCATTGCCCAAACTAACAAAACATAAAGTCTCCATATGATGATGTTGCAGGTCAATTTAAGTCGCTACTTACTTATTGACCCTTAAAAGCATAATTCAATGTTTAGAAAACATGCAGGCTCCTTCACCTTATAGCATCATATAGCAGGACAACAGAACTTGAGCCTTACATAGGTTTAAACCAGTCTACTTCTTAAATAAGGAGGTATGGTAGTCCAGTCATGGAACTTCCTAGAATAACAAAGAAGCTCAGAAAGAAAACAGACCATTATATTCAAATTCTAATGTTTTTCCCATTCAGGGTCATATTCTTTGACTCAAGTGGAAGTCTTTGTCTAGTGGTGTCCACATGCAGCATCTGTACAATGAAGTCAGTGAATAAAATGTTTTCATAACCGACAGGCATGATAGCAAAAACTAGAAAAATAAGGCCCAATATAAGCTATGAAAAACTGGAAACTCTATTCAAACTCAAATACTCAGAATGTTCCTATAGGATTGGCAGTGTAGTATAGGCTACATGCCAACAACCTGTGTGCATATATGTGCAGTATATGCACATGTACGTTCCTGTGTGAGAGTGAACGTAAGCCATGCGAGCATATGATGGTGGACTGAAGACATGCAGCCCCACAGAGAGCTGCCCCAGTCAGCCTGGCCTGCTGAGTGAAACCCTGTGGTAATGTTTAGCTTAAGGGGTGAAAAAGAAGGTGAGTGGGGGGAAAGGAAGGGGCGAAGGATGAGAGGATGACAGGGTTGGGGTTCTGTGGGGAGACAGAGAGCGAAGAGAGTGAAGAGGGTAGCAGTTGAAGGAAGGGAGGGATGGGTCACAGAGGAGTGAAGGGGAGAGGGAGGGAAGGAAGGATGAAAGGTCCAACCAGTACAGAGCACAGGAGAGGTCCCGCTTGGTCTCGTCAGTCAGTCGTCTCTCTCTGACACCTGAACCTCCGCTGACCGGGTCGTGACTGCCTCTCTGGCACAGGAGATATCACTAGGGGGGCTGACCTTTGACCTCTCACCTCCTCATCGCCACGACAGTCCTCGCCCCACCTTCTCAAACACCCCCTTGCTCCTTCCCCGCCTTCATTTCTTTTCAGCTCTTTCTCCTCTACTCCTTCGCCAGCAGTTTGGTTACCCGGAGCTTTAGGAACGGTGCTCGACTGATTCGTCACTAACTGTTTGTTTGTTCAATCTGATTCTGATCTTTAAAATGAAGACCCAACAAAATCAACTTTCCAGTAAAATAGATATTTATTTATTTATAGATATTTTTTTGCTGATATAATCACCATAACAGTTTCACGTGAGGGAAGCCTAAGGCCGTGTTAAGACGAACATTAGCAATGAATGACAAAGGGCAGCCCCACATTCATGTCAATTAGATCACTGTGTTGATAAACACTGTCTACATGTTGCAATGGAGCATAAAATGGTTGTCATTGTAATAACTTGTCAGAGCTGGAATCAGTATTGTAAGCAGCTATGCAGTGTTTTGGTATGACAATCCTTTGAACACCTGGATCTATTATTGGAACTTATCTCCTGGATCACATTTCATCGTCTTACCGGTATCTGAAACAACATGCCCCCAGTGCAACGCTCTCAACACCTCCAAAGGTAGGCCCTGTGGAATTTTTGACCACTTTGACCACTTGTAGTGCTATAGAGCAATTACTCCCCCCCTTTTTATCTGTATCATGCACGAGTGAGCATGCAGGTAGCACTATACACACTCCTGTTGTCGGTTTCAAGAAGACTGCTAGCTAGATTGCATGGATGCAAACGATGCACAATTTAAAATATTTTAAAATCTAATTTGCAATCAGATTTGTTTTACAAGAAAATGCATTCAACCCATTTGCTGGAACTCAAATATACACACAATCTATTTTGTTGAGAAAAACTTACTGTTAACATAACTTTTGTTTGTTCACAAAAGATTCCATCAGCTACCTTTAATGGTCGACTATATCTCAGCATTGGCCTTGCCAGGTTCAAAGTTATTTAAAACAATAGAGGGCATGCTGGGCCATTTTCACAATATCAACTTTAATGCCAGCACTGATGTGTTTCATCACAGTGCAGTCATATAATTTAGTTTACAGCAAAAAAAGTCCAATACATTTTAGGGCAAAGGACTTCTTTAAAAGATACAATGTAAAGACACACATTGTGACGCTTACACACGGATATACAAATTACACTGCCTCAACCTTACATGCACTGAAAGGCAGCCTTTTCAGATGGCAAGCTTTATCGTTAGGACAACACACACACACACATACACACACACATATACACACAAATATGCACACACATATATCCCTGGAGAGTCAGGCCTAATCCTGGGTTTACATTGTTAGGACAACAGGGATAATCCTGCTAACAGGGTGTTTATCTAGAAACTGCAACCGCTGAATCCCCAACACACACAGTATTGACCCAGAGAGAAAAATAGCAAGAGGGTGAGAAGGCAAAGACAGAGAGACAGACTAAGACGGGACAAAAAGAAAAGTGAATAGAAAAAGAGAGAATTCGGAAGGGGGGGTAAGAAATGACAGTAAAAGGTTGCACTGGAGGAAACTCACAGACAGAAAGAGCATGGGGAAAGGGAGTTGGAGGAAGGATGAAGAAGGTCTGTGCTGTCAGGTATGCAGATGAGAGTGTGATGGCATCAATGCAGGAGTGGACGCAGCAAGTCCCTCAGGACCACACACACCAGCCAGAACACACACCGAATGGCACACCAAAGAGCATATAAGCCTACATTAGAGATAGAAAACACGGACACATAAAACAGAACCCACACATGTCAATACAATAAGCTAATAAGGGTCAAGATAGAGACTTTCTATGGCCATGCACATATGAACTTAGAGGAACTAATCTTTAAAGTGACAATACATAAGAGAATTTCTTCCTTTTTTATTTTAAACATAATTGTCAATGGGGATAAGTCTTTACTTAAAAGTTGTTTTTTGAACTGAACTCTCACTTGGGCCTGGGATAGACTGATGACCTGTCTAGGGTGTACCCTCCTCTTAGATCAGGACATGTTGAGAAAGGTTCTTCACATGACCTTGATCAACATAAGAAGATACAGAAAATGAATGGACAGACCTTCCCAAAGTTCAGCTTTAAATTAAGTATGTCCAGTCCTGTGACAAGTTTTACTTTATGTTGACGACAGCTGTTTTCTCATATGAACTGACAATGGTCAGAGAAACTGATCTGGACATTGTCATGTGACATTTCGTACATGTAGCACACAAGAGGAGACTGTCCGTGTCAGACGCAATCTCACCTGCTGGAAATACTATGTTTGGCATGGAATAACAAGTTAGTGTTGTGTAGCTCCATTCAGTCCACTTTGTTTATTTCCCATTTACAGAGCCAGGGGCTGTGTACAACCACCAGATTTATTTGTATTGGATTAGAATCTGACACCTAGAATCATGTACCCCATCTTTAATTTGAATTTGATTTAAACTTATATCTAATAGCTATTAACAAAAATTTACAATAATTTGAGAACACAAGAGACAGAAAACTTGAACACTAAGTCAAAGCATTCAAAAATCCAAAATCACATTGTTGTTAGCTTGAATAAGCTAACGTAGCTCCAAAACAAGGCTAACAATAGAACATTCTTTGATTTAACAGCAATTTGGACAAAATTTAAAATGATGGCTACTATCTGCATAGGCTACTTTGGAATCTTACCTTTGTGTATAGTTCTGCATTACAAGGTTACACCGTAAGGGTTAAGAAGAACTTTCATTGGTCAGCATGGGTCGCTTGTGTTTTCTTCTACAAGTTTCTGGTGGGTGTCTTTGGCGCTGGTACACCCGTTAACCCCTTGTCTCAACCGGGAATCCGGCCTCAGTGACACTAGGCTCATACATGATGTTAGTTTTTCCAATGACCTACCATTTGCAGCTATGCTGTGCTTGCTAATTTTTATTTCTTTTCGTATATCTTTGAGGTAGGGCCTCATTAGCTTGAGGGTAAATAATGATAGTAAGCTACTTTAAATCGTTGGCCTAATACAAGTAACATTCAACAGCCAATGAAAAGACACAATGCACCACACATTCATGCATACGCACAAACCGTCTATACTTTTCCCTACAGGGGCTCGAACTTCAGTGGCTAACTGCCACTTTAGTATCTAATGCTGCCTGTCGGAATATTGCGCTGGCTGGCGTTAACTTCCTGTTGGGGGAGGTAAGGCAGGCAGGGGGATATCGGCAGAACAGCGGCAAGCTTTAGCATGCATGTCAGGGCCGGGGAACGCTCCCTGAGCCAAATGCCAGTCTATGGATCGCAGAGGGGACTAAAGATCACATCATCGTCCACCCGGACACGGGTGACACCGGACAGCGGACGTGGGAGAGAGGGGGGACCGAATGATCCCTGCCAGGACGAGCTGTTATAGACAGCCGCTGTCATTACAGGGCAAACATGCACCCTTACGAGTGCACAAACACACACACACGTACACGAGCCGTGACGGCGACGTTATAGACAAGCGCTGTCATTAGAAGAGTCTCTGTGGAGCTCAAATGATAACGAGCGAGGGGGAGTAAAAGGAGGGGGGTGTTGACGGTGACTGTCCAGCTGTCTGCAGGTGAGCATGTGGCGTTGGAGAGGTCAGCTTGCTTTAACACACACACAAAGCACTCTTATACAATGGACACAAAGTACATGCTCAAAGCACATGGGTCTGCATTGCTATTCATTTTCTTTTGCTGGTTGATGCTAAAAGAATGTGGTTTCTGGTGAGTTTAACAATTTTTCTCCAGTACCTGAGTCAGACAATCTTATGTTTACGTCTGTACGTGCATTTTGAAGGTATGTTAAGCCTCACTTGGGTTAAGTCAATTTATTGATATCTATAGGGTCAAGTGGCTCCTGTCGAAAACAGGAAAATACAATAAATGTCTCTAAGAAACTGATGGCTAGTTACATTTTAGTATTGAAATTATTGAATTATATAGAATTCTAAATTCTTCCTGGTTATAAGAAGTTTATAATTTTGGAAAAAAAACTTACAACAACACAGAGTTCTGATACAGTGTGAAAAACTTGTTCAGCTTTTGTACAGGATTTCTATTAGATATACAGGTGTACCCTGTAAAACATGTATATATGACAATGACACTTACAACAACACAACCCAGGTAAAATATTATAAACACTCAGAGCTTTCTATAGTACAAAGGGTTACTGGGTGAAAGTATGGGAAAGTAAACTAAGCTTACTTGATACTTGACACAGACACTACCCTCAAGCACAAACTAATAACTAGCCTCAGATCCAGTGGTGACAGTCCGTTAAGCTTCCTAGAAGTGGCATCAACATTTTGTGCAGGTGTTGCCTCTGTCATCAGATAAACACTCTCACCTTCAACTGTCAGAAATGAGAAACTCTTTCACAAAGGACATAGAAAAACTATATTCACAACAAAATAACTGCAGTAAATGGTGGCCAACATGTCTCTCCATCTAAGCACTTTGCAGTCATCACTTTCATGGTAATGCTTGAGATATGCTTTCTGGCATAATAGACCAATCAGCAGGAGGAGGAAGAAGAGCAGAGATGGTGGGTGCATAATACTTAGTTTAAAAGGATTACAAAAAGTTATTTAAGTTGTCTTCTAAAAGTAATGTGGGGGGGGGTAAAACTCTGTGCTCTGTGCATCTCGTTTGTTTTGATGGATACTGTAATTTTATTTATTTTTATAAGTTAATTGCCCATTTTGCACCAAACACCACTTTAACTCATTGTGCATGGCAAATTACAGAATTCAAATAATTGTAACTAAACAAAATAAACATACAAAACCCAGGCAAATGAAGAAAAAATCCTCACCACTTTGACAACTGGGACTGCCCAATGTTACAACTGCCAATTAATCTGAAACCCAAATAGTCCCAAAAATGTCTATTCCAAGAACGAAAGCCCACTGCTCAGGAGACCAGTTGTTCCAAAAATACACACATTCTCCCTGGAGTTTTTTTTACCTTAATATCTTTTTGTTTTTCTGGTGTGCAGTACAAGATGAAGTCAGGTGATATTCGTCGTCACGGTAGCAATAGTAAACACACAGTTATGTTGTGAAATGGTTTGTGTGGTTAAGTTTAGAAAAGGATCATGGTTTGGGTTAGGGTTAGGGTAAAATAAGTATGTCAGTTGAATAACAGGCTTTCAGTCCAATGGAATATTTACCACTGGGGTTTCAGAATAATGGGCCGTCGGAACAATGCCATGGTACCTTGACAATGTTGCATTTAGGAAAATATGTTGCAAATAAATAAAACTAATTGAGGAGCACATTAAGCAATTTTACACAATATACAGTATATGCAATAACACAAGCAAATATGGAAATACTGCAAGTCAAACAAAACAAAATTGAGTTACAACATTACAACATGGCAGTTTCTGGAGATAGAAACTTTAACACACAAAAATACAATCCTACAGCTCGTTCACACTGCTTACCTGAGCAGTGCGTAGCGGTGTGTCTTGCTTTTTATTTTGGCGCCCATATTAACAGATCAGAGCAGTCACACTGCCCGCCTGAGTTGCTTGTCTCAGCTGCAGCGACGCTTCGCTAGAGAATCAAGGTCCTGCCTTTTTTTTCCTAGGAGAAATGGATGGTGAAAAGCAGCCATGCAGCTGATGGGCTCTCGATGTAAACAGTTGGTGCTCAGGTAGGCAGTGTGAACCAAGGGTAACACTAGATAATGTAGTTTGGTGGTCATTTCTTAAGACATACACCTTTCCATGTGAAGAAGGAAGAATTCCTTGATCTGATCATCTGACAGAGCATGTTTATTTTCAGCACTTTTCCAACACACCTCTTTTAAATGTAAGAAGCTGCATGAAATAAAAATTAATACAAGTTTTATGAAGATGATTACAAGTTTTGATAGTGATGTTTTAAGATGCATTTGGGAAATGAGGCCGCGATTACCTCTGAGGAGAACAGTGCAGTAACATGACTGGAATACAAAAAGAAAACAAGAACTAGGAAGACTTCCACTTGTTTTCTAATGGCCACTGCTGCTCTGTCAGCGTCTCAACTCCAACAGCATGATAAGAAGCTTTTATCTAGTATGTTTACACAGCCATAAACATACAGTCCCTCACAGATTTCACTTAGAATCAATTTGTCTTGCTAAGCTTACTGTTGCGAGTGCTGGAGATTCAAATCTAGACTGCTCTTTGCCTGAAGGGGACAGGCAGCCTATCAGTGCATAGTTTCACTCTGCCTCTCAGACTCCCACAGTGTGATGCGCCTTGGGGCGTGAACAAACGAGAGGCTTAGAGTTACACTAAGCCTTACATCTGTCACTGAAACATCTGAAAATTTTTTACAATAACAAGCTGCTGTATTAACGCTGTCTGTTTTAACATCCCTGCTGACTTTACAGCTGTGTGTGTGTGTGTGTGTGTGTGTGTGTGTGTGTGTGTGTGTGTGGATTTCTGGCATCAAAACACTCACAAAATCCACTGAAGCAGTCAAGTATGGATCAGTCAACTTTGCTTCTGATGGGCGCTGTTCATATAATGGCTCTGAAATGTTTAAATATGTTAATTTCAATTTGTGCTATTAACATCAGAAATGCCCCAACATACCAGTCAAAAGATTGAAGAACTAAAAAGTACAAACAACTTTTGTTCAAAAAAGTCAAAATTACTTGTAATGTAACCTGGTGTGCTAACTCTTGTCATGAACCATCAAAGAGGTTGAGCGCTCCATATTGTGTCAGTTAACGCACAAATTGCTCCCTAATCCCTCCCAGATTGTGTTTCCAGTGGTCTTCTGTCACGACGCACGTGAGCACCATTGCTCTTCCTATGGGGCAGACTGACAGGTGGTTCTCAGGTAAAATGGTGTCAGGTGAGCTCAAACGTCCCGACAATCGTTGCACGTCGCCCCGAGCAGAGTTCACAGCGCTCACACATCTCCAAACTCTCCCTGACATGGAGACGTTTAATCTGAGGTGCTGAAACCTCCTTTCTGCCCTGGAGTTGTATGCGTTTGTGTGACTGTGATTCGGTGTTTCTCTCTGTGATATGTTAACAATCATCTCCCTGAGGCCATTTTAACACGTGCTGCTTCACCTGTCTAGTTATTCATGAGACCAAAGGCTCCGGTCCTTGATATTAAATGCTTGGCTCAGGCTGTACTCGCTTATTGACAAGCACTCAGGAGAGGCTTTTGGGTGTGTTGCTGGCTATGCAGTTCAAGGTTTGGGATTATGTTTTAGTTTTGTGTGTTAATCTTACCTCTTTGGCTCAATAAAACAATTATAAATACAAGCATAACAAAAAGTACAATTGTGTATGAAAATACACAGTATATCCACTATAAAGTGGCTGGCTTTTTCATCTTAGAACTTAATTTTTTAAACAGTAACGTAAATATTAGCTATGACTGCCTGTGACAAATGATGAGACTACGAAAGAGAACCAAAAGAAAGATAAAAGAACATGTGAATTGTTTACTTTTATTTGCCAAAGAGGACAAGAATCAGACATATGCAAATTATTACACTGAATAATTATACATTATTAATTAATTAATTGTTCTAGGTTGACATGAACAGAGACAAAGCATTTGGCAGCATGGACTAATATGATTCTTTTTTTAAGATAGTGTAGGGGATTTGACGTTTCTTCTCTAGGCGTCCAGAGCACAGACTACCTACTACTGGATGTGTTAGTTTGGGGTGGGGAGGTGGTTAGCCTCTGTCAAAAGAGGAAAAAGGGGCCTCCCAATAATTCAGAAGTTGTCTTAGTTAGCCATCAGTTGAGAACAAGACTTCTCATTGAGCTAAGCTAACGTTAGCTATTGCCTCCTAACCATAGCCTGTCTGCTTGGTAAACTACAATGTCTTGTTTACTTGTTAAGTACAGAAAATATCAATGTGTGGGTGTGAAGGAGTTTGACTTGTTTAAAGGCACTTCTAATGGAACTGTGCTTAGTAACAAAGGCACTGTATCAAGTAATGTAACTAATTAGGATTTTTGCGTAATTAGTAAAGTAATGTAATTAAGTTTTGAATGAAAAATATGTTATGAGTAGCCTAATTATATTTTTAAGTTACTAACAGAGCACTGCTATAGATACAATAGGCAAGAGTAATTGTTTATGGGTGTTTTTAAACAGTATGCCAGCCGTAATTATGCAGGAGACCTTTTTTATTATTAGTATAGAATTCTATTCAGCTGAGATGGTATAGATTAAATGCTTTAAGTCTAAAATTAAATTGTTTTTGATATCTGCTATGTTCATTAAGACATCAAAACCTCTCTATTTGTACACAAATTCATCATGTATTTGTAATGAATTGCAGAATGCAGAAATGTGTTTGCAGATAGTGTTCTAATAATGTTCTTTGTACAATACATTTTCATTTAAAGTTTGATTGTGGCCAGTTATATAAAGATGGACAACTGGCCTGGCATTTTTTTCTAACAGTAATATGGTAACATTTTTGTGATTAAATAAAATAGGCATGGCATGTCCTAAAAAATACCTCAATAGAGCACACATGTACATGTAGATAAAACATGTAGGTCCAACATAATTACATTTCTCTTTTGAAAAATTTGAATATTGAGTTAAATTGTTTTTTTTCTTTTGTTCACTTACTCAAATGCCTAAACAGTTTCTGTAACTTCCATATCTACGTCTGTCTTATTTGTGCCATTCTGACCTCCACAGCTTTTTGATTAGGATGTTCCTAAGTGGTTATTCACACACCCCTCAGACTGAGGGGTGTGTGTGTGTGTGTGTGAGAGAGAGAGAGAGAGAGAGAGAGAGAGAGATGGGATGAACAGCCTGTCTGTCAGGTGTTGGTGCTCACATTAGTCATGTAAAAAACAAAGGATTCTGGGAAGCAACAATGGCCAACACAAAGAGCATCCAGACTCCACTCAGTGTCACCCGATCTGTTGTGTGTGTGTGTGTGTGTGTGTGTGTGTGTGTGTGTGTGTGTGTGTTCGTCTGTGTGTGTGTGTGTGTGTGTGTGTGTGTGTGTGTGTGTGTGTGTGTGTGTGTGTGGTGGGGGGCTTTCTTTGGGGGTGAGGGCGCCTCATTGGCTGCCATGCTGGGGTCAAGCTGAGGTCAGGACATGTGTGATGGATGGACCTCTGTCTCTAGACCACTGCCCTGCTCCCAGTCCTCTCTCTTCCTCTGGGCCTCAGACCTGCTAAGGCATCCTGGCTGTGCTGTCGTCTGTTCACATGTCTTTGTGTCACTCGCTTGGCCAAGCAGGACTGCTTCAACAGACAAAAGGAGCTTAAAGAAAACTGCAGACAACTCCTTGAGGTGAGTTCTGCTGTGGGTGTAAAGTCAGCTTCTAACTTACCACCTAATCTCTCACCTTTACTCACTCTAAACACTACAAGACACTTTACTGTTCCGTTTCATCATACACATACCCAGGACAAACAGCCACTGACCACATGATGTCATCTCTCCTCTCTTTCCCCTCCTTCTCTTCCTCCATCATACTGTCAATCCCTCTATCGGCTCTGTCCCTTTATCGGCACATGGAGACGCACATCTGTCGATGTAGGAATTCATTTTGGCTGCCAGTCACAACAGGGGAGTGGTCAATGAGCACAGTGCCAATACCTGGACTACCCTGATGAGTGACTTCTGTCTGTCTGTGTTTCTCTGTCTCACTGGGCTTCCAGCTATTTCTTTGTTTAGATTTCAAATGCATATTCAAAATGTGTGTGTTTGTCTGGGGCAGAGAACCATAGCTGACCATAAACAAACCACAACTAGTAAAAGCACAGTCTGCTCAGTGCAGGTGTCACCATAGAGGGCCCGAGGACACACTGACTATGTTTGTGTTCACATCCCTGCACCTTTCATTTGCATAATGTCCTAGGACACCTAGGATTTCTCTATTACAATGAAGAAATGAGGCTGAACCTGAAAAGCTTTGGTCAATAAGGTTTGATGACAATGCCAAATGGATATTTTCCATAGGTGGTACAATGACCCAGGCTTCTGAACTTGTAAAAGCATTTTCATTTACTTCCCTATCCTTCTCTTTTTAGGTAATTGTCTCAGAACGTTATGGTCCTTTCAGCTGTCTTTTTCACACGCATACAAATACACATAAACATCTAAGAACATTTTTAGGATATACTGAACAAGTTCGGAGGCAGAATCATCAGTGTGTGTGGGTGTGTGCATGCGCGCATGCCTTTCTGCATGCATGTACAAACTCATCCCTGACCTTCATATCCTCATGCACCTGTATCTGTATTTGTTTACCAACAACTTCAATATACATACGTTCTATTGTGTCACTGAAATTGTGTGTGTGTGTGTGTGTGTGTGTGGGTGGGTGTGAGAGAGAGTGTGTGTGTGCAGTGGTTCTGTAGTAAATACCTGTACACTCTGAGATGGTGACCTATGAGTCTTGTTGTCAACTCTGCAAAATCGTCTTTCTTTGTCCACTGATAGCTGTTGGAGAAAAAGAGTGTCTTAAGGAATACATACATCATGTAATATCTTTAATTTATTTATTTAATCGGTGAAGGATTTGTCATTAAGCCACAGACAGAAAACTTTATCTTTAACCAATTGCAGCGCCCTGTGAAACAGTATGGATTCAGGTTGAGAATAAAGAGTTAAGGATGTGAAATGGTCCCTGGCATACCCTAAATATAAGGGCTGAATTATAATTAAGATATTATTATGTTGTATAATTTATTACTACAAAAGAAACCCATCAAAACTATACCCATGTGGAGGAGAGAAGCCTTTCAGAAATGTTTTGAATATTGGAGAATCTTATTTCTTTGTCAGTAATGTAATGCTTTTTAAATTATTTCAATTATCTATATTAGCTGGCATTTGGCAAAAATGTTGAAGGACATGTAAAGAATTCAAAATAATAAACAATCTTAGATACAAAGATATCTTCTTTTTTTTTCTCTCGCAAAAAACACATTTTCGATATTGATATTTGAAGATTTGAAATATGTTTCTTAATAAGGCTAAATAAGGCATGGACCTTTCTTGTAATTTTATATCTATATTAAATAGCCTATTACTTTTGTTAAATATGATATATAAATGTATTCATGTTTCAGCTCGAATTTTTAATTGCTGTACATATTTTAACAGCTAAACACTTTTGAATTTCATGTGAAGTAACCTATTTGCATTATTGGTCTTTTATAAAGTTTAAAAAATTAATAATAATAATTTTTGGCGTGTATTTCCCATCTCCTAAAGGGAAAATTATAAGTAAAATGTAGGTTAAAGTAGAATTTCGCTGTTAAAAAATATTTCTAACTCGTAGTTGTTATAAGAGCTCATACAATAAGTTAATTTGGCCGACCAAAGTCAAAAAGTCATTTTTGCATCATGTTGTATTCCCATCATTTCTGTGGCACAAGTGTCTGGTTGGCACAAGGCGCTCGTCTATTTTAGGCCGCATCAAGGACGAGCAAATGAATTGTGCATCTAATTTCTGTGTCACCCCCTTAAAGTCAAAAGCTTTAAACATCTTTTCCTCCTTTACAAAGCCCTAATGGTTTTCGTCAAACATCTGTCATCGTCCATGTGTTTATCTGAGGGCCCTAATGGGAACCATCAGCCTCACGGGGCCAGATTCTGGCGGTCGGACCAGTGAAAACGGTCATTTTTTTTTTTTGCATTTAGCAACGAGTCTGGAGGTGTTTTGGTCAAACCAGCCGTCGGAGCTGGACTGTGACTGCGTTGTTGAGGTGCTTGTTTGCCCAGTGTGGTCTGTAAACTGTTGTTTAGGTGTGGGTGGTGCTGTGACAACAAACTCAAACTGTGACCAAGGATTGACCCCGAGGTTTCTTTTGAGGATCAGCTGCGTTTCTAATCCACTCTGTGTGGCTGCTGCATAGCTTCCCAAAAGTGGGGTCCGGGGACACCCAAGGGTCCTTGAGGAGGTTTATGTGGAACTCCAGAAACACAGTGATATAGACTTTTATTGTATTTACTAAAACGCAAAAATGAGCTAATAACTGTGTCAAATGTGAAGAAAGTTACTCTCTACTAGAACATATTTTATCTGAATTTAAATTGATTTGACGTCTGAAATTGTATCATGGGGACACACACGAAAGAAATTAAACTCTAAATTGCGGCCAAATTAGTATTTATTTGCCCAAATGTTTTCAGTTTCTGTTGCACAGAGGGGAATTTGCAATTGCGAGCAACACAGAGGGACACCAGATGTGTAGATTTAGAGGAATCACTGTGAAAATGTGATATAAGCTGATTAAAATGTTATCGAGGGTCGTAAACAAAATCAAAATTACTTTTTAGAAAACTCGCTGTCATACATAAATATGAAGATTAGGCAGTAAAATAAATATTTTTCAAAACCATTACTACAAAATCTTTTTATGTCCAAATAATTATCATGAGTTTCGATGTGAACTATAATTTGTCAACAACATTTTTAAGAGTTTTCGCCGTGAAATAATAGGTTGTTAAAATGTGTTAAAACAAAATGTTTTAATAGGTTATTTAGACCCGTTCTCGGACTTTAAAACCAGACCAATTGATTTTAAAATATGTATTTCTTTGTTCAAAATAATGTGGGACCATAACAACAAAATAATTACATTATTTTGAAACTGCCTTGTAAATATAATCCATGTGGTTTCCCCGGCCTGTTCTAAACTTTCCCAACAGCCATATGGTATAATGATTTTAAAAATTGGTAAATAGTTAAACAAAAAAAGCAAAACTACTGATATAATAGGCTATAGCAGCTAACTAGGTTTTTGTTTTGCCTTATAATGCCTTACAATCTCCTATTAAAGTATTAAAAACATATATCACATTAGCATTAACGCAGTAAAATTAATTAATTTGCTAAAACAAAATAGTTTGTCATACACAACAAAGAAACATCCTTTTGACGTTTTTGAAATAAAAGAAATAAATCTTCCACCTCATCCTCATCCAGACTGACCTGACAAACACAAACAGGCCCTTGAGCAACAAGTCTGTGTACATAATTCAGTATTTATACCGAAACAACTCCTCTAACAACAGAATGAGGGTGTCTGCAGTGTCCCAACCTCGTCACATGTTTCATACAGAGCAGCCAGTATTCTGAATATGGAGCAAAATCCAATACAACGCATTAACAATATCGAAAAAGAATATACTAGAGGTGAAGATGAATAAAACAGAGGTTGACTACATAACTTACTCTCCTTTTCCATGTTTGCTGGTGCTGAATTACACTGAGCAGCCTGCGCTGCAGCCTCAGCAGGTCTCCACCGCTCCAATAGAGCAGCTCCTGCAGGTGGATCCAAGGTAAAGGTGAACGCTGCTCATTAATCACGGCTCCTTTGGCGTTTTTTGCCCTTTTATGGTATGATGGACTCGCGGCCTGCACACCAGGAATTAAAACAGAACAAGAACCAGGAAGCCTTGTTTTTTAGTTTGAAAGTTGGACAGAAGATATGGGCTACTTATGGACTATAAACTTGAAGTTTTGTTTAGTTATATTTCACCTACAATTTTCAGTTTTTCTTTTTTCTTATCGATAGATATTAATAAATAATATTCAACTTATAGTTTAAATTCATATTAAAGACAATATGATTACTTAAAATTCCATATCCTGAAAGAGCAGATGAACAAATCTGGCGAAAAATAATAGGCTTGCAAAATTGTGTATCTGACTGCATGACATGCAGTGCTGCAAGTTTTCACTGTTCATCCTATCATCAGGTGGGGATGATGACACCTCGGTATGACTTGGGGAACTGAGGAGTTAACGCTGACAGGGCCAGTGGGGCCCCATCCTTGTCAATAGCCTAACCTCGATGTTTTAATCAATAGAGTTTCTTTTTTGTCCTCTCAATAAGCCGAGGGCTCGATAAGGTTGTCATCATAAATGACGCTGACGTCCGCGCTCTCATCTCCTCCGTGGATAAACATGCCTTTATTATGCCAATAACTCTTTACCCCAGGGACGGGAGCGCGCACGGTCGCATATATTGAGATACTCTAGTGGTAAAAAAAAAAAAAAAGCACGTGCGGCTTCTCAAACGACGGGGAAACGGACAGAGCTTTCCTTCCCTGTCTGTAGAATAAAGGTCTTGTGGGCGGATTGGATGGGAGATTTGCTTTAAAATCCTCTGCATAGTCAAGTATAATTCTCCCAAGACTTCCCCTTAGCAATGACACAGAGTAATTGTGTTTTAGAGGTAAACGCACTTTAATACACATGATTGACCCGTAAACGTCTCTCTGGACAAAACATTTTGTATGTGCTCAACTGGATTAAATAGATAACAGATAAAAGCCTGGAACATACATGGCCATACACGACCGGTTCCCCAACTGATAAAACTCAGCGCCCCGCTAATAATACATGAAAGCATTACGCATCATGCAAATCTCACACAATAGACATTCAGACAGTCGCGCCACACAAACACACAGGCCTCAAAGACAGAGGTGACAGTGATTAAGGAGGGTACTATAACAATGCACTCTATAACGATTAATAAACGAGGCAATCTCGTTGATTGTGTGATGCCTAATTGACGACATCCTGCGCAATCAGCCTGGTCGTGGCTATGGCGCACATCTTTGGCACATTTGAGGTATTTGTCTGTGTTTGCAACTTCGTGACTTTACATTGGCACGTTCAGCAGCACTGGTCAGGACCAGGTGTTAGGAAGGTACTGGACATATTTTGCACCACCATGGTCATGGCGCAACGCGTAACGTCAGATTTCAAAAGAACGTGGACACATCAAACATAAAACCATGGCCTACATTTGTTTGGACAACAGTGTCATTGTTCTTTTGAACACAATACACAATATAAAACAAATCTATAACTCAGAAATGGTCCATCGTATTGTCCAAAGTCCCAAATAGTGCATTAACTCATCCTAAATGTCCTAATTTGTCATCCTTCAACCAGGACTTTGGCTTTGATACACTGGGTATGAGCTTTGATATATACAGGCCGTCTGTGGCCTAAAGAGGTAAAGAGGCAGTTGGTTCTCAGTTGGAGGAGTAAGGATCAGCCCCCGTGGAAGACACCGTGGAGGATGTGGGAGACGGAGTAGAGGGGGCTGAGATTGACTTCTCTGACTCCGCATCGTCCATTTTCTCTTGAATCCTCTCTACTGGGTCTGAGGATGGAGCTTTGGCCGGCAGCAGTCCTTCTTTCTCTCTCTTCTTCTGCTTCATCCTCCGGTTCTGGAACCAGATTTTCACCTGAGTCTCATTCAGCTGTAGCGCGGCAGCGATCTCAACGCGCCGCGCACGGGTCAGGTACTTGTTGAAGTGAAACTCCTTTTCAAGCTCCGTCAGCTGTTTGGTGGTGAAGTTGGTCCGGACCGTGTTCGGCTGACCCCCATAACCGTACTCCCCAGACCTCCCTGTAGACAGAGAACCAAATCAACGTGAACTTGCATAAAAGAGTTACCTTGCATGTTCTCACAACACACTATTAGACCTGGGAGCAACTTTTACGCAGCAAGAAGCAACTTTTACGCAGCAGTCAATCAATGTGAGCCAGTTGAAATACATGTGACATATGTCTAAAATAACACTAAAAGATAGCATCCTCTACGTCTTATATTATAAAACTTCAACATACAATAAGAAATATCCCCAGCCATGTCTTTTCCTAATACACAATTATGAAGATGACACAATCAGGAAGGAAGTGTCGGATTTGAAGCGTAAAAATTGAACTCAACAACTTGGCTTTATATGTGTTTATTTTCTTGTGTGTCCCACACAGAAGACATCTGCCGGCGCTGTCTGACATCACTTCAATTTAAAGAGTTTGGATCACTTACAAGGCAGTGTTGTTTACAGACCTAGCACTCGATGCCACTGTTAGAGGCACCGCTTGGCACCCACCTGTTTTTGGTGGGTTCCTCTTGACTTTCATCCAGTCGAAAGTCTGCGCAGAAGATACGCTCTCAGACAGAGGCGAACAGCAAGCCTCCAGGTGAGCTGCGTGCAGGGGTGACAGGGGGTTCGAGCACCCAGGAAAAGGAGTTGTTTGCTCGTGCCCGCCGCCATAGGCAGCGTGGGCATACTGCAGCTGACCCAGGGGGGCGGCACTGTAACCTTGGCGATGCTGAGAGACCATGGAGGAGGAAATGTTACCCGAGTACATCAGCGGGCCGCACTGGGCGAATCCCGCTGTGGAGTCTACTTCCTGGTTGAGCGCGTAATGGTTATAGCTTGTGCAGAAACTCTGGGGTCCATAGCTGGAGCTGCAGGCCGGATGTGCCCCATAGGCAAGACCCAACGAGCTCGCAGTAGACTGGTATGACCCCGGCTGGTGAGGGATAACGTCAGGGGAAGCCCTGCTCGCCATGAAGCGGTCATCGGCCCCGCAGTTGTTGACAGTAACCGCGCAGGACTGGAAAGTTGTAATCCCGTGGTCCGAGTGGAAAGCCCTGACAGAGCACGAGCCACCTTCACCGCTCATCACCGAGTAGTCTAAGAAGGTGCTCATTGTAGCATTGTTCTACCGGGGCCGAGGGACAGTCCGCTCTACAGACACCCTCTGATCTCTTCCTCTCTCCCCTCTTACCCTGAGTGACCGTGCCAACCTTTACCTATACTCTGTCCTGATCAGGGGAAGGAGGGGGCGCGCACGGGCCGATATCAATGAACGGGTGCTGTCACGTGGGCCCGGGTCAGCCAGTGAGGTACTTGTCCTTATCCCCTTAGCCGGTGACAGATTGGTGTTTGAGTGGCTATTTAAATTCCAGGCGCTCGTCGATCAAGGTGACGCGCGTCGCCACTAATGTATTGGCCGAGCAAACAATGAGCTGGGAGGCAGACGGCGGTGGACGGCTCCGGGGTCGCATGAAGAGCGAGGAACCGCACACACGGCGTCTTCCAACCACCCGCCGTGAGCTCTCCCGTCCGGGGAAAGATTAACGTTTCACCCTCTGCAACCTCTCCACGAGGACGACCTGGCACTCTGACCTCAGGTACGGTATTTTTGGAACCGAGAGGAGAATAGGTGTGCGTGCGTGTATGTGTTGGTGCGTGTGCGTGCACGCAGTTGTGCACGTGCCCTCTGTGCGGCTGTCTTCGCCCGCGCATAACAGCCGTGATGTCATGTATAATAGTATCATTCTTTCCTGGATGGATGGATAGCTCAGAGTGTGTGTGTGTGTGTGTGTGTGTGTGTGTGTGTGTGTGTGTGTGTGTGTGTGTGTGTGTGTGTGTGTGCCACTGCCACAGGCTATAGTGGGCTTTCAGTGTCCCATTCCAATGCGAAGTGTTTCACGCTTTAACACTGCGAGGGATTTGCTCAGCAAATATTGTCACAGGGTGACAGTGAGGGAGAGGCAGGACGGTTTCACTCCTGACACATGCAAAAAGTACTTCAGTTCAGTTTTTTTTTTTTTTTTTTAACTTTGTTCCCCATCAAGGTCACATTAGAAATGTTTGGCTGATTTTCTGTACTTGCTGGGAGGTCGCAGGTGATGTAACGACAAGACAACATATTAAACATTAAGATGATGTGGTATTAATTTTTTCTCTCCCAGGGTCATAGGGTCTGCTATCTACTCTGATTTCTCTCCCACATGTATTCATTATGCATGTATAGTGATCAAATGATCTGATAATGCGAAGCCCGTCGTGGAGCTAATGCGCCCATATAGCCCGAGGTGCGAGTGTGGGCTGATTATCCTGTTAAGTTCATCAAATAAAGCTGTTGGAGAAATTAATGGCCACGGAAAGCCGCGCTGGAAAAAAAAGAAAAGAAGTCAGAGCAGGGGGAGAGGGTGCGTGGGAGAGCTGCGGTATGGCAGGGCAACCTCTCACTGAGGAAGGAAAAGAAAGGGGAGGGGAGAAGGAGGAAGGAAGAGAGGATCACATGGAGGAATGAGCGCCCCCGTTGGCCGTATGTTGTAAAACAGCCTAAATGATACATGTGATAGACTTCATTGTGCCGTTTGAGGAGGTAGTTTAAAGTAACTGAGTACTTAAGTGCTCAGTTACTAACTAAACTAAACTAGGTAGGCTACTTTACTTGGGTATGGCTATTTCATGCTAGTTTGTACCTATACTCCACTATATTTCAAAGGGAAATATTGTACGTTTTACTCCATTTATCTGATAGCTATAGTTACTTTTCAGATTAAGAGATTACACTGACAACCTATGATAAGTGTATGAAATGATACATAAACTACCCAAGAATTTAGCACCACATCGGCCAGCTGCATTATTAAAATGCTGCTTATTTCACCTTATATTAGTAATAATAATCCGATAATATAACATGTGACACAGCAGGGGACATTCTGCTACCAATTGATTACTTTTATTTTAGATTTTTTCATTTTGTTGCTAATACTTCTACCTAATGTAAAGTTTGAGTGTGTTTCTGCACTGTGTTACTGCTACTTTTACTCAAGTAAAGCATCTGAATACTTCTTCCACCACTGCTTTTAAGTTTAGATGTAAATAAGACTAAACATAGGTAGCCTGCTAAATATAGACGTGACCGTCCTTTAAAATTTGAAACCTAAAAGTTTCCTATCTGTTCTATATATTTAAAGCTCATGGAATGTTGAAGGAAGTGAAGAGGCGATGCAAACTTCCCACCAGTGCAAAAAAGCGCAGTGGGGTCAATAACACCCACCCCTCCTCTCTCTCCTCTCTGTCTTCCCAGCTGCCTCTGCAACAGTAGTGAGTGGGCGCAGTGGATCATTGCCTTGCCTGGAAACTTCTCTAGGCCTTGGAGCTCGCTTGACTCTTTGTGTGAACACATGTGCGCAGAAAAGGCGCGCTGTCTCGGAATGATTTGGTTATATCGGCCCTGCGGTCAGTCACTTGGTTGCTGGAGTGTAGGAGTGTAGGATCTGCTCCCCCTCACACACGCCTCCGCCTTTTACCCCTATACCCCCCTCCTTGAACACACACACACACACACACACACACACACACACACACACACACACACACACACACACACACACACACACACTCCAGTTAACCAGTAGGCTAATGTTGAGCCAGTCGATGGGCTGCTTATGGCTTCCAGATTATTCGATAAACCGCGGCTGAACTCTCGAGCTTTGTGAATTTCGCGCGCGTTTCTGGATCGATCCGTGCAGGCCGGCTTCGCAACCGGTGGTTGTTTTTAGCCGTTTCTCACACACAAAGCTGCTGTAGTGGAATAACCTATTGAGTCAAGCTGGAAATGAGCTAATAACTGATTCCCATAAGTCAACTCGAGAGCAATACAATAGAGCAAGGCCATTCATAATCCCTATATTGAACTCCAAGACTTTCTCCAGCTCCCAGTAATGTTGTAAAACCCCATCCAAGCGAACAAACTCTCTTGATAAAGTAAGCCAAATATTGCATAATGATCCTCTCCTCGCAGCTATTCTTAGTAAATCGATGTTTGATAAATTATATGTAGTCCAGGAGTAGTCTGTTTTGAGTTTGGGCTACTTTTAACACACGGGGAAAAAGTGCAGCCTCATAACCTGAGCAGGCAGCTACTGCATGCTGCCGCTGTCGCCGAGCCAGAGCCGTGTTTAAACAAGCTATAAAAATGAATTATTACCAAACGCATGCAGAGACTCAGCCCCCTTTTAGCCCAGGAATCGGGGAGTCCCGTATGAAAATGTAAGTGGGGTTTTATTTGTGCACATTACGCCACAATTGGTCTCCTTAATGTCCGTCTCATTCATGCCACGGAGTGATTTATGAGCTCCTGAAGGCAAACATGGCTGGGGTATTTGCCTGCAACATGCACACAATGTTAAGAGCCCTGTCATGCTAAGATCCATGCGGGCATATTTGCTTTTACTCTGCAAAGTATAAAGTTTGAAGGTGGAAAGAAAAATGATCTGCGTTGGGGGTTCTGTAGGCAGCATGAAATGGTGCAAACGTTTCTGTTTAACTCTTAAAAAAAAAAAAAAAAAGTAATTTTAGCAAAACAAATGCTACTATTTAGCATCAGTAATTTGTTAATTATCTGTTAATTTGGAGATATTTAAAAGTAATTCCACTACATTTGAAAAAAAAAGTTTGGTCACCAAAGTTTTAAATAAGAAAATCGGCTGCCTTCGCATTAATTTGATGAAAAGAAGAAGACAGACTGCTTATGTTTCAGTAAACCATTTAAATCAATCTCTAAATATATTATGTTGAAATTAAATTCTACAATGAAAGTAAAATTCAAACATGTATGTGCTCTCACAGCTCACCGCGGACCAAACTATTTATATTCATTGCCAACCTGTTGTTAAATTTGCATAACGTCTCTATCTTTTTATGCCCTATTTCTTTATTCTTTATTTTGCATATTTTCCACATGAATAATTCAAGCAAATAGCCACTCTGTAAATAGAAAAATAAACGACTCAAAACACCAGAAAAAGAGATTGTAGCAAGTTAATTGTATTCTAACAAAAATATCCAAGACGTTGGACGCTATACAAAAATAAAAATTACCAGGTTCCATAGGCCTAATATTGTATAATTATTCACATACACTCATAATTTCCATTCCAAGAGATCAATTTGTTATGGTTATTACAAGTCACGTTTGAGTAGAGCTATTTCAGTGATTTCATTTCATCCTTACCTTGTATTAATCGTCAAGTCAAATATCAACAGAATAAATGTGCCGAATATACAAATAACATCAGAGTTAATACCACCGTAGCCTGATATTTATTGTCCCCAAAGAAAGAAAAGTTACTGTGATTGATTTCAGTTAATAGTTCAGATGCTGCAGGTCGATTGTAGTTAGGGACTCCGAGAAAAAATAGAAACTGTCCGTAGAAATGTCCACGGGGCTGTCCAGAGACTCTGACAAGCTCGGCGAGGCTGCGTCGGAGAGCTGTAGGCAGGAATCCGAGGAGAAAGGTTGAAAATCGTGTATAGAAACATCCAGGGCCGGGGGACTGTCGCCATTGTCCGGGCCAGATGCCGAGCCTGGGCCCATTGTTGACATGCAGCCCGGAACAGTGGGTGACGGGTTGGGAAAATGTTTCAGATTTTTGTCATTGCTGTTCAGCGGCGCAGCAGCAAAGCCCATGGACTCGCCATTGTGGAGCTGCTGTGTGGAGCTGAGAGAATTGTTCTGAAAGGAGCAGGTATCTCTCTCCAGCAGGGCCCCGCTCCGCTCGTACAGGGGGGCCTCGTCGTCCTCCTCGTCGCTGTGGATGCCGTCCTCAGCTCCCGGCCCTTTCCCCTCCCCGTTGTGGTTCTCCTTGCTCTGGGTCTGTCGCTTGTGCTTCATGCGCCGGTTTTGGAACCAGACTTTGACCTGCCTCTCGGTCAGGTCCAGCAGGGCCGCTATTTCCACCCTCCTCGGCCGGCACAGATACTTGTTGAAGTGGAACTCCTTCTCCAGCTCCAGCAGCTGTGTGTTGGTGTACGCTGTCCTCAGCCGACGGGAGCCCCCTCCTCCCCCGGCGCTCTCCACAATCTCAGGCGAGCCTGGAAAATAAGCATCACGGTAGCCTGGGATTAAAACGCAGGACACAACAGTTACATAACCCCCGCTGCCCATGAATCTAACATTATGGCTGTCACAAACCACTAGAGAGTGGCTCACAACTCGCTGCAGCAAAATGGCCGCTGGCGCTACTGACCCAAGCTTGTGGCATGTAAACCTTTTTATCCCAAAATCATTAAAGCATAAAGATACTCATCAGATTGTTTTACACATAAAATAACGTCCAAGCATGAGCGTGGAGCAAACACGGTGCACTATAAAAGCAGTGAGGTCCAGCCTGGTGTGGGATACTAATGAATGCTCCAGCTGCCCTCCTCGGCAACGGCACTCCATCACTCTTCATTACTGTCACACATCAAAACTCTGCTACGGCTAGGGGAATAAATCATCTTACATCACCAAACTTTACCCAAACTTTTTTTTTGTCTTGCTTCATACACAATCACAGCAAAGCAATAACCATAAATAAGAATAAAACGTCTCCATGCGTATTTGTTTGTTAGTGTGTGCTGAGCAATTTTAGCAACAGATAGTAAACACTTTTTCCTCTAAGTGTTTTTAAATCACCCACCTTTCGGAGAGAAGCACACTGGTCCATTGGAGATGGTGGTAGCGGTGGAGGTCGGCAGGTGGTTCTTCTTGGAAGCTTTCTTCTCCCGCATCCAGGGGTACTCCGGGGGTAGGGAGGCTGTGGGCAGCGGGCTGCATCCGTCGGGGCTGTGCCTGGGCCGGCCGTGCCGCGGATGGCTGCCCGGATTCAGGCTGGGAATGGTCTGCTCAAAGGGAGGAGGAATCAGTGTCGGGCGTGAAAGCGTCGAGCTCTTGATTGATGAACTTTGAAATGAATCAGCGACAGGGGGGAAAGATGTCAGGCACTCAGCAAGCGACGGCTGACTATTGATAAAACCGCTCTCTCGCTCGAATTCGTAATTCATCTCCGCTCCCTGAGAGCCGAGGAAAGTTTGCACGCGTATTTTTATAAATGTTGCGGCTCAGCGAGGAAGAGTGAGAAAAAATCATTAAAAAAATCTCCTGGTGGTGTTTTTTCTATTTCACTGATTACGGCCGTATGGGGACCGAGCTACTATTAAACTATTGAATTCATGGAGACAAGGTTGAAATTGGACCGAATTGCCTGTCACATGATTACCTCTGCCCAATGACAATTTGGGGTTTAATCAAAAGAAGCCACTGTCTGCCTGATTGATCCAAAAACTCTGGTGAAGAACGCCTTGCTCAGCTGGGGGACGACTGTTTTTATTTACATCTTTGTCCGCTCAGTTTATCCTCCTCTTGCCCCTCCAGTCCAGTCCACTAAGCTACAAAATGTGTTTTTTAAGAATGGCTGACGCTCACTATTACAGGGAAGGAGCCCAGCCTAGGGTGCGCGGATTCGTGCACTCCTCTTTCTCGTATTGTTTGAGGATGTCAGTCGAGAACGCCCCCACCACACACACACACACACACACACACACACACACACACACACACACACACACACACACACACACACACACAGACAAACACACACACATTTCACGCCAGTAGCTATTCATATAGGCAAGAGTCTGGCTTCAAAGGTGAAAAAACAAATATCCCCCAAAAAACTGATATTGAGGCTTGCGACAGAGGAGCAAACCCCAACAATCCAGTCTGTTCAGTGAGTGTGGACTCCAGAATAGATGTGATTCTTCAAAGATGCATAATAATGAAATATGCAGTGCATCCATTGACATGTGTTGCAATAAAAAGCCCATCCATTAGGTTTATACTGACAAATATGACACGTCCAGACCATTTCATCCCATAACAGTTGTTTAACGTTTACAGATAGGGTCCAGACACTTGTAAACAGATCACACGCATGTATGCACGCACGCTCACAAGCATAGGTTCGTTATAGGCTGTTAATGTTACCTCTATAGATACAGATGTTAAATCTTTTTTTTTTTGTTTTCGTTAATTCCACGAAATGTCGATTTTATAAGGAGGTCATGCGCGACCATATGCGTGGACACACACACAAAGACTTCACTTCTTCATTTTGTGATTGCTAATGTTCTTTTTTTTTCATTAACCAAAAGCTGCCATAATTTTTTTAGCTTATTTTAATATATTTTATAATCCTAATATTTAGAATGGTTTCATCCTCATGTTAAGAGTGGAAAACCACAAGGCTAGAGCAGGGGTAACTGGGAGGACAGCATCTACAATGCTGAGAAAGGCACCTCACTGTATTTCCAGTATCAGTTCTACCTGAAATTGCAATGAAGCAAACACCAAACACGTTCACAATCGACCATTTGCAGCGTTATTATGTAGATGGAAGTGTTATTGAATGGTTCTTCCCCGCAGTGTTGCAGTGGTTTTACAGCCCTTCCAGAATAATCTGTGAAAGCCACATTTGGGATGTTTTTCGTCAAGCAGTACATGTTGTATTTTCATTCATTCAAAAGAAAAAAAAAATAATGATGGCTTAGTGAGTAAGAGAGAGGAAAGAAGAGAAGTGGTAGGCCTCTCTCAGTTTGTTGCTTATATACCAAACAAAGAGTCCTGGAAGCCTGTGCGCGATCAATCTTACTCGCCAAAAGGTCTGACAGCTCGGTGCCCTCACAACACATTTAAGGCTTCTAACTCTCCCCCGGATCAAATGCAGCCAGGAAGCAGCGAGAAACACTGGCCACTCAGATTAGAACCAGTTTCTGCTCGCAGTTATAGCCGAGCTGTCGCTGGAGGGATGTTTTAAAAGATAAATAAGAATCAAGCTACACAAGATGCGACCATTTCCTTTCTTGAGGAGGAGGTAATGCGCCAACGGTGAGTAGGGCGAAGCAGCTTCACCTGGCTTTTATCTTTGAATTGTGAATGTGCATTTACACAACGACATGTATTTGTCGTTTTGATAGTCGTGTAGGTTTGGGAGGGGACCAGACCTTGCGGTGAAGGACAGAGTTGCTAGGGGAAGAGATGGATGGCTTTTTTGGAATTACGCACAGGCTTTGTGTGCAAGGAAAGGAGTGGGTGGCGGCATTTAGTGGACCCCAGCCTGTCCTACACACTTGTCTTTACAGCAGGATTGATTTAGGACCACTTTCCCACGGATGGAATTGCAATGAAACAAATACAAATCTTGTGTTTCAGTCAAAACGTTATTTATGTGCTACCTGTGTATGGCACATATGGGTCAAATCAGTGTCTTGCTGTGTATGCGTGTGCACGTGTGCGCGTGTGTCTCTCAGTGTGTGTCTGTGCTGGATGCAGAAATACTCAGTGCATGAGCCTCTTTTTTTTTTTTTTTTTTTTACTGTGACACACCATGGTTCAATTGTTCTAGGTTTCCCTGCTAACCATATGTCAGGGCTACTAATGTTCATGCCCTCTTATATCAATCAGATTGGGCTGAAAATGATTTCTTGGTGCAAAATCTGTGAGAACAAATAACACTGTAGTTGCACAAATGCATAACATTATCACAAAGAGTAAACATGGTACAAAAATATTTAGGATAATTTGATGAGAAACGTAGAAATGTCTTTGAGCATGCTAAAAAGATGTCTTTCTTCCTGAAATGAATTAAAAGTTTACAAAATAATGTAAGCATTTTAGCTCCATGTGTGCATGTATTGCATTTTTAAAATTCAGCAATACCAAGAAATTACTGCAAACAATGACAATAATATAGAAATAAAAAAAAACATTATATTCTATGCAAATCCTTCATTTGTACAACATACACACACAGAGAGAGAAATACACCGCCGTTTTTAGGCATTTCTCTGATAATTTCCTTTGCTGTAACCATTAACATAACCGAGGCATTTCATATTGAACTGGCATCTACAAATTTGTAGAATAATGATACAAATAAGCCCCATTACGATTCTAGTTCAGCCTGTATCCTTTGTGCCCGCATTTGACTGACTGAACATATCAGGGAATTATTTTTCAAACGATTTCTCATTTAGCTTGTTGTCTTCTTGCAGAATCTCCATGAAGGGCCCGTGTGACATTTTTATTATTATGGATGTGCCCACGCAGATGAGAGGAGGGGAGAAAGGCCACCCGAGAGTTTTCTTCACGTCGAGTCAAGGGGAAGGGAGGAAAAAAAAATCAAGTAGCGTTTATTCAATATCTGAGGCCATTTCCCTTTATGTTATTGAATATTAACTATGGTCCCTGTTTTCATATTATTTTATATGCATGAATATTAAGCAAATATAAATATTTACCAATTATCATCAGTTGTTTTTTATTGAACTACTCAAATGTTTATTGTATTGCCCTCCTATTATAATGCCAATTGTTTAAAAATGTGTTTTTCTTTTCTATTATCACCTCTACAGTTCTGCACCGGTATGAAATATATGAGAACAATAATAAAACGTAATAATTGCAAAACTAGAAATATAGTTTGACATTTTTTTTATTTAAGAAACTGTCTCGTATTTAATTTTGTGATCACGTGAAATGCTTCTGTTGTGTCCAAATTAAAACTACAAGGTTTGCTGCAATTATATTTCAATTCTTTTATTTATTTCTTCGAACTGGAGCAGCATGGAATGTATGACATCGAAAGAAAAGGAAAAAAATGATGATGTCTGTTTCTTTTTTCCTTCAGTAAAGAAACTGCTAACGTGTGTCCTTCTTTCCACCCTTATTGCATGACTGATTGATTTGACATTCGCTGAGAAAAGAAAACACCTCCTCGAAGAAGAAAAAAAATGGAAAACATAGCCTATAATAGCATCATGGCGTGCTGCTGCTGCTGCTGTTGTTGTTGAGGAGCTTCTGCAGACTATATGTATGGGCTGGAAAAGGGCCGAGACGCTAATTTTCCACCAACCGTCTCCCCACACAGAGATCGCAGAGGTGTCAAATAATACTAAAGGACTGTTTTATCTTTACACCGAACAAAATAAATAACATTAGAAAGTCCAATAGAACAACACAAGCAAGGGAGGTTGCGTGTAAGCGCATGACCCTTGTTTCTGAAAATGTATACCCCTCATAAATCCCAACTCGTGGCTCTTGAAGGATCCTTTCACAAGTGCAACAAAATGCAAAACACAATTCTTCAACTGCGGATAAATAAAAGACGGACAAATTCACATTAAAAATGAATAACATATGTTCATAATACCCTGTTTGATTTAAAAAAAAGATTAAATAGGCCTATGCATATACTGTGCCCCCCTCCCTCCCGCTCTAGACGTCCTACAGCCCAGATAAAGGTCTTTGTGAGACAATGACACGAGCAAATAGAGAAAAATTCAAGCAAGTCGTGATTATTTATCCTACGCTACTTCACACATCAAACTATAGAAAACATAAACAAAAGCAGAGAGAAGGTGGGAGCCGTGAGGAGGCGCGGAAACAAAGCAGTAATGTGTCTGGAGGTGGATAAGACAATGGGCGGAGTGATCCGGACAGCGCCACCGCTACAGATGCGTCAGTTTGGGCGCTTCCTGGATTCTTCCCTGAGAGTAGTGCGACGTTAGGTCTGTGTACGTCGGTGTCGGATCACACACTCCGTGATGCTGACTGTTGCCCATTGTGATTGCTCCATTGTAGTCCATGTTTGTGGACGGCGGGTGCGGGAGGTGGGTCAGACCGAAAACGGAGGTCCCAGAGTTGGGCATTGAGTCGATGTAACCTCCGCCGACATAAACAGGGCTACCCTGCATGTGCGTCCCATAGTTGCCATTGCCTTGGAGAGGATGCGCGTCATACTCGGGCGTGGCCGAGTCGGTCCCGGGATACCTCTTCTGGGAGGGCGGGCAGTTGTTGAGGGAGCTGTTCAAGGGAGGGGGATATGACGTGGCCATACCGTATGCATTTTGATGAGGTTTATTGTAAGACGTCGGCGACTGGGAGTCATAAGGTACACTGTTTACAAGAGAATGCATAGAGTTGAGGTATCCTCCGCCTCCTCCACCGCCGGAGGCCGGGCCCACAGGACTCCGAGGGGACTGTCCACCAGGGGAAGGCATCATTCCGACGCCTTTCTGATCCTTCTTGTATTTCATCCTGCGGTTCTGGAACCAGATTTTGATCTGTCTCTCTGTGAGGTTGAGCAGGTTGGCCATCTCCACCCTCCGGGGTCTGCAGAGGTACCGGTTAAAGTGGAACTCCTTCTCCAGCTCCACTAGCTGGGCGCTGGTGTAAGCTGTCCGGGCCCTCTTCGATGCTGCTGACCCCGGAGGACTCTTGTCTCCGGGGCAACTCTCCACTGTCAGGGAGGAGAGGAGGATGTCAATCAGTAATCCATTACACACACACACACAGAGAGAGAGAGAGAGAGAGAGAGAGAGAGAGAGAGAGAGAGATACAGGAGAGTGAGAGTGAAAGCAAAACCGTTTGACAACACGCACACAGCTGATAACAGAAGTTTCAACCATCAAGAGGGGGTGGGGATGGTGAGCAAACAGTTCACTAGATAAATATGCTGTGCTTCACTACTTAAATAGGGGTTTATTATCGACTCTCTCTCTCTCTCTCTCTCTCTCTCTCTCTCTCTCTCTCTCTCTCTCTCTCTTCATGTGCGCGCGTTTATGAGCTGCGAACACATCACAACATTTTGATAAATCTGCTCCCTACTGCAAAGCACAAGGGTTATCATGAGGGCTCCATAAGACAATTAACAATCAATGTATGGACACTGCGCCTGTGGGCACGCTACATTAACTGCAAAGGAAAAGAATGTTACTGGAGAATAATAGGTCAATATCTGATACGGAACCAGGTAACCTCAGATTTCCTACTAAAACATTTTGACCCTCATCTTCGCCCCCGTAGTCACAGAGTAGCACACGCGTAATGCAAACACAAGCATTATGTATTCCTCAGGGTGTAAAGCAGCTCGACTTGCCCTTACTGATACACCCCCCCCGTAAGAGGCTGGAGCTTGGCTGCAGAATAGCAAGGTGTTGGTCTACTTACCGCTGTGGCAGGCGGCCAACACTTAATAAATTTCACTATCTGTCGCCCGAACCTGGAGCAAAAGGAATGCAGCATGACATAACCTGACCCATTAGGTTATAACAGAGATGAAAGAGGAGTTAACGCGAGGAATACCCATGTATGTGGGGAAATCACTTGTGATGTATAATTAGTTATGAATTCATGTTTAAAAGGCTCGTTAACTAGATATATATATATATATAGATATATATATATATATAGACTGATTTGGGAAACACATGTGGAGGATTGTTGTCTGACGTAAAAAACGTGGAAAAACGTACGTAAAAGGCTTTTCATAAATATTAGCACCTCAATGTGTTGTTAAAACTAATGAAAACACCCCCCTAAACATAAATCACAATGAAGGGCGACACACGGCAGTGCATATTAAGCTCTTACTGCAGAAGAGCACATATAACTTAATTAGAAAACCCATACCCATAGATTACAACATGAGAGGGCCATGGGACGTTGAACATCTCCGAATTTTTAGTTTACCACCCTAACACATCAAGTTTTCTAACCAAAAAACGCAGGTTTGGACTTGCATATGTGCGTAAAACGTGCGTTAAAAAAACTAAGCGCCACACTGGTTTGCATTTTAGCTCTTACGCCTACCTACGACCCAATTACTTTTCAAATTATAAGAGTCATAAGAAGATGAGCATCTATTTTAGGATAGCTTTATGCAAGTTAATACCCCACACCCACAGTTTTCTTCTGATTAAAGAGCAGGATATGTCTTGCCTACGTGCAAATATCGTGCGTAAATACGTTTTAGCACATCAACGTGTTGTTATAAACTGCAAAAAAGAAAATATTTAGAAGATGAGCATCTCTCAGTTGTGTCTATGAAAAAAAAAGACACCCAAAACCTAAACTCCCCCCCTCTCCCGACCCACCAAGTTGCCCTCTCATCAAAACAGCAGGAGCTGGCTTGTATGCGTGCGTAAAACGTGCCTAAAAGGTTAGCACTTTTATGGGTTGTAAAAAACTAGAAAAAAAGGAAAACACTTTCATAACAAACATAAATCAAACTGAAGTCACACAACTTTGCATTTGCATTTCTTACTGTCTCTACCTGTATCGTCATTGAAATATTACCCACTAATTTAGCTAAATTAGAAGGTCATGGGAAGATGAGTATCTATGAATTTAAGGTTGGCTCTACATAAATAAACACCCCCAAACACTAAACCCCCACTCTGACCCAACAAGTTTCCCTCTAATCAAAACAGCAGGACAAACTGAAACAACTGTTGTGCGTGTTTGTTTGTTGTCTCTCCGGGAACATTGTGTGATCAGTGGAGATGCATGTTTACAGTAGGGACAGGTCAGCTGCAGGGCACAGGGACGACAAATGGTGGAATCTAGTAACAATGTTGAGGGACTATAGGCCGTCTAAACCTTATAATATTTATAGTATATAATGTTTGTTGCATTATATAATGTTTGGGGTATCAGTTTTGGGATATTTCAGGAAGATGTGAGTTAATCATTGATGAGATACAATAAAAGTAACACTTCAACATATACTCTGCCTTACCTTACCACCCACCCACATCCCCAATGTATTGTGTCCTCCCTCAAATATAACTTATGTAACTTTCTGGTCAGAGGCTATCAAGCTTTATGTGTGTAAGGAGCAGTGCTTTGTACCTGAACTGGAGCTACTGGTGGGTTTCTGCTTGGTGTTCTGACGGGATTCCTTCATCCAGGGGAAAATGTGTTTGCCGCGAGCAGTAGAGGTCGGGGAGCCGTTCTTGGCACTGGGCTGGTTGGACCCGTTGCTTGTGTTTTGGCTGATAGCACCGGGGGATTGTGAAGGAGGGGGTGGGCCTGACACCGGCACCTGCGGTTGATTGCTTTCGGGATGAACCTTAGACTGCGCCGCCTGAATGGCTGTGGTCCTGTCGCAGCTCTCCGCCATCTCCCCCGGCTTCTGCAGAGCCACGGAGCCGTCAGGAGACTGCAGGGAGCAGGCAGGTCGATGGTACTCACTTTCCACATGAGAGGCCCGGGGATATTGGACCTGATTGGCATCATAACTGAAGCCATTTGCGCTTTGATATGGGTAGCCACTGTAAATTGCGGAGCTGTCGTAGTAGGTTGCCTTTTGCATCTCGCCGTTTCCCAATATTTATTTCAGAAACTGACAGGGTCTTGACACCCTTGTAGAATAACATTGGCACCCCGTGGTCACGTGACGCCTCTCCGCCAATGGCCTCCTCGGGTGAACCTAGGGTTACAAGAAGCACTGTGAGGAGAAGAAATGGTGGCGATCCATCTTACTTTTCAATACAGGGCTGACACTGGAGACTATGGAAGCAAGATAGGGCCAACAGTCCTGTAGACTATTACCGTTTACCTTATGGCTTACACAGGGCACAAAGGCACGCACTAACCTTGTATTACCATCTGTGCCAAACCACATCAAAACAAAAACCTTTTTTAAAAGCATTTCAGACTGCCAAATCAATTTTAGGGCCTAACAAGAAAATGCATGACATTTTAAACCTCTGAGCCTATTAACAATGAAACTGAATATAGAGTTACACTTCACAGAACATGGTGTAAAAAAAGGCTGCAGGAGGAAAGGCTTATTAGCGGGTTACCACACAGGAAAATAATATTTCTGTTATATTGTTATTCTACCAACAGGGCTGTCAACACGATATCTAATTTCCTCTGTAGCAGGTGAAACTATTCCGCTTTTAACTCATTTTTGTTTCTCACTGTTAGTAAAAAAATATCTCCCTTCACTAACAGGATAGACCTCAATACGCTGTGCTTTCCCGGCCACCTGGCGCAAAGCATAAACAACCGCATTCTCTTCTTTTTCTTTTCTTTGCATTCTGCAAGATGAATGGAAGGGCCACGAGAAAACCTGAAAAACCGGGCGGGCATCCGTGCAGCTCTATGACCACGCTGTGAACTTTTCCTTACAGGCCCATAATAATGACTGCTGTCGGTGCTGTCTGCGCGGCGGCCCGTCGCGGTGATATATGGGGGTCAGTGGGCCGGGACGGCCTGCTTGGAATGAGCGGCCCGGTAAGCAGCCAAGCCCGGTACTCAGGCGGACAGAAACCTGGGATGGCACAGCTAGAGCCTGCTCCTAAACCACCATAATTCACGCAGGTAACCATGGGGACCATCCTCTAAGAGATTATTGGGGGAACTATAAACCATTATAGACGGGTCATTTTGGAGAAATATTTTATAATGTGACATTATGATGAAATAGTGGAATATTTAATGTAGACTCCCTGTGTTTCAACCACTACCATCATTAAAAAATGGCAAAATGGCAATGAATAATATTAATAATAATAATAATAATAATAATAATAATAATAATAATAACAATAATAATACTTTTAAATGAATTAATCTTTTTAAATACAAATAAAATGTAAACCTCACTGACTTGTTTGGTTCTGAAATCATGCAGTTCTTTTGTCTGCACTCTAGATTTAACCATATGCAGGCGCCCATGGAAGGGGCAGGTAATTTGAAGACTAAATAAAACAAATAAAAACTAAATAAAATCTAAATTATTTGATTGAAACCCTTAATTCAAATTGTAACTCCTGAAACTAAAAGGCCCTGTTGTTATGTGCCTGATAGGAAATGTGATTCCACCAATAACGACGTTATAGGCTGCAGTGAAAATATTACTTTTCACAATACATAGGTGAAGCAGTCCCGGAGCAGACACACAACTAGAATGCATTTTCATTAAATGAGCACAAAGAAATTAAATGAAAATGTCGAGCAACTCTTGGTTTGTGCAGCCGTGCATAGCAAGAAGCAAATCAGTATAAAATGAGCCCTGAGCTTGCCCTCAACGCAGCTAAACCGCAGAGTGAAAGAAGGTGTCTTCACTATATCTGCACTCACGATGACCTGGAAAAGATATCAGAATGCTTCGTGGTGTGTATCTCCAGGCGAGCCACTGCGATAGTCATAAATGGCAGAGAAAGAGAGACAAATGACAGACCTGAGCTTTTCTAACGCGGCGCAGCCTGCTCCACGTTAGAGAAATCTGGCTGCCTGACTGTGTGTGTGAACTCTTCCTGAACCGAGATCTAAGTCATACGGTGATAAATCACCGCGCGACACACAAACTCCGCCATTTACAACCGAGGGAGCCTATTTCTGGCCTGCTTACCTTATCCTCTGACGACGAATGCAGAGCACCGAGCGATATTTTCTCATTCAGCGACGAAATCGATCAAAGCAGTAATCCAGAGGAAAAAGTTTAAAGGCAGTGCTGGCTGGGTGAAGCAGCAGCAGCAGACTGCGCCCTGCCATACACCAGGCATTAGCAGCCACAACAAAAAAGGGAAGAGCCGAGAGGAACCCCTTTCCTTTCTTCCTTTTCTTTTTTTCCTACTCGACGTGGATGGGTAAACCAAGATTACGAAAGCAGGCGTGAGCAGTCGGGTCAGCGAGATAAGAGTTATCTGGCCCCAAGATTGAATTTATCGTCATACCATAGAGCAATGGCCAGGGCTTCATAGCAATATTAAACTCAGCCAAGGCTATGCTGGACTATGTGATCCTTCACCAGTACCATGCAGACACCAGTGAACTGCCCCGAACCAGAGCGTCACCATAGACAAAAAAAATTATGCAAATAAGTAGCGCCTTGGAAAGCCAGTTCAAATCAAGTGGCTCCCTCTCCTCCTCCCCCAACCAAATGAGGTAGTGTGTCTAGAAAAAAAATAATGCATCGTTAGAAATAGCATGAGAGTACACCCTTAAAGTGTTTTAAATCTTTTTTTTTTTTTTTCTTATTATTTATTCCACGTCGTGCAACGGAATTAAGAGCCTAATGGATGAGATGTTGGAGTGAGGGGGAGAATACAAAGGAATAATCAGCCGCTGACCATGCTGCATTTCCATTTTCACGGGACATAAAGGGCTTCTATCCACCGGTTTAATCATTAACCGAATTTGTGCATATGATCCTCAATCTTTTGACACAAGGACGCGCAATTCGTTTTCATTTCAACGCCAGGTAGCTACCCTACTGCCTGCATGGATCATTCTATGAAGAATACAACACAATATATATATTGTTGTTATTTTTAAAAACATACGAAAGCACAACAACTTCAGATCAAAGCCGTCGTTCCACGTATATCAAGGGAAAACCCCACTGGGAGCAGGGTGTGAAAAATGGGAAGAAGTTTCATCACCAAAAGGCAAAGCGGAGGACATTCGAGGAGCAGGGGGAGAAGAGAGCCGGCAGCAGGGGGAATCCCTCTGCGTGATAATGCTGGCTTTTTGCAGCCAAAAGAAAGAATGAAAAAAATAGATTTATGTCCTCTCAGCTTCCCGGGGCTGTAAACACGTCCAGAGCTGCAGCTTCTCTGCTGGGTTCAGGCTCTGGGACAAAATTCAATGACACAATCAAAAAGGTAGAACACACGGACGGCGTGGGAGGGTGAGTGGGACAAAAATTCACGCGTGAGGATTTTTTTTAGCCAACTCGGCTTTTTTTTTCTCCTCCAAACCAAACTAGTCACTTTGTATAATTATTTACTTCTTTGTGTTCTGCTAAATTGCTGATTCGTCTCTCTCTTTAATATGGCCCTGAGCAGAGGGTTAAATGTCAGTGAGGTGGTGGTCGTATATGCTACCGTGCATAATAAGGCTCAAAGCAATGTGGAGGGAAAGGACAAAATCTGAAATGTTGATGAAAGAAAAAACATTTTTAAAACTTGAGTGCAGTAAACTATGGCGGCTACAAGCAGATGGCTTTCGCAGAAAGTAGTTTTTGAAAGGAGTGAGGCACCGCTCCAAGAGCTGCGATTCCCCTCGTCACTTTTATAGTGACAAATTACACCACAAAGACAAGTGGAAGAGAAGGAATTATTGCTCTCGGGCTGGTCATATTGCTGCTACAAGGAAATGTACAAGCCATAAGCTGCTTCTCTATCCCTGCGAGTGCTTTGGTGGGCGTGTTGGGGTACTTATTAGAAATTGAATAAGGATATCGCCATCAAGCATTCATAACACAAATCAATAAAGATATATGGACTTACCGAAGGCAGTTCAAGGTGTCTCGGAGACCGTGCGATGGCCCGAATTTACTTGGCTGGATTTCTGCAATGAGGAATAAATATTTTTCAGAAGATAATTCAACCTTTGAACCTTTTCTGTAAAATATATCAGTGCGGATTTTATTTTAGAATAGGCGCTCTTTATAGTTAGAAAATGTGTTTATAACAAATAAGTATATTGTTATTATGGTTTAGGCCTTATGTTGAAATGGCGCAAAGATACAAAATCTGGCAAATAGGCTAACCCAAATCTAGTAAGCGTTTTCAAGATAGGCTACTTATTTGGGTCAAATTATGTATATTTAACAGCAGGCTCTATGTGTGAATGTATTAATATCTTAACCATTAAATCTAGATTTAAACATTTTGCAACAAAATATCAAGCAAAATATATTCATCCGTAGTAAACACAAGACTATCAAACACAAATAAACATAAATTAAAGCCAAAAAAACCAAGTCCAAAGATTCTCCTCGTACAAAAACAACACTACAACCAAATAATGCTGCATATCAGCGTAATGACACTAATAACATAAAAACGGGCCTATGCAAATAACTTGTTTGTTGTGTCCCTGCCGGCTGGTAGGCATTTTCTCCACAAACGGATCGAATAGTCATTAGCTCTCGCGCACCATCTTCCCCAGGTCCCCGCGCCCATAAATCAAGCAGAAGCGCCGTGACCTCAGCGCGGCCGCGCGGTCCTGGATGGCACTCCGTCTTCCATTATATCCTCGTTTCCCTGGCGGAGCGACACAACCCCGCCGCTTTCCCCTACATTTTATGGAGCTCATCTTGATGTATCATTTACGTACAAAAAAAAAACAAAAACACGTTAAGACACGAGATGTTTTGTTTTATAGGACCGGTTGCACCTTGGAGCGGCCGTGCGCTCTGTTTGGGTTTTTCTTGGAAGCCGATATTTAAATGGCCGCTTTATTTACAAACGGCTGTACAGGCCTATTAATCCAAATGGCTCCTCGTGCTATTAAAGATATGTGATTAGGACAAAATATTAATTATTAGCTGCTCTATTACAAGTTTACACTGAAACTATATGGCTTTGATATAATGTTTAGCATAGGAAGCATACAATGGAACAATGCCTGAATCCTATGGCCCAGATAAACCCTTAAATAGTTGCCTATATAGGTTGTGTGTAAATTCTGCAGGGCTATTTATGCATCGCTTGATGAATCTGAGATATTAACAGATAGGTGAATATCGATAGCTTCTTGGTACCTGTCTATTTTATCGCCCTGCAAAAACCCTGGACCCCTTTTTTACTGACCTCTGCCTCGCGCAGCAATAACTCACGACAGTAATGAACAATCGGCGGAAATACCTCAAAATAAAATCCATCCTCCCAAAGCTCGCGCTCTGACTCTGTCCGCGTGGAAAAACATATCCGTCCGTGACAGCAGTATAATACATCCACAAACCCGGAATCCTCTCTCTTTCAGTCTGCCTCGCTTTTCTTTTTCTCCCCTTCGATAAACAAAACTACAAAGCCCGGACTCCCCTCACGGAAAGTGGGGGTAACCCGCAAATAATCAGCATCATATGGTCAGACCGGGGCTCCGGTTTTCTTCCCCGTGCCATAACATCGCGCAGTATTATGCGCCCCGCTCACGTGACGCAACGTCAACTTAAATCCCTTTTATTTGAGCCCGTGAATCATTAATGGAGGCAGTCATTGCCCCTGAGGAGAAACGGATCAGTTTGGAGGGAGAAAAAAGAGGGGTATGTGACACTGCAATGTATCTGGCAGAGGAGCAAGTCTCTCGCAGAGAAGCAGCTTTTCCACGTGTCGCCCATTCAGAGGGAAAGACTGTTCTGTCAGTTTTAAAGTGCCATATATTTGGTGCCTGTTAGCGGCTGAAAGAGCTAATCCTGCTGTATTATGCAGAGTTTGAAGTGCAGCCACAGCTCTGAGCCAGGCTAAAACCAGACTGTTTTGCACTGCAGCGTGATAATTCGCACTATGTCAGATGGAGAAGGCTTTCCCCTACAAAATACCATTTAAGGGTGGCATAATGATTACACATCACTCCAGCAAACCTCTTCTCCTTTCTCTTTACAACACAGCCAGGGCTACAGAAAGCTTTACTCAATATCGCCCCCCCGTCCTCAGCCCCACGATTTGGTTGTAGTACCACTTAGTCAGCCTCTGGTTCTCCATCAGCAAAAGCCTGCATGCTGTTGGCCAAATTGAGAGAGAGCGAAAAAAAAGTCACACATTTACCTGTCCTACATAAGGAAGGTGTGAGTCCCGGTGGTCGTGAGGGGTGCGTGTCAGTCAGCAGTGAGCGGAAAGTGGAGGTGAGGTAACCAAAGAGAGGCTGCTCGACCCCGCTGATCACTACATGGCCCCCCATTAGACCTACATGCGCTTACGCGTTTCCTATGACCAGCTGAGTGAAATTACAGGTTTGTGCAAAGGAAGAGTTTTGGAGCTCTTGGAGAGGTGTGTGTGGAGGGGGGGGGGGGGCGGAGGGGTAGTTGTACGATGGCAAAAGTGCCGACTAAGACATAAACTTTCTGTAGTTTACCAAAATCAATATAATGTAAACAATTCCTATCTGAAGAGCGTTTCATGCGTGCGCCACTGGAAGATATCTCGCTTCTAGGCACTCCAAGTCTTTGCCAAAAGTCATAGCCCGGAAGAGCTTCCCCTATCTAGGCACCGTTTGGCGCTTGTTTTCCGTCAACACCGAGTAGCGGGCGTGGACAAATCCCACCACAACTATTAATCATTCGGGGCGGACATAGACAGCATCCCACTCCCACATCAGCCTTTGTCTTCTCAAACTACAACTTGAGCGGTAAACTTTTAAAGACAGGAACAGAAGTAGACCTGCTCTCATTAATTCCCCCTTCAGCACTTCTAAACCTGACGAAAAGAGGAGGAATAATCATGATCAGCGTTAAAGATTGAGTTTTTAACGTACAGGTTTTAGAGGCATGATTATGAAAAGAAGGCAATTTCTCTTTCTAAACGGACTGTTTGTGTATGTAATGCGTTTTTTTCTCTCTCTCCTTTCTTCTTCTACAGATGTGGTGCTGTCACCAGGATTATATGGCTCGACATGACCGTGCACTAGAAGCTAATCCCACATTGCCTTTCGCCACCGCACCTGAACTTTTCCCTGACCCGGGCAGAGGCATAGAGAGTCGAGTGGGAAGTTATTTTGGAAAACTAAAGGCCCTCTCAGCTGGTAGCCTACTTTTTTCACGTTTTGTTGCACTTTTTTTTTTTTCCAGATTTGCCCTTTGCTCAAAAAGTAGTAGTTGACTGATTATGTTGTAAATCTCAGCTGTTTTAGCATAAAACAAATGTTTCAGAGTTATTTACACAAATCAAGGCTCCTTATCACTGTCAGCGAAGAGGAGTTAGAGGCGCAGACCTCTGGATGTTGGCCAGACGGCGGTCCATATCTTCCCACAATGTTGACACTCGGAGCTCTTAACAGCCAGGCTTGGGTTACCGATACACTCAGCCGAAGATAACTCTTTCTGCGAGGTTTACACCAGCCAACATCAAGGCTAATGCGAAATTCAACGCTTAAGCTGTCTTGGAGCCATCTCTCACGGATGCAGACGGACTGGGACAGCGTAATTGTTTGCGTAAAGGTGGCTGTAATAAAGCTATTTGAATTTCCATGTTGAACTTAGTGACTCTTTATTGCGAATGTAAATGTCCTCAGATCATATACTGTATAATATACTTTTGTGCAATAGCTGTCAGTTACATTTTGGAGGTAAGTGCAAAACAGTCCAGCAATAATACCACTATTACTAGACTATTACTATTACCACTACTAATACTACTACTACTACTAATAATAATAATAATAATAATAATAATAATAATAATTATAACAATAATGATGATAATAACCACAACAATAAAAACTATTATTATCATTATTATTATTTTAAAGATTGTCACACACCCCGAGGGCTTGTTAATGTTTAACTTGTGTCTAAACTGACTATTGTGTTCAATCTCATTGAAAAACCCTTCAAGCAACAGATAAGCCTTTTGTATTGCTACCGTTGTCTGAATACACTTACTCTCATTTCAATATTCAACAGTAAAATTAATATATTATATGAAAAAGAAAATAGTAAACTATCAAAATCCCTACAAACAGCAACTAAGTTGTGTTCCATCTTTGAAGGCATGCAGTATTCTTGAGGAAAAACTTGCAAACATAAATGCAGACAGTTGTTTCTTTTTGTTATTATTCATGTAAACTTTGTGTTGTGTTTGCATTCTTTCATACCCAGAAAAGTTTCAGCTACACCTCCTACTACATTCTCACCTCTACAGCCACGAGTAGTATCACTTCATTTTGAAACCAGTTTGTTCAAACTGTTTATTGTCATACATTTATTGGCAAAGTGAAGGCTGAATTTTATCATCCTTTTTTTTTTGGATTGAAGATTTAACAAGTTATGTGAATTAGACCTGCTGTCTTGTATCATTTACTTAGAGCTCCAGTGTGATAGAGAGTTCAAGTATCCTTTATATATAACGATTAAGTACAAAATACGTACACATATCGTGTAATAAATGTATTAATACATTTTATTTTTAAAGTCCCTTCAAATATTTTCCAATCAAATTAAGAAACTGGATTTTTGAGTTTTATAATAAGCTAATTATGATATTAACAAGCTCGGAAACTATATAACAATGTTTAGCTGGAAATAAACAGATCATATTACAATTCCCATGAATATTCACCAGAAAAATCACCAAACAAACTTCAACTTCCGGGAAATGTATAGGACTTTTTAAAGATTTCCACAAAAGAGAAATAACCAAATCTACTCACAGGTCATGATGGTCTGTGTCCAGCGGACAGAGTTTTGTCAGGGGACAAGAGATCTGACTCGCACCCTGCAGAGGATCACTTCAAATGAAAATAAGGCAGATTTTCAGATCTATTTCTGACCCCGGGGCATTCATTATTCAACAAGTCACGTGAACGGGCGAATTAAAATTTCAGTACATTGGAAGTGACCTCTATTCGCGACTCAAATGACTTGAAATCTGTAATTTAACTAGTTGGACTTCTTGGAGTCTGCGCAAAATTGGTGTCAATCAGCCTCAACGCCATCTTCTGCACAGCTTCCATGTCTGCAGCGAGGGCTGAAGACTGTATGCAAAGAGGGGTTTAACATTTCTGCAGGATTATTCTTCTTATGCAAACAAACAAAAAACTAATAAATATGAGAGATCCAACAAAATGGATTTAAAGCTTCTACTAAAATAGTGTTAAAATATATTCTGTCTGTCTACTGTGGGAATTTTTGTGAATGTCAGTTTTATCTAATTTACGAGTAAATGCATTACAAACCCATTCATTATGATATTATTGGCATAAATATTGAGCAGGAACCATCAGTGACAAAACATGGCAAATCATACTAAATTACATGCACAATACCAGCATGTTTCGGCTCATATCTGGCCCCTCTACACGGCCTGACAGGAGTGTTTCTGTGATGAATTGCAGAGGAGCTGTCTCTAGGAATAATTTTGGGGAAATTCATGGCTCAGATTCACACCTAAACACCGTTTTTGTTTCCGCGCTGTCTCTGGGTAAATCTTAAATGAGAAGAAAAAGCTCGCGGAGGTCTCAAGCACTGATGTATGGTCTGAACATTGTGTGTGTCGAGGGGTCAGGGGTCAGAAGAAGTGCTCTGAGCCGGTGATTGGCCAGAGCCGGCCGTGTCCCCTGGTTGAACTCTCTATTGTTTGGATGTAGCAGGTAGTGACCAACACTCACACTCTGGTGCACTGAGGTTGGCAGAGATCTTCTTATAATGGCAAGTAAAAACAATATGTGTGGCCGGATACATTGAACAATTCGGGTTTGGTTTGATTCCCGTGCCAGCAGCAAAGCCTGCAACACTAAAGCAGCTGATATTTGCCTCCTAAATTCCATCCATATTTCGTCTTTATCCACGAAAATACTCAAGACATTCATGCACATTTTACGGATTAGAACTCCAGTGTGTTGAGCATTAAACGACATAATGGAATCAGAAATATCGACACTTTTTATACAAAGTGTTGGATATAAGACATACTTCAATTTTAAATAGGTGGCACATATTATTAACCACCTGGAAATGTTGGAATTGTTTCAATATCTGTGAATATTACTTTAAGAGAAGCTGTGTAACTTTGCATCCTGGTGAACAAGTCAACCCCCTCTGCAAATACCATCAGATTTAGCAAATTGATTTTAATTATATTCAGATAAAGTTAAAAAGAGATACAAAGCATTGTGAAAGTGTGGCGCAGTATATTATCTCCATATCGGACACGCTATCGCATTTTTACGCACGCATCTCCAAATACAGGATAACTGATTCCAATGCTTTAAATAAACGTTCTAAAAATAATTCAACTGATTCACACTGAAATGAAAACAGACAGCATGAAAATAAAATGTTTTGCGTTTTGAAATGCAATCCCCAAATTAGGAATATATATACGTTTTTTAAAGGGAGGCATCTAAATGCATTTGCCATGTTAATACGCGCGGCTTCAACAATACATGTTGCGTTCATATCAAATCAGCATTTGCGATGACAAAATATCCAAAGCCAAGTCAGCCTTATAAGTGAAGTACATATTTATTTCACAAGGACAGATTGAGCCTACACTAGCCTACATCACAACAGTCATTACTGAGACAACACATACAAATATTCACAGTTTAGAACACAGCACAACATGGGACGGACCAGCACAAATAAAACTAGACCTTACAACACCAACGAACATAATTCTACTTGACGAAATTCTTTGCTTATTGTGCCTTCATTATGATTTGCCTATGTACATTAAATGTGAAAGTCACCTGGACTACATTCAACAGTAAACCAACCCACTCAAACACACAAACTACACTGTTACTCTGACTGATGCCATACCTCTAAAACATCCGTCTAACAGGCATCTAGAGTCTCGCTAAATATCTTTCAAGTATATTAGAACTTTCCATGAGCAATAATAAAAAAACAAAAACAAAACAAACAAAACAAACAAAACAAAGAAACATAGAAAAATGAGTTCAAACTTACTTTTAACTCACTCAATTTTAACTGTAAAGATACATTTTGATCCAAGTCCTATTGAATGTGCGTTATCCTTCTTTCATGATAATAAACAAATATATAAACACTTCAGTTGCCACCGTGGCAATTAAAGGTGAATTTCAAGCTTATATGAAGAGGGCGAGCGGAGAGGGAAAGGGTACAAAGGACGTGACAGGGGCCCAATGGCAGAGGCAAGGGGAAAGAGAGAACACCATGTGTGTAAAATACTGAGAATCGGTCCATCAAATTCCACTTGTGTTAATTGCCATCTCAGTCTGGATTGGGTTTTTTGTGGGGTGGGGTTCATTCAAGCACTATAGACCCGCGGTGCACGGCGTGGGGACGAGCTGCTGGCCTGTTTTGATCTGCTGCTGCTGGGCCCCCGAGGCTGAGGACGAGGCCGAGCTCGAGGAGCGGATCTTAGTGTTGGGAAGCTTGTGCTCCTTCTTCCACTTCATCCTCCGGTTCTGAAACCAGATCTTGACCTGGCGCTCGGACAGACACATGGTGTGCGCAATCTCCACCCGCCTGCGCCGGGTCAGGTACCGGTTGAAGTGAAACTCCTTCTCCAGCTCCAGAGCCTGCTGGCGGGTGTAGGCAGTGCGGGACCTCTTGGGCACTCCTCCAGTGTAACTGGCATTGACTGGAGGAAAAAAAAGCCATACACAGGCAAGCAAGCAGGTGTTACATGCAGTGCTGATAGCGTTTATTCCAAAGCCATTTAGTCCATCCACTGGACACATTATAAGGTTGAAAAACTATAAAACATTTGTGTTGGTGGGAAATCACAGCCGCCCTGTTTGTTTTACTCTCGGTCTTGTTTCAGTTTACGGACATGACCTTAATGTGGAGATGTCGGGTGTACAAGCACTCGCATCCAGGGACAGATCAAGCTTAGAAATGATTAACAAAACAGCGGGGTTGGATATTACAGTTTGGCTCGGCTCCAGTGGTGGAGGTAGTTTGGGTTAAAAAGCAACAAAGGCACATGGCCCCGACAGACGAACACAGGCAATAAAATTTACGAGGGTCCTTAATTACCGACCCTGCTGCTCGATAGTCGTAAATTGCTGTTGTAAGGGCTGCTACTAGTGCTGCCTCAATAGGCTTGCGTGTGTTCCAGTGGTTGTTTCTCAGTGGTTCTGCTATTTAACCGTGACGATAACTCACCGGTGTTAACGTGGACCTTTTTCATCCAAGGATAGACCACCGGCTCCTTGCCCTTCGCTACGCCGGGATATACCTCACTGGCGAGGCTGCAGTCTTTGCTGGCATTTGCCCCTGCGCCACCATCTGGGGCCGCGGTGAGGCGAGGACCGTGGCTCTGTGGAACCGGTTGCGGTTGTGCGTGGTGCCCGTCGCCGAAATCATCGAGTCCGGTGGCGGGGACGTTACCGTAATCGTAGCCCGATTCTGTGTAGTTTGACCTCGGATAGGATGGCTCGTCGTGATGGGGGAAGCCCGTATCTTTTGGCCGCTCGTAGTAGTCACCGGGGTTGGGGATGTATCCGCTCTGCTGATATTCGTCGCATGGAGGAAAGGAAGGCTCGATATAGTTGGAGTTTATCAAGTAGGAACTCATGGTCATTAATTTGTGAAGTGCAACAATACTAATTTTTATCGCGCTGTCGTTTTTCTGATCTCCACAAAACCCTCCTACTCCCTGTCAAATGTACAAAGTTGCCTGGTCACGTGTGAAGCGCCACCAATCACCGCCTGTCCTGTGGGCATCATGTAAACAGGAACCAATGGAAAGCATGGCACTGGTACCACCAACACTGCTCGCGCTGGCTTACGTTGGTGTTTTCCTTATTAAATCACAGTATATAAAGCAAAGCCAATCAACTAACTTGTTTACTGCATGGGGCCAAACTTATGTGGGTGAGGCTTTTCTGCATGTGAAAAAAAAATCCATCTCCTCTGGAAGAGAAAGTGGATGTGAAATCCAAGCCCTGAGAAAATGCAGGTTATCACAAACAAAAGGCTATATCTACTAGTGACGTGAATGGCTGTTTTTTTGAGTTTAATATGTGTTGAATCCTAATAAAGAGATGAGCAGTGAAACAAAAAAACACAACAATACCAGTCGTATTGTTCTGTTAGCCGATTGAAATGATCGAAAAAGAAAACAGTAATAGTGCACAAGCCCTCTGCAAGCACTGACGAGCCGCTGCTCTGCGGACACACAAGCCTGCATATAAAGCATATGACTTGTGCATCAGTAAAACCCTGTTTTATACCCGTTAATGGCACACACATAAACAACAGAAAACGCTCATCTCTCACGTTGCACAAACCGTGTACATGCATAAGATACATTTTTTTTTTTTTTGCAATTTGCCAGGACACAGCAATCATTTCAAGCTATTTTTTCTCTCTGTTTGTCCTATAACATCACATGAAACTTATCTGGCACTGATCACACACGGCCATCACGTATGATCAGTTATCCCGTGTTAACTGCCTCAGTCATCCAAACACAAGCAGGACACGTATCTTGCATTCTAGTATAAGCAAAGCGTGATATTTTTAACCAGGATGGAGCATTTGTTGTAAGAAATGCCAGAATTGCTCAGCACAGCAGAGACAATCTCACAGCTAATACAACTTTCCAGAATTTGTAAAGATTAAAACCTTTTCCACAAACAATTTGCCAACATTAAAATACAAATCTGCAATATGCTAAGTGAGTCTCTGGAGCAACACTTTACTGTCAACAACCAAGGCTATAGATAAAAACCTTGTCATGTATTGCAACAATGAAAATATGTGTTGAAGAGAAGGGGTACTAAAAGTGTAAAGGGGCAAATATTCCAGTGTACAACTACAACAACACATAATAATAATAATAATAATAACAATTATAACCATTATTGTAATATAATTATAACATTTAATGTCATTATTTTAGAGAAATAAACTGCACAAATTCAGAAACATCCTTCCAGGCTCGCATACATTTAAATATAATGGGGAAAAAATGTATATTTTTTAAATGCATGTTCACATGATAGAAAACATAAAAGTCTCTTACCGTACTCCCCGCCATCAGCCATCACGTCCAGGTCGTGTTTCCTCTCCATGTCCGAGGTGGCACACTGTATCTGTGTCCCTGGAAGATGCAGCAGCTCTTCACAAAGCATATCCACACTGTCCACGTCAACAAGGCCTCTGCATGGAGAAACAAGAGGCCAAACTTCGGAAATATTGAAAGCTTTCTTTTCTGTCCTTTTTTTCCCCTTTTTCTTCCAGGGTCCCCCCTCTATTCTATTCGCTCCTCTAAACAGAGATAACTTCTGCCTGACCCCAACGTGACACCGTTTCCATTTTGTTTCTGATTAATCTTGCCCATTGACAGTCTTTGTTAAACAACAAGGCGTGCCCTTTTTTTCCAAAGAGGCGACATTTTCATATCTGTTAGACGCAGTGACCTGGGGTTCACCCCGGACTTGGACTTCAGTTTTACAGGGTCCGTTCAACTCTGGGGAGTTGGGGGGAGCACTTAGCGCGGGTCAGCGCCCCAGGAAGATCCCCAAAGGATTTTTAAAAATGTGCAAAAGACCTCCAACTATCCAGAATACCACACGTCCAACTATGAGTTCGAATATGCATTTGTGGAAAAGGGGATCTTACAACTACAGAGATCTGCTGCAGATGGGCTAATATTTTTAACACTAAATATAGTAGATTTTTTTTCTTTTCACATTGCTGACCTCCATCACTGAACCTCTAGTTTTTGGATATACAGATGCAGACGACTTAAAACAGGTGAATTTTCTTTTCAGCAACAACCAAAGGGCAGGCCTCGGTTTTTTTTTTCATGTGAGCACACTGTTGCTGTAAGGCAGAGCTACTATCTTGTGTATCTTACAGGTTTTCTCGCACCTAACTCATTGTAAATGGCAGCTGATGTATTTTCCGCCATATATCCACTGTATACGTACGGCCAAGAGACCACCTGAGAGGCAATGTGTCAACATAATGTCAGCGGTAAGATGACTTCACATGATATCTAAATGTACAGTCCACTGCCATTCTATTATATATAGTTCCTGTATAAATATGGGCCAGATCAGCTTGGCTATTATCCACTTACTCTTAAGTTATCCTTGCGTGCATAACGGCTACAGGGTCATTCTACTTGTTGCTATGGACTACTTTTTTTCCTTTAATGTTCAGCTGTGAATAACTTTATTAAAACATATTATCATGGAGGCTCAAGAATCCCGGCAAAAGAAGCATTTTAGATAACAGTCCTGGTAATACTTCCGTTATCTAGTCCAGGCCTGTAAGGTGCTGCTGTATGTTTGAATGCAATAAAGCATCTGGCAATCTATTTTGAACAATGCAGCATGCCCAACATACAGGCCTAATAGGATAATGATCATCCAATTGACCATTGGACTGAAAGGGAGCATTTCAAAACAATGTTACACTAGCTTTCGCTATCTAAGCAATTTTCCATAAAATTTGAAGAGCTATTTTGCTCTAAATGCGCAGAAAAACCCCGTTACAGTCTCGTGCTAGAGATTTTATTTGAGGACAAAATAAGAGCCAGATCACGGTGTTCCCTTTCAGAGCATATACTGTGAAGTGAAGGTCTATTTAACCAATATACATCATGCTGACAGTTTACTGTAAATTTAGATTATCAGAGAAGTGCTGTGACGATAGTGACAGATTGCAGATGGCTCTCACAAGGTCTCTTGTCTATACGGAGCCTTGACAGCGAATAAAAAATCCTCTCTGCATTCAAGATGTGCCAAGGATTCAAGCTAGAAAACACCTTTCATACCTTTATGGAAATATTTGGATACAGGTAAACACTCATAATAAAATATTTTTCCTTTTTTTTCTACAAGTGAGTCACTTTGTCCTTACAGCAAGAATATAGCGACAGAATGAGTCTCCACAGTAACAGAGAATGGACAGTTTTTATCATCAGCTGCAAACTTTGATTAGACCACTAACAAAGTGACGTTCAAGCCTTCAACGATGGTTAAAAGAGTTGGACAAAAGCAGCTACATCCTTTAGAAAGTGCATGGACAACTTCCTTTTTCCTCTAAGTAAAGAGGCTGTTGTAATTCAAAGTACTGAGACAACATATATTAAACAAGGACTCAACTAACGTTTCCAAAACGAAAAAGCGTCAGACTGAAGTCCGTTAAAGATAGATTTCAAAAGCTTAAATAAGTTGTAGTGTGCGCTATAAGGTGAATCAAAGTGCCAGCAGTCAGATTACCTGCTGTCAGATGCGTGCTGTTGGAAATCATAGTCTAATTAATAAAAAATAAAAAAAAACTATAGGAAATAATAAGCATCCCGCGCTGTGACTTTGGATGAACTGAGCCTTCATTGACGAGCTTTTAAATTCAATAAACAAAGTTGTGAATGAACAGATGCGGTCACTCGCCTTCTTTTAAATGTAACGCCTTTGTGGTAGAAAAAAGTGCATTGTTATGTCTTGCATTGTGTGATGTGTTTATACAAATGTGTCCAGTTCCTACAAATAAAAGTGTTTATTGTGAACATTTCTAAAATGAAGTGTGTCTTTTCTATTCATTTCGTGTTAAGATGACAATAGGGAGTGTCAATATAGACAGATTTCATTGGCCCTTTTTTATCAAGTGTTTTTATTGTGGTTTAAATTGAAAAATTTATATTTTCTAACACAAAGTAGTTAGTAGTAGATCGTGTGTGTTGCCGGTTGCACATACGTTGTTATCCGATTTACCCAGTTTTAGGCTTTTTAAGCATAATAAAATAAAAATATTTAGTTTTTTGGGTCGATTTGGGTTTGTTATCTGACGTATTTTTTCACTAATTTCTTTTATTTCTCATTGGGCCTGTACAAAAGTTAAATATTTGAGTCCGCTTTAAGAAATAGCTGCGTTCATTTTCCAGATTAAATAGGGGAAACCAATAGGGTGTGATTAAATAGGCTCAGTGAAGAATAAAATACATATATGTTGGCCTAAATATTTCCACAAATAAATTTTGTATAAACTTTCTCTCTGCGAGTCACAAAAACATCTGTCCCATTTCTGCTTTTTTAAAAGGCTTCTATTCAGCTGATCAGGAAGAGAGGGGCTAAATGTTTTTTAAGGGGTCCGGGGGCTCAATTTGGGGGCTGTGGGCCTTCCCATTACCCTGTGACCGGGTCGAGAGTATCAATCCTCAAAATGCAAATTCTGCCCTCGTCCCTAAACATATCAAATGCAATTTATTCAAAGGAAATTCACCAATCAACCGCCCTAATAAAACGCCAGCCACTCAATCTTGTTGCTGGGGACGGGTGGGGGGTCCCCTCCCCCGGTCCCAAACGCGAGGTCACCGCGCTTTCAGGGTTCACCTGGAGTGCACCGTGCAACATATGTAATTCAAAGCTATTCTGTCTTTTGTGCGGAGAGTCAAGATCGCTATTATAAGGCTGGCATCAAGCTCCGAGTGAACAGATGACGGAGACTTGTTCAGCGCGTAAACTTTTGACCCCAATTTTTCCTCCTCTTTTCTGCGGCTATCTCCCTCTCATCAGTCCCAGCCCGGTGAGATATCTGGCCCTCTTGAAACGAAAAAATTGATTTTAACAATGTGTATCTCTCTTGCCATCACGGTGATCATTTTCCCAAATTTCATAATTAGAGAAGATGCCAGCACAAAACCTAAAATGCAATTGTAGCTTTATGATGTTTCCAACGAGGGAGTGAAAAGATAAATCCAATAGGCTCCCACTCAAGACTAATAGGGCCGTAAAATATGCAAATCATTCATTAGCGTTATAGAGCAACCAAAGCAGCTAAAAGTCTTTGTTGGAGGCAACACTTAAAGTTATACTCCCCCTCTCTCTTCACATAGTCTTTTCCTCTGGTGCAGGATGTTACCACAGGCTCTGTGTCCCTCGGTAAATTCATTTATGCGTTATGCTTATAGGCAACGCCAAGTAAACGTGTCATTAACGTGAAGGCTTGTGTGTGTGCGTGTGTGTGTGTGTGTGTGTGTGTGTGTGTGTGTGTGTGTGTGTGTGTGTGTGTGTGTGTGTGCGCGCGCGCGCGGTACCGTGGATGTGTGAGCGGTTTCCCTCTCTATACAGCAGGGTGACAGTGAACTTGGCCTAAAGCGAGCTCTGCTGGTGGCTCTGAGAGGATGCAGATTTATCTTGGTGCTGTGGCTGACCTCCAGATGAACCTACAGCGCTCCTCTCTCTCCCTCTCTCTCTCTCTCTCTCTCTCTGCCTGGCAGTCAGCTGCACATGGGGCCCTGTCGAAATTTCTCCTTTTAAAATATTGGCAAGGGTTTTAATTTCCAAATAGCCGCATTCTCAGTGCGCCCTGTTGTATTTTTAGTGCGTCTAAAAATCAAACTGGAAAGAGTATGAGTCCGTATTTTGTTAAGATGGAGACTTCTTTGCATGACAATGAGCGGAATTTGTTAAGCAATAAACTGAAGGCTGTAAGCAATACGGTTTGGGTTATTCTGGTGAATACGACAATCGGTGCAACCTCAAAACTTTATGATTTCTGTTTCTAAAATCAAGGAAGAAATAAAATAATTGTGGGAAGAATTCCACCTTGTCTATCCAGAATCTATTTCTTAAAGGTGATCACTTCAGCAGTGGCGGAAATTGATTTTATAAGTTCTACGCTAATAAATACATATATTTATTTGCAGAAAGCTTCAGAAATAACCTTTAATGGTTCTAGACAGAGTGATGTAGGCCTCTACTCCGAAAATAAAACCTTGGTAAGTTATAATGGCTGGCGGACAATGTAACCTTTGAAAATCCGCGCAGGCAACAACTTTAAAAAACGGAATGGTTATTTGCTGGGTGGTTTTTCTGCCAAAAACTCATAAGACTCTAATGGTGATATCCGATTTTTTAAAGATCTTTTCGTGCATATTTGGTCTGGAAATTTCAAATAAGGAGCGGGCGTATCGACACACACACGCTTTAATTAAAAAAAATGATAAAAATGATTAAAAAAAGAAAAAGAGAAGGCCAATGTGTCCAAGAATATTGTGAGAAATTAGTCCAAAAACTATATCATTTTAATTTCCCATTTCCAGTACATGTTTTGGACTCAGGGGTCAGTTTGTGGCCAGTTTCGCACCGGCACTGAGCGGACAAGAGGTCACCACAAAGCGAGAGTGTCTTTTGAGAGGTCATTTGAACTTTTCAACCCCAAACACAAAACGACGTGGCAGACACAAAACGGAATTCCTTTTCAAAAGTCTCCCTGCTGCTGTTTGTTCCCATGTTGTGTTTACTTGACATTGTTTACAGCCTGTCCTAATGCATGGTGCCAACATGTGGAGCGCAGCGCTCACCAAAACAACTGCAACTTTTTCAAAGATGAACCTACAACTTCCAAAAGTCATCAGCACATACAGAATCCAATCAAAGGCAGCTAGCTGTAAAATCTGTAGGCCTGCATTAGCGCTTAACTTTATCAAGGAAATCTACACGCTCCACACACCCCTTGGAAACTTTCTGGCTCTCGGTCTGTGAATTCTCCAATGTAATAAAACGACAACAACTAGAAGTTTGTGGGGGTGGAAATGGACACAGAGATAATTATCCAACATGTAAAAATGGATTATGAGTTACACCACAGATGGAGGGAAACAAGTTACACGGGGAAGGAAGCAATTAAATAGCCATGAGCCGGACCCAACCCTGCGCAACATCTGCCGAGACCAGTATTCAGCACTGCACAACTGACAAATTAGTGTAATGGTCTAATAGGGACAGATAGAGGGAGCGAATACAATAATAAGACTGTTTAACACAGGCTGGCTGTTCTCGGGCTACCGGATAGTCTGCAGAAACTTACCCAGAGACGCGGTCCTCATCCTGGAGAGCGTCCGGTCCATACTGAGGCAGACTGAGCAACAGAGACGGTCTGTACCGGTCAAGTAACACTTACAGCCTGCAAAGAGAGAGTCAGACGAAGCCTCGCCGTCAGTGCGATTATATGTTATGTGCAATATACTGTCAACTCCCCAAAACCATAAAACTTACTTTAATGGCTACCACGTGACCGTTTATGGCCAGTGAGCCTATCTGGCCGCGCTCCGGATGATTTTTACGATCTAATTCATAGACAAAACCCCCCATTCATTTAGCACCCAAATGTCAGAGAGCCAGAATCGGCCCTAATAAAGTTTACAGCTTGAAAAGTCGAGCTGATTCTCCGGGAATAGCCCAGGAGTCTGTGCGCAAGGGGACGCCCGGCTCCTGGAGCCCGTCAGTAGCCAAGGACCCCCAAAAGCCCCCCAGCTCCACAGCAAGGTGAGTAAAACATGAAGCTTTCATTCAAGCGGACCTGTTGAATTCAAGGAGATTTGACTTGAGGAACCTTTGACATTTTTTGGACAGCTCATACAAGTGACTTAAAGATTTTAGACCAAACAGCAAACTCTTCTCTTCCAAGCAGCAGCAACAGCGCAAATGAATCCTAAATATTTCACAAAAATGTACACTCACTGTAATGTTGCCGTTCCAGTAGAAAGTTTATTATAATGGCCATCATCATCATCATCATCATCATCATCATCATTATTATTATTATAGTATATTCTTGACTTCCAGTCTTTGAAAAACATTTACAAAAAGCTAATCACGATGGAGTTATACACATAGGCAATGGAATTTACTGTGGGACCCTCCACATAAAAACAGCTATAGGGAAACAAAGACCAAAAAAACAACACATTTTTAAGAAGATGTTGCGCCCAGGTGAACAACGCAAACAGCAGCTCCTGCAAATAAAATAAAATAAAATAAAAACCCAAACAAACAAACAAAAAAGATACAAGGCAGTCGGCAGCGCTGTCCATACATGTGTTCACAACGCACACAATAACCACACAAGGCTTTACATACTCTGCTGGCTCTACTTTTGGAAGCAAGTTATCTGACAAGTTGGTACAATACATCAAACAAATAAATACATACATATACAGTACATACATAGAAAACGAAGGCTAAACACAAAGGCAGCTCGACCCCAACCCTCTATTTAATAGGCTGTTATTGTTCTGAGTGCATCACACAACTTTTACTGGATTTATTTGCGGTAGGTAGCAATTTCAAGCTTTGACGTTTTTATTTATTTTTTTCCGTCTGAACAAGAAATAATTTAAACAAACATTTATTTTCATGTGTTTCTTTTTCCTCTAAATCTAGACAGAACTGTACATAATGCATTTTTACTCACAGAAGCATTACCACGGTGGAAATAAAAAGGAAATAATATTAATAAGGAATATAATGGGACGGTTGTTGGACATACACTGGGCGTATGTGGGGTGTCCCCTTGTCCCGCACACAGCCCGTTAACAAAGTCTCTGCGCTTTTTTGAAATAGGAGAAGTTGATATGACAATCTTGGTTTTATTTTCATAGTGCTCGCTATCAGGGGTAGAGAGGAGTGAATATCAGGGCCTGTAGCCTCCCCCGCCTGCAGCCGCCATGTTCATGCTCTTCAGCTTGTTGTCCTTCTTCCACTTCATCCTGCGGTTCTGAAACCAGATTTTGATCTGTCTCTCTGAGAGGCAGAGGGCATGGGCTATCTCGATCCTCCGCCTGCGGGTCAGGTAACGGTTGAAGTGGAACTCCTTCTCAAGCTCCAGGGTCTGATAGCGGGTGTATGCAGTCCTCGCTCTCTTCCCTTCAGGTCCTGCCAAATCTTGTACAAAAAAGAGAGTGGAAACACATGAGATACAGTAGATGTTAAAAACATCTGTGCAAAAACTTTTTGGACTACATTTCTTGCATTTCTTTTATATTGCCTTTATAGTTTCTGTAGGTAGGAATGGCGTTAAAGTTGGTAGACGAGAAAGTTCTAAATGCTGCTTAAAAAGAACCCAAAATCATTAAAAACAACATGTAACAAAATGAGACACACACCTTTTCCATTGCATGTTGCGGAGAGGAATTAACATGGTAAAATGATGTAAATGTGGGCTGTCTTACCATAAAACTACAGTATAATAAACAAACAAACGCATATATCCTGTATATATGTAATACCATTTTAACTAACCTTAAACTCTTATGTTATGTTATTAAATCATCCCGTACCTGGTCTATGTCTGACAGTACTGAAAAGCACCTAACAGGTGAGAGGCGCATATGGCGCCACATGCTCCTTTAAAGAGTAAATATGTTTTGGGTGTTTTTTTTTAACAATATATACCATGTAGTGCAAATTTGACCAGTTTTTCTGATAGTTCAAAAGTCACTGAATGAGCTATAAACATGATCGCACCTTTACTAAACAATAACACAGCGCAAGGTCTCTTAAATCAATACAAGATCATTACAAAGAAAAGAAGTTTACCATGATTTATATGCAGTTTCCTCATCCACGGATATATCTGAGGCTGTGTTGAGTCGCTGACATTTTGAGGAGTTGTCGGTGCGCTTCCCGCAGGCTTCTCTTCCTCGAGGGGGGAAGCTTTGGACACACAGTCCCGGTTGAGCAGCAGCGTGCCTCCGTTCGAGCTCGAGCACGGGGTTGAGCACGGGGTCGTTATAGAGTTTTTCACGGCTCGGTGTTGAGATTGAGTCTCGGTGACCGGGGACGAGCTGGCGACCGAGGAGCACGGTAGTGGGTCAGGTGGTGGCGATAGAGACGATGTCCCGGTGCTGTTGGCGGACTGGGTGTACCTGACCGGCTCCACGGAGGGTGTTGTCGCCGCTGAGTGACTCGGGGAGTAGCCCTGCGTCCGCTCGTTGCCCACAAAGTGTTCGGTACCGGCCCGCCCGACTGTTAGGTCCATCCCGTTGTAGCCATAGCCGTACCTGCTGGAATGCATGGCTGTTGAGTCTCTGTATTGGTCGTTTGCCGTACTATGGTCTCCATAATTATGTAACTGGAAGTCCGCGCCATTGGGATAGCGACCGCAGAATGAGTTCACAAAATAGGAGCTCATTTGTTGACAATTCCACCGTTTGCTCGTTGTAGGTATTGTTGTTGTTTTTTTTAATTGTTTTTAGAGGTAAAATAGCATAAACCTGTGTGCTTGATTTGTGGCTCTTATGGTTTAGCGCGTCCTATAGCACCCTTGCACAATTTATGATGAATTATGGAAATGAGTGGGACATGGACTTGATTCTCTCTTACGTAGGCACCCAAATATGGGGTACGGCGGAGAATCACGTGCTTTTGTTGACCAGTCGTAAATCCTGCTTGGTGACCTCCAGAGGTAAACTCGTGCACAGAGGAAATACTGGGTGGGATGTGAAGGGTGCGCGCCTCCATGCGCTCGTGGCTAGGGCAAACTCAGAGCCAGGGCTCGGGTGTTTTGAATTGTCGTGGTGCGCCATCCTCTGGCTCAACTGTTGCACTGCCTGTCTGCGGCGCTTTGTGAGGCGTGGGCTCCACACGGGGTCATTCAGAGGTTAACGACCATTGCGGCAAAAACCAACGGGCTCCTAAACAATACAACAAGTGACATGCTGAGAGTGCAATCTCTGCGAGGATAGTGTACAGAAATAATTCGATCAGAATCTGTTGTGCATGTTATGATAGGCGATGAGTGCAAATAGTCTGCGCACTTAATAGAATAAAAGCCCATTCAAAACAGGGCTTTTTTCCGTATAATCATAAAACAAGTGAACAACCACTCATGTGGGAAAAGACTAATGAATAAATGTTTTGGTGGAAAGATAAAAACCAAACATTACATTGTCCAGAATTATGACAGAGGCATGCCATTTAAATGATTGTCCTTTATGCCACACCGAATAATTAATAGCTTTAAATATAGGCAATATATGAAGGCACGTTAATACGCGTTACTGTCTATTTACTCAAATTTAACGATTCCAAACAAGAAGCCATCAGATGATATTACAAGCTTTTTGCATGTAACCCGACTTTATTACGCACTCGTTTAAAGGGGAATCATCGTCCATATTGACTTTTAAACAGTCAATATCTTATCAAATGCAGCTTTATTTGTTTTTTATGTTCGTTAGATATCAACACGAGATCGAGAACAACACAAAATCTTTTTTCTAGAAGCAGCTACAGTGTGGAGTTCTGTACAGTCACTCTGCAATTTAGGCTAAATAAAGCAACAAAAAAAGAAGCAAAAATGCGAAATTAGAAATTATTGAAAAGGGAAACATTGGAAACGATTAATGGATAAAATGAAGCTTATATATTTAAAATGTTTAATGTAAAAATAATAATTCCTGTTTTTAGTTTTTGCATTGTGATAGGCTATTCGTTTTTAACATTAGCCTACAAAGAGCGTCCTATGATTTTCTGTTCCTTCTGTTAGAGAAATAAATAAAAATATGGGCTATTCTACGTGATATTAAAGTTGGAGTTTTAAAACAATCTGTCTAATCGATAAATTGTGATGCAGCACGGGCATAAAGTAAATATGATTGATTATAATTTTTTTTAAAGTGGTTTAACCTTTTTACTTTTAGAGAAATCGTTGCTTACGTTTAAAAAAAAAAACCTGACGCACTCTCTCTTTTTTTGTAACCTGACCAATGCTCTCATGTTAACGTGTAAATCTACCATTGTCTATGTTCATTCTGGGAAGGAATACAAATACGGGAAGATCAGCACAAAGGCACGAAGCCTAAATAGAGGCATTACGCCTCGTCAGGCGCTCTCCGTTTGGTTTTCTCCTTGTGGAATTTTTATGGCACCTTCGTCTCTCGAAGGCAGCGACTTGTCCTCTGCTTTCCCCCAACATGCTTGCTATTTCCCCATAACAGCCCCTTTGCACAGCACAAGCCCAATCATGTGTTACTGACAAAAAACAGTGAGATATTGATTATTTATTCTGTCTCAGGTATGTGTGCCCAGAAGGCACGATATGAGGAAGGGTGAATACCGGGCTCCCACATCCAGTGGGCCCACTATAAGGGAAGACTTAGACGGAGTGTGTGTGTGTGTGTGTGTGTGTGTGTGTGTGTCTGTGTCTGTGTGTGTGTGTGTGTGTGTGTGTGTGTGTGTGTGTGTGTGTGTGTGTGTGTGTGTGTGTGTGTGTGTGTGTGTGTGTGTGTGTGTGTGTGTGTGTTGGCTAAACAGTCATGCTCCAACAGCTGATTTATGGCTGGCCAATGGCAACAAAGTTCCCACGAAAATTATTTGCCCGAGTCGAGCCAGGGACACACCCATGAACTAAATAAGGACCAAAAGAAAGGAGAGGAAAGAAGTGAGTGCGCACTAGTGTCAAACATGTCGGCCTGGGAGCGAGGGGGCAGGAAAACAGGAGGGCAGTGCACTCTGCAGGCGCTCTCACACACCAGCACTCGGAGGATACAAATACCTTTTTGTATTATCTTAATTTATTTTCTGCTTAAATATCATTACGCGCGACTGTAAACTACTCTCAGTGGTCACATTTAGGACAGTTATGTCGTTTTTTGGACTACGATGAGCAGAGCATATGAAACATATGAAGACAGCGACGGGGTTTTTCCACGGCACATTGATGTGAAACTATTTTGCAAAGAGAAAAAACCCGGAAAGAGCAAATGTTACATGCAGAATGAAAATTGAAAATGAACATTATATCTGATGCATTTAACCACATGCACTTCTGCACGATTGATATCTTGGTAAAAGAAACCTGTCTGTGCTTTCCATTTCTAATCTTCAGTATTTGGTTGCCCGACTGACAAATAATTAAAAGCAATAAACAAATCACTGCAGTGTCACAATACAGTTAAGCTCGAACTGAGTGCATGTTAAGGAACACCGTGAACAACATCGATGTGCAAACAGAGAGCAGAAATATTTCACATTTATAAATTCCATCGACAGGGACATTCCTGTGTGTCAATTGAAGTCGGTAAAACAGTCTTGATTTCTTCACTGAAAACTATCCCAATTATCAATTCAATGTACAGTGAGTCAGGGCCTACATGTATGAAACCTCGAAGCATTATGAATGGACACACATGTAGAAATAGAGGTCGACTTGGCTGATGTTCATTTGCAGCAAAACAGGCAGAGCTGCAACACCCCAGTTTATCCACAGGAGGGCGTCAAAGAGAACCTCTTCTGGCCACCATCCACCCAATGGATTTTTCAGGCGAAAAGCCCATCCCCATTCAAATCCAACAACAAACAAATAAGGTCTCGACAGCATACAAAAAAACAACAGGAAGACCAAGACACGAAGCCAAACCAGTGCTAAATGTTATCTAACTCAGATTGATTTACCACGTAGCAACTGTCAATAAAATCATGACTAAACAAACTGTAACATGAAACCATCTCTTCCACAGGATTGAAACAACTGGATTTTTAAACAAAAGACAAATGAGGCGCGATATTTAAACAAACACAAAAAAAGGTTATTATTTGCTTAAGTTGTTTGCCATTGCAAACTGACAAAAAGAGCAAACATGCAAGTTTCAGCTGTCTTACCTTGTGGAGGTCTCTGCTTGTAAACAGGAGAGGTGAGGGGAGGGAGTTGGCAGGTGCAGACGGCCAGTGACCGAGGGAAGTATCCAGCTGAGTCCCCGGACGGAAGCTGGGGCTCCCGGGGGTCAGTGACGCACCGGGGCTCCTTCCCCTCATCTTGCCAAAACATGTCAGCGACACCGACACCCAAAATCATCCACTCACGTCTGTAATAAAGCCCCTGCGCTTTGAGCCTCTGCCCGACCGAGAGAACATTTAAAAATTAAAAATAAATAAGGGAGATGTGCGCTTGCGATGTAAAAATGTAGAAGGTCGCTGGTGAAAACATCCGCGTGGAAGCCCGAGACCGTTAAATGAAAGGCTGCTCTATTCCGCTATTGGAAATTATATATAAAAAGTTCATGTTCACGGCTCCCTGTCACGTGACAAGCTGGGGCCAATAGGATGACGAGCCGGGTCGTAAAGTTGTATTGCCATGTTGTAAATTTTCATAAACAACAACGGATTTATGACCCAGCGCTGGAGGGAGAGATGGGAGAAAGGGGGGGGTTGAAGAGACGGAGAAGGGAATGGGGGGGTGGGGGGGGGCGAGGGGAGGGGGGCTGGCAGGTCACCGTCAGGCGCCATCTTACAGAGGGAAGAGGGAATGCAGAGTTCAACAGTAATTTTCCTTCATCTGCAGCCTGCCCCATCTCGCATCCTCATAGTTCACATTCCCCAACTCTAGTGTTTACCTAACCCTCATAATAGACTGCAACTTGTTTCATTACATGGCAACCTGATATAGACCACAGTGGACGGCAATTGGTGGAACATATTATTAAACCGGCGCGTAATTGTTGTGATTATTATTATGATTGCGGTGGTTGCACAATATTAAGTTGGCAAAATATTGAATGGAAGCAAATAGTCAGGTAAAAGCTATTTTATTCAATTTATATATTTTCATTTACAGATATGAGACATTCCCAGAGATTTAAGACTCTTTAAGATTTGTTCACATATTACTTATAATTCACATTGAAACCGTGGGCACTAAACCTAAATATATCACAGTATTTGCACTTGCTGGATTACAATACCTTACTCATTTTACATTAAAAAACGGAAATGTAAATGCTGTCTAAATAAAAGGGCATGCATTTATCGCTGGCATTTAAAAACACGTATGACATTTTGAGCCTGAAAATCTGTCTAAAAGAAAATTCTCACAGTACACGGCTAAGACTTCAAAACATTTACGTTGGAGTATTCCTGTTTACAATATTATAAGCAAATCGACTTTCTGGGAATCTGAGGTAGGTTACATAAGTTCATCCGAAACTAAACAAATATTTTTTCTTAATCCTGGGATGTATATAGGGTAAATAAGTATCGAAAACAGGCATATTAACATTCTAAGTAATAAGCAGTGATAATAAAATAAAATAAAAACACAGTGGCACAATTATTGAAATCTATAGAAGCACCTAAATCACAGTTAAAAGCATTTAACTAACAAAACATTCACTTTTAATTAGCCTTTATTCCAAATAAGGCACATTTACGCAGACTGCTGTATTTATTTCCTTTAGAAAATACAACCGTCTGTGGAGAAAATGTATTCCGTTAGGTAGATTATCAATTTACCGTCAATTTCAACTTGCGTTGAATTCCTTGTGTCAGTTTTTTAATATTAGCAGGTACATTTTAGGTAGTTTTTCGTTCAGGAATGTTGATTCAGTAGTTCAGTCAGGTTAAATGACATGTTATATTGCATATATAAAAATATAGTTTGGATAGGTAGTTATATCGCTGTTTCATGCGGAGCCTTTTTATGCTTTTTAGGTTTAAATATGAAATACAGACCTACAGCCTACAGCTGTTAAATGCTTGTTACATAATTGCCTTCAGCTGTCATTCACTTATTCAGCCTACAAAGCTCTTAGTGCATGAATGGTGTGTGAGTAACATCTCAGGTATATCCCTAACACTTAACAGTGCGTTTCTTTCATGTAATGCTCCTGCCCGTCTCTTTCGTTACTTTTCAGCCGTTTCTGACGCCAAACCGGCGTTCCGGGTGTCACCAGCTTTGGACTCTTCGGCCTCTGACACCGGCTGGATATCACCGTCCTTTTCTCCGGAGGGGGTCGACACCGGTTCCTCCTTGTGGTCTTTCTTCCACTTCATCCTGCGGTTCTGAAACCAAATTTTGATCTGTCTTTCTGAGAGGCAGAGGGCGTGGGCTATCTCGATCCTCCTCCTGCGGGTCAGGTACCGGTTGAAGTGGAACTCCTTCTCAAGCTCCAGGGTCTGGTACCGGGAGTAGGTCTGCCGCCCCCGCTTTCGGGTTGGATCTGTGGAAGAGAAGATGCACTAGCTCTATATAATTTGCTGAAAATGCATTTTTTTTCCCACTTGCATGTCTGAAATATGATACTAGATGAAGCATTAATTGATGGTGTTCAAACCGGTGCTGATAATAAAAACTTGTAGTTGGAATCAGCGTGAGACTCATTCATTTATTTTGTGATTGCGCAATTAATTATAGCTCATATTTCTACATTACCCCCTACCCACCCACCCACGCACACATGCACACATGCACGCACACACATCCCACAATCAAATCTCTTGGTGAAAGTAGTTTTTTTTAAGTTCTCTGTGTGTATTTGAAGTAGTCCTGCTGGGGTGTTTGGCTCATTCCTCCTTTGATACTCTGCATGCCTTTCCAATTAAAAGCCAGCGATATTCTGCTCACCGAAGGGGCAATAAGTAATTAGACACATTCTCTTTCAAAATAATAACAAATACCAATGTTTCTAAATGCTTGTATTCTAAATCCCTTTGACTTCTTTATGTAATAGACAATACTGCTGCATATCGATCCAGCAATGTGTGCGAACGAGTTTCAGAAAATACCAGAGCCTCTGCAGTGCAGACCCAATTAGAAAGGAGCTGTAGAGTGCAAGAGAACTGATTTACACAACAGGCCGGTCTTTTTTACAACCACAAAGGGGAGAGGAGGCTGTAAGAGTAATAGGAGTGCAGAGAAAACCCCCAGCGGCAAGGTCTCTGCGTACTGAACACACAGGAGCGCTGGCCAAATGAATTTATGGCTGCAGAACTCATTAGTTGCGCAATAAAAGTTTTACGATTCTTTCCATGCAACGCCAATGGCTTCACAAAATTAATTGAACCGCTAACGGCCAATGTAAGTATCCCAATGTTTTGTAAAAGCATCGACCCGAGGGGCTTTGAAATAGCGCATAAGAGACAATATCAGCACATACCTGACGCTCTCATCCAGGGGTACATCCGGTATTGTTTGTCCGGCGGCGAGGTGAGGGGTCCCGGCTCCGGATGGCAGCAGCTGTCGGTGAACAGGCGGCTCTGGTCGAACAGGCTGCAGTGCAGTGTGTGAGCGTCCTGCCCCTGGCCATAGCCCGAGGTAAACACTGGGCGGCTCTGGTACACTGCATCACTGACGCTGTAAACTCCAGACAGGGACGGTGCAAACGCGATGGCCGCAGCAGTCCGAGCCGAGCCATAGTCCCCTCCACTGGGTCCAATGCTGCAAGACGCCCGCTCCACGTTTGGAAAGAGTGAACTACCCGCCGTATATTTGCTAAGAAGACCGTCCACATAATAAGAACTCATATTTTTTCTCTCTGATTTGTTGGCCCAGAATCCTCAGTGTCGTTTTTACGAGGTAGTGTGATATATGACAGCAATACACCCTAGATTTACACCAAACCCCATTTTTACTCTGGACCAAAGAACTCACCCATGTGACTCGGGCCTGGCCGCTCTCATCCAATCAGCAAGCAGACATGTATTTCATTATGGCGCAGGACTGCAGAGTGGGATTAACACTTCACACACATAAACACACACGAGAGAAACTCAGACAATCCCAGTGATCGAGAGGTAATTTACGTAATTTAAAGTCACTGTTTTATATCACTTATTTTACTACTGCTTTACAAATAATAATCTATCTAGAAGTTTTATTTTTGTAAAATTGAATATATCTTCGTGGAATGTCTTTAACCTTTAGGCCTGTAGGTTATAATGATAATCTACATTCACTCAACAATAGGCTACAATAGATAATAATTAACTAATTAGCGATTATCATCACTAAAAAAAAAATATTCTAACAGAAAATGTTTTTGTTGATTTCTCTTGCTTTAAAAATCAATACTTATATACAGTCTAGTGTCATAACACAAAAACACATAACAAGATATAACATCATAAATAATCAACGTGTATTGAAATACAGAATTCTGTAACACTGGATTTATGAGGTGAGAATTTGGCAGGAAGATAAATAAAAGGCCTTTTTGATAATACTACTAGATAATACTACTACTACTACTACTACTAATAATAATAATAATAATAATAACCATCTCGTAATTCATCCTCCAAAAATTGTTTTTACTGCATTACAATGTTACCTAAATAATCTAGCAATAAAGATAGCATGCCGACAAAAAACACAATACGATAAAACATAGCGAATGGTCGGAATTACATAATTTATTAATATTACTATTATTATTACTAATAATAATAATAATAAGAAGAAGAATACTACTACTAATAATAATAATGACAATAAGAATAACATTGAGAATTATAATAAGAATAAGAATTTTAAAAATGATATAAATAAACCCTTAATTCGTTAAATTATTTGTGAATATGGAAAACGATTGATTATATTGGTGCAGCTCAATCCGCTGATTGTGTTTGGTGTATTGAAACTTTCCGCTGGAAAGTTACAGGTTAACATTAAATTATCTACATAATCTACATTCGTAAATGCAATAAGAAGACACTGTTCATATTTCATGATAGCCTTAATAACTCTGCTATCAAAGAATGTTTTAAATGATTTGCATCGATAAAGTCATATAAAAACACCCTAGAAGGACAAATACTGAACAGAGAGCGATGTCTGAGGGTGAAAGCAGTAACCCAGCAGTAACCCAGCAGTCACTGAGAGCTGCCTGTTTCATCTTTCCCCGCAAAGCCGCAGGCTAGAGAAGCAGCTTCTGCACTGAGACTGTAAAAAGGTGTGAAATTATTTTGCTGGACTCTTAAAATGTTACTAGAGTTTGTTCCCCAGCGCAGGTTCATTAGGGAGGAGTGTTAGGTTGATGTTGTGAAACAGTGTCGCCACCCTCTGGTGACATGCCGGGACTGCAGGGTGGGGAGGCAGCAGTGCGCAGGCGTTTTGTCTTCCTGCTGCAATGCCGGATAAAATACAAGCTAAAAGTAAGAGAAATGGCGCTCAAAGGTAACGTTACGTTTCTTCGATTGCGATTTCAAGCAAACTCTGATGTCTTTTAACAGACCATTCCAGATGTATTTTGAAAAAAACAAAAACAAACACACCATCTATAGGCCTGCCACTGTGTTTGAAACTATCTGCTGGCTTTATTGCTCCTTCTCCTTTAGGACGGGCCCAGCAAAGGAGCAGAGGGCGGAAGGTTCCCAGGTAGAAACAAAGGATCGCTCCAAATGACCGTGAGTCCTGTGCGTCCCCGTCGGGGAGAATCCAATAAAGCTGATCATTTCCGCTCGGCCTTTTGTCCAGAGCGCAGTCTCACAGAAAGAGAAGAAAAAACAAATGGGTGCCATTCTGGAAACGGCCTAATTGTGTCTGGACGGCCATAAAACCATTAAAACTGGAATGCCAGACAGTATAGCAGACCAGGCGTTTTATTGCACTGTCTCTGGTCGAGCCTTTGAAGTTTGTGTCCATCTGCGTCCCCTAACGCGTCACAACAGCGCTCCAGTTGGACTAAAGTCCGACCTACCTTCTAACTACAATAATGTGTCCGTTTCTGTGCAGCCCTTAATGAGAACTAAATGACCTGGTGTGTGTGGCAGAACCATGCCAGGCCCTGATTTGTCATCTGACTCAGCAGCTTTGCACCTAGCACACATTAGATTTCGCTGCGTATTTTCTGTCTTTGCGCGAAATATTTTCTCCAACATACAGAAACTTGAAAACGCAGAGGCCATATTTTACGACTAGAGTCCTTCTCTAAAATCGTTTTGATAAGCTATTTGAGGTCACGTTGCGTTTTAAAATCCAAAATTCTTATATATTTCACAATATTTATTTACAAAATATCTTGTTGTAAATTGGTTATGTGGACATGTGGCGCTAATGAAGGAGCTTTAGGCTGAGCGGCCTTGTCATATCCCAGCTGAACAGAAACACGTCGGTTACATTATTTTGGGCTTCAGCTGTCGAAGCCCTCGATGTCTTTTTTTGTTTTGTGTCCTCTCGCCTCGCAGCGCTTTGCACCCCATAAAAGGTTATAGCGGTAATTGTCTTTTATGGCTGTATACAGCTAACAACATCCTCTGCCAAGACGCAGCTCTGTCCCCAGTCCAGAAACACACACACAGATATTCACCTATAGGTGTGTGCGTTTTAATTGGTGTGTGTGTGTGTGTGTGTGTGTGTGTGTGTGTGTGTGTGTGTGTGTGTGTGTGTGTGTGTGAGAGAGAGAGAGAGAGAGAGAGAGAGAGAGAGAGTGTGTGTGTGTGTGTGTGTGTATGTAAATGAGTGCATGTGTGTGAGAGTGTGCACTCTGCAGATTAAAATGCTTGATATTTATAAAAAAAAATATGTAAAAAAATTGTTAATGTGGACTAGGCTCAAGTATCCAAATATCTTTGGATTTTTCTTAATGTATTTTCGTGTGCGTGTGTTGAAATTTAACCTTTTTGCCAATAAAGACTTTTTGTGAAGCAACAAATTAACATAATATTTATTTTTCTTAAACAAAATTAATTTCAATGTGAGGCCAAAATGAAATAAGAAAGTAACGTGCCTGCATTCGCAGATATAATTTGTTTTATTTAATAAATAAAGTACAAATTACATTTGTGAACCAAAAGTCAGACGGTCGGCAGACCGTGAGGTATTCAATAAGTAGCTACAGTGTTTTATTTAATTTTCTCTCACTAACAAACATTATGTACTTTCAAAATGTTACTCCCTGAAATTCATAGTTCAGCATCTAATGCAAGCAAATCTACTATAATCCGCCATGGAAAAAATAGGTTATTGTAGGTAGTTGAAAGACATAGGTAGTCAATCGTGTCATGTAATATAACTTCTATAACATCTTTTAATTTAGGATTTTAGCATTTTCAAGAGGTTTCTGAGGTTTATGCGCCTACATCAAAATGTTCAAAAATCAGTCTGTTTTTCTACGGTTCCAATGTTAGACTCAAACTCATGGTCATCAGTCATTGTTCTAGCAGTAAGGGAGAAACAACAATAAAATTAATACATTTTACAAACTATACGACAACAAATATAGCTACAAACCAGAACACACACAGCTAGAAACATCCATACACAAACAAGCACAGGGACCAGGCCAACTAATACACAGAACGAGGTATTATTTAAAATAAACATGAGAAAAGAACAAATACAAAAACGAGTGGGCACTGTTAAAATTGTGCAATATAAAGGTAGTCGCATCAAACTGAAGCCCAACATGCTTTTCTTTACAAGACAAATAAGCCTAACAGCTTCTGTTATATAGAACAATAAGACAATGAAGTTTAAAAACAAGGTCCAGCAGAGTTAAGAGCTTTCACACACAAAGCTCGCTAACAGCCTAAATACTGTATATCTACGGTTCAGTCACTCGTCTTTCGGTGCGCCGTCTTTATTAAACTTCTTCATCTTCATCCTGCGGTTCTGGAACCAGATTTTAACCTGTCTCTCGGTGAGGTTTAACAGCCTCGCAACCTCGTACCTACGGTCCCTGGTCAGGTAGGTGTTAAAGAGGAACTCTTTCTCCAGCTCCAGGATCTGGTGCTTGGTGTACGGACAGCGCTTTTTTCTCGTGGCACTCGCGTGGAGCCAGTTGGACACTGGGTTATCTGGAAAGAGCGGGAGGGGAAGGGGCGACACTGGTGTGAGGGGCCCGGTACCGAGTGACCAAATGTGAAAGCAAACATCACTCATAATCTGGCTCAGACCAAAAAAAGAAAAAAAGAGACAAAAACAAACCCCCCCTTATTCTGAAGAGAAAATGGCTGCACATGTACGCACCCAAACACAACTCCCCCTTTTCCTCTCTGTGCTCACGTTCACTTTAAAAGCTGCAAAAGGTTATCTAATATAGCAATGGGAGCTGGGCCATTAACAGTCCCCATAAGGAAATGGCACGTTCAGAATGGCATCTGTTCAGACGCGCACCCCCATCACGCACCCCAATCCTCGCAGCTTTATGCGGTATAAATAGTAGGCTATAAACATAACGGACTCTGCAGCGACTTACTTGGATCAAGGCCCGGTTTCTCTTCAGCTTCCCCGCTCACGTCTCCTGCCTGGCCGGACAGTGTGTCCTTTTCCACCGGTGACGCCGTGGCCACGGTCCCGTTGGCGTAATCAGAGAGCAGCAGCGCCGTGTGGGAGCCGGGCAGCGCGCCGTCAGCTCGCGTCCCCAGACCCTCCGGTTTGATTCCGTAGTGATGGGTCGTCGGTAATCCGGCCATGGGTAGGGAACCGGACATGGGCTCCAGCAGCCACGACTGATAGCGGCCATCTGTATCTGCACCGACCGGGCCTTGGGGATGCCCATAGTGGTGATGATACACAGAGGAGACGGTGCCTGGGAACTGGGCAGGAACGTGGCTCCACGACGGCCCGAATACAGGAGGTTTGGACGGGAAGGTGCAGGTCCCAAGCTCACTGTGGTCGCCTATGGAGGCGGACTGTCTAGCGTGCTGGAGCCCAGGACCGGAGGGGTATCTCGGCACAGAGAGCTCCTCGCTCTCGGGCAGAATGAGGGAATCGACGTAGTAACTAGTCAGTGTTCCGGATGTCGACATGGCAGAGAAATTATGCGTTCACATGTACGCAGTCATACAACAGATACATGCAAAAGTAAAACGCGCACACACACACACCACACACACATACACACGCAGTAAACCCAGCCTCGCAAAATAACAATGTGGAGAAATCAAGTAGCAACTTGGCCCCACAGAGAACTACAGTGGGCTAGTAATGGGGAGTCAGGCTGCCATGCTATTGGGTAGCAGACACACGTGATCATAAAGGCTGAACAATAAAGGATAAATCAATCCCTTTGGTCATTAAATACTCACCCGCTCTCCTATAACAACTTCTAGTTTTAAAGCTAAGAATTATCAAGATATTAGTTAGATCTGTTATCTGTGAGACAGAAAATATGAATGACTGAATAAAATGTGATTTTACTGTGTGTTACCCTACCACTGCTGTTAAAATCACTTCTTGGTTATCCAAAACGATACAATATGTTTTTGGAAACCTTATTTTACGAGGTACTTTATAGGACACGTAAGCACCCTACCATTGCTGCTCACCAAAACACATTTTAACCAGCACTGTATTAAAGAAACTTAGCAGCACACAGCTGAAACATGCAGAAACATCAAATTACAACTAGAAATTACTTTTTTCATTTTTTATTTTGCTCCTTTTCGGCTGTGTCAGACATCTTCCAATGTGTGTATATTTCCCTGTTTTTCAGCTTCAATTTTTAAACATATTTTACAAACCAAACTGACAAATACACCAAAATACATGCGGGTTGTATCTTATATTAGGCTAAAATTGTTATTTTCAGTTTAACATTTAGCCACACAAGATAGTTGCTCATCTAAAAAATATAAAACATATACGCATACTGATTATAAGCATAATGCTTTTTTGGTCTTATTTTTCTACATTAACCACTTTTTGTGATTTAGACATGGACGTTTCACGTCCCTGTATATTGGAGCTATATCCCTACAATCGACATTTCAACATCTGCACAGTTTTAACTACGATGATGCAGTACTATGTAGTACATATTTGAGAGTTGAAAAAGAAATCAATAAACATGAAAATATTACTTTAAATGGAAGGAGTATTTTTATTTTGAAAATTTCAACATTCAATCAGATTAACAAAAAGAGAAAAGAAGCAGGACTATTTTATTCCCAAATTTGCCTTGTTAGTTGCAGTTTCAGACTATTGTTGGTTTGACTATAATTACTGTGTAAAACCACTGGTCTATGTAACAAATAAAATAACAATAACAATTCCTAGATAGCATATGACTTCACGTTATGAAATATAAAGTACTAGGTGTGTTACAAAATGGGCACAAAAATTGAAATTAAAATATAGAATTAGGTCCATTAAAACGAGCAAAGAAAATTAAATAAATGTGGTTAAAGATTTGTTATTAACCTGCTGAACTGAACCACGGTAGCCGAATATTTATTAAATATTTTCCAAATAACATACTGATGGCGGATTGCAGGTTTCTTGCTTAACCTGCCGTTTATTATTTACACCGCCGTTATCACTTGTATGGGCCTCTATATGTTGCTATCATCACCGCCATCAACAAATTAACTCTAATGCCTGCTAGCAGCCAGGGCCTCGGTGTAACGTTACACTTAAATAGAGCTAAAAATATGCGTAATGTGGTGTTTGTGGTTTCCTCCTTTTAAAAAATAAATGGTGCGAGCAGTGGAGAACACCGAGACACGAAAGCACACTTTAAATATTGAATTTGAAATATATGTAGTGAAGATTGAGATTATACAATTAAACAAAGAAATTAAATTAATTAATTAATAAACATTCAGAAAATAGCCCGCTAGAGGTGTGAAGATTAAAGTAATTTAATTAATGATAACTTTGTATTTGTTGAAGCTTCAATTTAATACAATACCATTTTGTAAATATATTGCTGTAACACAATAGTATTCACCGTATACTGAGAATTTGCGTATATAACAGAAATACACCAGAGACTTAAACTCAAGGTGATTTTTACTAAACGTGGTGGCTGTGTGCGTATCATCGTCCATAATATCCAACATCTAAGCCCACATTGCAGAGAACGTCCACAAAGCAGCAACCTTGAGTTCTCGCACATTACGCCGTGTTTTATTTATTACCAGCAAATAAACGGAAAGCTTGGCCAACACCCCACAAGGCCACAGGCAATTCAACACGCAGGAATTCTTTCCACTCTGCTGTTACTCTTGCACTTAGAAGAGGAGCACAGGAAAAAAGGCACAAGCTGTCCATAATGTGCATTGTAGTTCCAAGCTATCACCTCACTGGTACTTGCACATTATTTGGCCAACAGACATCAAACAAGCATGGGAGGGGGAAATGGAGTGGCTGTGCGCCTATTTGTGCACTAAAAGTTAGAATAGACAAACACCTCCAGAGCAGGAAAAGACGCCACTATGCCAATGGCTCTCAGGCTGTAAACCTAAATCAGGGTGTTTTTTCACCCAGTTTACCGCAGGGGCTATTCACTTCTTTTGCCTCTGCAGATAACAGCCTGTCTGGCGGATCTAAATATCGCCATAAAGCCCTTCCCCTCCTTTTGTCTGAGCCACTATTGCGCAGCGGAAGCATCCGGTCTCATTGCCCACGGAGGTCGCTGTTGCCCCATTCACCTTCCCCTTCCCCTCCACTGCAGTGGTCGTAACCGAGGCCTTGTCTGGCGTGTCTGCGTCACTACTACTCACGGAAAACACTCGCAGCTTTACCCTTAATCCCAAGTCCACGACGCATATACTGCAGCTCAGCTTTGATTGTGTTTAAATTCAGCACACATGCTCGCTCGGGCTTATTTTAACGCCGAAAAAACAAGCGGAGAAGCCTAAAGAAAACATTACAGGAGACAGGTTAGGAATATACACAACAGCCAGTCACCCCCTTCCCCGATATATGAACCAGGGAGGTTTACAACATGCTTCCAAAACACCACTCCACCAATTTCATCAAATCCCACCATCTTTATGTCACTGATTTGCTTTCCTTTTGGTGTCGATGTGTGTAACTGGGGCAATTAAGACAGTTTCATGTTGCAGAGTTAGAAATGGACCCCAACAACATGAAACTACCTAAACCACACGACAGTCGATCCGGGCCTCGAGTGAAACACAATCAGCCAATTCATAATGCACCCTGGTCGCCGGTCCAGTCATCAAGTGTCCAACAAATCGTCTGTATTGAGAAAGTACAACTGTATTGTACAAACTATAGTGAAGCCCCTGCAACAAGGCGCAAAATGGACAAATGCACATTGATAAATGGACTTACCGGATCCTGGAAATGTTAATCCCAGTATTCCCAGTATAAAGCAGAAGGTAACGTTTTATCCACAGTGTATCTGTACAGTTAAGATTTGTAGCTGAGTGCCGGGCCTCCTCTCCGTCTGAAAGGCTCTCCCACGACTGAAGCTGCTCTTAGAGGAGAGGGAGAAACCTCATATACCAGCCAGTCATAAAACTCTACAATAGCCGGCTGGGCATGCAGCTAGACGGCTTATAGCCTAATATCTTAATTATTTCCGACCGCCATTACAATAGCCTCTAGAAACATTTCTTAGGTGGTTCACAAAAAACTAGTGAACCTGCAGAAGGGCAACCCATATTATTTTGGATTTTGAATTTCAAACAATGCCTTTTTTTCTGCGTCTGTATAATACACACTGATTAAAAAATATATGTATGTGTAAACCCACAGTACAAAAATACAAGCAGCTACTCCACAATGCGAGCTGATAATTTATTAAGCATTACACAAAAACACAATGTCATATGTACACAGAAATATACAATAAAAACATTCCTCCTTCACTTTGCGCACCGTTTTCGCGTAAACGTCCTCAATGTGAATAAAGATTCAATTTATACATTTAGCTCATACATAGAAGAGGCCTATATCATGGTAGACTACATCTAATGGTCATAGGTGAATTATTCTTCCCCTGGTGATATATGGGCATTATATTCCACGGTGGGTTAAAATTGCTAAAAGAAAATCTTTAAACCATGCAGTTCCAATTAAAATAAAGTAAATTCATATTTGTTTGAATAAATTTGTAAAAAAAAGATTATTTGCTAGTGGTGGGGGGGATAATTGGACAATTGAAGCCACCTTCCAGGACACAATGTGTTTTTTGAAACTGTGTTAATTTAACTCCACTGACACTATCCAACCATACGACAGAAGTGACAGAAACAGGTCGACAATACAGAAACACGACATCAGAAAACAATCAAATAGAGCCAATAACATTCTATTTTTTTCCTTTTATTTTCTCAGTAGCTCACAGAGGACGATGCATTGACTTTAAAGCTTAGTCTGGAAATAAAAGAAAGTTATACCCCACAGTGAAATAAGTCATTATGTGGACAAAGTGGTGAGGAAGATAGGGCGTCTTTGATTTCGCCAAAATTTCTTCTATTTCAATGTGATCACCTCGTTCATCATGAAAATCCGTAGTTGGAGGTGAGCTCCCGGATCCTGTTTTCCCGCGTCATTTTCTTCAGTTTCATCCTGCGGTTCTGGAACCAGATTTTAACCTGTCTGTCCGTCAGGTGGACGCTTTTACTGATCTCTAGGCGGCGCTCTCGGGTCAGGTACATGTTGAAGAGGAACTCCTTCTCCAGCTCCAGTGTCTGATGTTTGGTGTATGGACAGCGTTTCTTGCGACCGCTTTTTGCTGTCAGCCAGTTGGCCGTGTTTTCACTTTTTGTGTCTCCTAAAGAAAATGGCAGATACATGGTTTTACGCACAGCAACATGAGGGTGTGTGTTTGTTTACGCGTGTGTGTGTGTGTGTGTGTGTGTGTGTGTGTGTGTGTGTGTGTGTGTGTGTGTGTGTGTGTGTGTGTGTGTGTGTGTGTGTGTGTGTGTGTGTGTGTGTGTGTGTGTGTGTGTGTGTGTGTGTGTGTGTGTCTGTGTGTGTGTGTGTGTGTGTGTGTGTGAGAGAGAGAGAGAGAGAGAGAGAGAGAGAGAGGGTGAGTGTGTGTGTGTGTGTGTGTGTGTGTGGAGAGAGAGAGAGAGAGAGAGAGAGAGAGAGAGAGAGAGAGAGAGAGAGAGAGAGAGAAACAGAGAGACACTATCTAGTTGTATCTAGTATGTTTGTGGTTGTGTTATACACACATTACAGTAACGTGTCTGTGTGTGTGTGTGTGTGTGTGTGTGTGTGTGTGTGTGTGTGTGTGTGTGTGTGTGTGTGTGTGTGTGTTATGCGTAAAGTATGGCTTCTTTGTGACAGTCACCAGAGTTAGTAATAGTTAGAAAACATGACATATGCATAAACACGAATGCCGGTAACATTGTACACAAACAGTTTAGGGAAACGGAAACAGTTTTTGTGTGAATGAATATGAAGACATTATGGCACAGAAAAAATATAAAGGCCAAAACATGGCCTATGTACTAGTACATTTTACGCAGCGCATAAAGTAAATACTGACTGAGGCCATAGGTGTTCAAAATGTATATTGTATGTTTAAATATAGAATATAAATATAACTTATATAATTTAATATATTAGCGTAAAACTGGTGAATTAAACCAAATCTAGCTTTGCCATAATCCCTGACTGATTTTTACATTTTACGGGCGAATTCATGCACATGAACATCACTTTAATGCATATATACAACAAAAAACTAGCATCATTAGACTTAGAGACAACATGTTAATGTAAGAATTCCGTGCCCGTGCCTTGACTTGTTACTGCAGTCTAACCAGCTAAATGAAACTTGGCAGGTGTCATTAACAAAAAAAAAAAAGAACTCACTCTACCTGCGCTGCATGCAAACAAAACAGGAGTGCAGGACCACACCTATGAGGAACGGTGAATACCTTTAGTGGCTTTTGCTGGTCTCTCTTTGTCATGTTCTTCCGTCTCGTCGGCTGAAGAGACTTCTGCATCCGAGGACTCGCGTGCCTCCTCGGTCCCCGGAGCAGCGTGAGGCTGCAGGTCTGCGTTTCCCGAAGTCACGGGCTCCTCGGTGTTCCTCCCTTCCTGCGCCGTGGCTGGAGTAGAAGTCGAGGTTGGTGGCGTGTGGAAGCGAGCAGGAGCAGTGGGGTGTAGGCCAAAATGAGAATGGGAAGGGTTCGGCTGGGGGCCGTTGGTGTTGTAAAGTTTATGAGAATGTGCGTGCGTCTGAGACAAGCGGAAGTAGCCCGGCACAGGCACTGAGCCCCCGCCGCCGCCGCCATCGGTAACTGTACAAGAACTCGAGCCCAGGCCGGTTGTCGTTAACCTCGAATATGTAAGATCTTCGGCGGTGGAGGCTTTAGGGCACTTCGGCTGCTCATACAGGCAGTAAGTGCTCTCTTCCTTAATGTTCTGCGGGAACGAACAGGGCGCGACCTGGGGACCCACTGGGTGCTCTTGGTCCATTCGACATGACCTCTGCGCGTCCATCCACATCTCCATGCTGGACATGTACGCGCCTGAGGCGGACACCATGTTCTGGGGACCCACTTCGTTCCGCTTACCCATACCTGGGAAGTATCCATAGTTGTGTAGTCCGTAAGGCACTTCTGTAGCGGTGCTATGGGGCACGCACACCGCGCTCCCAGTGTAGTGACCTCCGCCGCTCTCGGTGCGACCACTGATCAGAGAATCCACTAAAAACGCATTTCCTGACGGGGTGTCCGAACATGACATTATTGTGGTGTATTTTGGCGAGGGGAGAAGATAGCCCTTTCTGGCTGACATTTCTTGTGCAAAACATGCTGGATATGATTAGAGGCACCCCCCTCTCCACCGTGCGGACTGTAAAACCAATGGAAATGCTGGAAGATGGGCAGTCCCTCCCACTCCGCGGCTACGTCGCAGCCGGAGCGATATCTATCATGGAGCTGAGGCAGAGAAAGGAGACAGCACAGTAATCAGCGTGTTCCCTCACCTCGCCTTAATGCACCACCATTACCCCCGCAGAAGGGGCGAGGTCCAACGATGCAAAGTTTCAAAAATACATATTTAATAAAAAAAAAGCAAATTCCCATTCATGGATTCCTTAAGTACGCTTTGAAATCACTTTCCAACTGTACAAACCACCAAATGATGCCTGAAGCACTGATTCCCCCCTCCCCTAAATGCAAATCAAATTTTACCACAAAGCTCAACAGTGGGTGCAACACAGACAGAAGAATCAGATTTATAAAATCAAAAACGGATACGGCTTAAGTGAGAGTCGTGGAGGCGAAAAAAAATCCCTTTCGTTACAAACACTAAAAATGCTACTAAATGAATGAGATATGGCCCTAAAGTGGAAAATCAAGTTTAAAAGTACATAGCTGCCGAAACCCACCAAAAAGAGATACGATAACAAAACCATGGGGCTTGGTGGTAATAAAATGTTTTTAACTATAGGGAGAATTCGCCTTTGGCGAAATGACTTGGCAAGAATCCGTTTTATATGGTGCATCCTTTTAGCCTCAAGACAGTCTGAACTCTTCCGCACTAAAAGCAAAGGTGTTAAGACTAATGTTGCCTAGAGAAAGAGTGAGAAATATCAAACATACAACTGTGTACTTTTTTCTTTTCTTTCTTTCTTTCTTTCTTTCTTTTTTTATTTTCGTTTATTTATTTTTCCGCAGGGAACCTCTTTGAAGTAGTTAAGTTATCAAGTTTACCTCTATGAACTGTCCTGCTGCACTCCTAAGATTACTGTTTTACATCAAACACAATCTTGTTTAACCTATGGCTTTGGACTAATATTGAATTATGTAAAATTCATTAAGAATAGCAAAGCTATGACCGTGTGTAAAACAGCGGCGACCCAAGTCCCTGTCACCAGTAATTAAAACCAATAAAAGTTACAGTATAAAAGCGTTTCTACAACAAATAAATGGCTCAGTATTTGACGAATTACTGCACCCTTTAGTTAATAAATTCTAAGATATGTTAGGGATACAGTAATTTCCTTTATTAGAGTCTACTAAGCACTGGTATTCTCTCAGTGATATATACAACTTATGTGCATATCATTTCACATTTCAAATGAAAACATGAAACTATTTTTCATTGGACTATTTGAAATTAGAATTTATATTAATAATGTTGTATTACTGTTTTTTTTTCCACTAATTTAGGACGTGGAAATGAGTTCATCTGCACCGGACTAGTACGCACAACACACAAAAAAGGCTCAACCTGCATGTGCTTTCGTTCAAAGCCTGGAACCACAAAAATATATTTTTGTACCGCCATATTTATCTGTTTTTCTTATAAACACCAAATAATACAAAAATAAAAAACTGTGCTCATCATAAAAAAATAAATTCTAATTTGTTAAACTGCCAAGGTATTGATCACGGTGTCGTGAGAGAACAGGCACAATGTGCTACAGGAGAGCAGACGTAAAGGTTGCACATACAAGTCATCCTGTCGGTCCAATTTGGGGCAATAAGGGCCACAATAAAACTCTCCTTCCATCTCGTAGTGTCCTTGGCCATGTGCACTCTATTGCTCTCCCCAGGTTGAAGTTAATCTCGGCCAGCTTTGCCATTACCAGGCCCAGGTGGCCGCTAGCCCCCCGGGTTGGTTTGCAGCCTGTTGTACTACAATGAGGAAATTTGGGAGAAATTCATAAATTGAGCCCATTTAGGTTTTCAAGCGCTCCTGTCATTGACAGCTCATTTATGTACACTGGCTTAGATTTTTAGCGCGTCGACGGTGGACATTTGTCACTCCCTCCTACTCAAAACGAACATATTTTAGAGGACTTAAATGACTGGAAGTTGGCTGAAGGTTATTTATGTGTATATGAATATAGTGCAATAGTCTATTTTAAAAGCAAAGTGATATATTAGGGAAATACAGGAAGTAAAGAGCATTTTCTGCAGTGCGGGACAGTTACAGGGGCCGTGCGTCGAGCACTTACGGCTGTATACCACATTCCCCCAAAAAACATAAAATAATTCACTACAATATTAACCTACCACTTACAGACAAACTAACAGCATTAGGTCCAAAGCTTGTGTACTCGTCCCCACAGCGGCCTGTTCCTGATGGGACATATGAGCCAGTAAGGAAACTAAATACATCAATTAATTATGTGTGCACGGTATTAAATTGTTTTGGCCTACACACTTCACGGTGTTGTACTGGCACGGGTGCCTATCGATATCTTCGTGTTACAGTTATTAATTGTAGCTATTAAATCTTCATTTTCACAGCTGCCCGGCTATTATATCCTCAAAACAGTTTACTCTGACCACTGGCTTTGATCCGGCCCATATAATCGTGGCCGAAGAGGCCGTTTGAGTCGTATCATGTTCGTCCCGAGTGCAGTTATGAACAATAATGCGGCGTTTTATTACATCCAGCGGAAGCATTTATTTTTCACGAGAGACAAAGGAGAAGGAGACTCGGTCCGCACGCATTAAGGTCCAGAATAGCCACTCGCCACTTGGACTGACACTGATAGCCTGATGGTGCAGATCTAGTGTCTATGACAGGAAGGAAGGGGAGACGCGAGTGCTGCCCTATCACAATCAAATCTACTTTTTTTATAATCAGAGCTTTTGTGCACTTGGCACGTACAGAGAATGGTGTGGTTTGGAAGGACGTCACATTTCGTTAGTGGACTTCTTTGAAGAGAAAGAAGAGGAAGAATGAGCATACAAGGCAGCTGCTGTGGTTTAAGATGAGCCGCATTAGCATGAGAAAAACCTGAAAAATGAAATCATTTGCTTTGCGTCCAGCACCAACTGCTTAGTGATGCATTGTTAAGATAATACTAACTGTATCCATTTTTTAAAAAAATGATTAAGGCAGACTTTCTCCAAATCCAAAACATTTGTGGTTAGACTGGACGGGGTTGCAGATCTCTCCAGGTACAAGTCGGCCGTGCTATACTTCAACCATTAAAAACCTCAAGCTCAGCAAAATGAATAGCACATGCAGCATGAAGGCTTGGCACAGATGTGTTGCCTTATTAGGGCCCCCAGGAAGACTTTCTCTACCGCACGGCCCAGTGAGCACCAGAGAGAAAATGTGGAAACTAAACTCAAAGCGACTCCTATCTCAGAACAAGCAGGCCTCGCATGCAAGAGAAGAATCTAAGGGCTGGGCAATACAGAAGGTTTATTCTTGCAAACTATTCAAGCTCCAGGCTGTGTTGACAACTACTTTTACCTGCGTGCATTCGAGGTGGGCTTGGAGACGAAAAGATCCACGGCCATGACATTGGTCCCAATAGCGCCGCCCGGTGGCAGAGGAGAGTCTAATCCTGAGTGCAGCCGGTCGCCACTAAACTGAATCGAGGTGGATAAACCACACGAGGGGGAAAAGCCTCTCAAATGAAGTCGATACAGCGAGCAAGCAGAGGCTTTTCCTATCCGTCCTCTCCCTGTCGTTGCTCTCGCCTCCTTGGTAACACAGTTAATAACCTTGGGTCTCAGACGGTTTATTGCACTGCACTCCAATTGTACAAATGCCCCAGACTCTCAGACAGCTTTTATGGCCGCGTTGCTGCGGCAACAGGGAGGATGTCCCGTAATTAGGGACGGAATTCCAGCGCGCAGTAAAGGATGCGCAAGGCAAGGCCGGACTATGGCAGAGAGAGGCAACCATAAACTTCAGCCTCTCTCCCCGCGTTTATGGCCCTTTTGACTGTCATATATGAACGCCAATGCGCTGCGGCTAGCTCCCATAAACACAGTGATAACAACAGCAAATATGGCGACCCTCGCCAAAGGAGACTGCTGTTGGAACAGTGTTTCCAAAGCCAATCTGCGAAATGACATCTTGCACACACAGACTACAGAGAGAGAGAGAGAGAGAGAGAGAGAGAGAGAGAGAGAGAGAGAGAGAGAGAGAGAGAGATAGTGAGATAGTGAGAAAACGAGTTCAAAACAAAGTGTGCGTGCTGAAATGCTGAATGTTTGGCAACAATAAATGTTATGGATATAGATAAAGGTGGACCTATAAGCGATCCACATTGGTTCAATAACAATGATTTTCTCAGATGGAATGCAAGAGTTGTAAAATATCTGGAATGGCTAAAAATTCTGAGATACGTGGTTTAAAATAATTGCAAAACACAACAGCAAAACACAATCAGAGAGCACTTTTTAGTTTATATTTTTCTATACTTGATCTTTTAAAACCCATAAATAAAGATTTAAAATGATATGTTACCATTTAACAAGATTGGGCAGCTTTATTGTTTAATGTGTTACTATATTAACTTTTTTCTTTTTTTTAAAAAAATACTAAACATAAAAACATGTTTAACTTGAAGTAGTTAGTGACTACGCCTCTATTAGGTTGGGCGGCTCATTATTTGCATGTGAGACCACAGATCCGTTGCACTTGGGTGTTGTTTAATTGTTTGTTGTATACCAAGGCACATAATTGTGATACTTCAACCGCAAGCGTGAGTTAAATGTGTGGATAAAAATGTCCATATGCGTGTTTAAGTGTTACAAATCTACATTTTTAAAATGAAAGCCTTGTGTAAAAACAGAACAATGACCACGCAGAGTTTCTCTTTCAATAATCTTTTCATTTGTTTTTTATTTGGAAATATAGTATAATACACAATAGTTTGGGCATACCAAGCAATTGATTCAATGCGATGACCCTGACCAGCCTTGCCCTGACAGCAAACTTGGAAATGTAGCTTTTTTTTTTTTTTTTAAATCTTCTTTAGACTGCAAGTACCAAAGGATCACGAGTCATGAGAAAAATATTCTGTTATGCGTATCAATATGAGACCGAAGAGGCCTGCTGCATATATACCTGTGTGAATGTGTTGGGCGTGTACCTCAGTGCAACTCCACACGGATCCAGTAGACAAGCTTATCTCTCTGGTTTGGCCTGCATTATCAATACTCGACTGATAGTCTCCAAAATCAAAAAGGACAGCATGGACTTGGGAATTGAAAGATACGCAAAATATAAATACTCATAGCCCTCATTCTTCAGGCTATACAGGAAAGACGATAAAAGCTCGTTTTGAGGTCAGCCCAGACTGAACACGGAATCCCAACAGCCTGCCTGTAATAATGGACTTGGTTATCCGTGGCATTAAAAGGAGAGAGTAAACGAGTGGCTACAAAATAAATAAGCACACAAAAACAGAAACACATTACATTCTCATCCGTTCAGACTCATTATTTGGTCACACCAATATAGATTCAGTAATTAAAGTCACATATTTGCCGTCATCCGATATTCACCACTTTTCTGATTTTAAAAACAGAAAAAAGTAAAATAAATCTTTTGATTACAAAATACACTGAGTCAGTCAATTAGTGACTGCTAATTTTTTTTTGCCCGCCTGAAAGGGAAATAAACAAGGCGCCTGTGAGTCACAATAATATTAACATGGGCCTTCGCGAACACACAGCCTTGGCGAGGACAAAAAAATCCGTTTCTACATTTTCCCAAAACAGAGTCTGAAGAGCGAAATCAAAGTCCACGGGCAGCCTTAATTCGTGTTCACTCTTTAGGTTATTCAGATCACAGGATACTGTTGTCCTCGACCTTGAAATTAACCATTGAGCAGTGTTGTTGCTGCTGTCGCGGCGGCCATTGTGGTACACAATGTACACTGGGAGAGTCACAGCCGGAGAGAGTCAGTCTGTCTGTAAACGCAGTCAGTCCCCACAAGCAGAGGACTTTGGAAGCTGTGACGCTTGCTGTTGTGACCCCTAAAGCAGAGGGTTAGATGTATAATATTGTAATCTATCTCTGTTCAGTTTCTTCTCTTTCATGCGACGGTTCTGAAACCAAATCTTCACTTGTCGGTCGGTGAGGTTGAGCATCCGAGACAGTTGCATGCGCTTCTCCTTGTTAATGTACACACTGAAAAAGAATTCTCTTTCAAGTTCTCTGATCTGATATTTGGAATAAGGACACCTTTTCTTGCGGGTCCTCTGTCCATCTGGAATGCACAAAAAGAGAGAGAAAAAAGACACCTGGTCAGAAAAATATAAACATTTCAAATTAGCCATGACTATGTTACAAAAAAAAAAAAAGATTTATACGCCTTGGATGTTGCCCAGATTACGCATGAGCGGATTTCCTCAACATAAAGCATTAATAACATATTTCCCATTACAACATTTCAAGTGTCATATATAGTGAGATTATATTACACTGGAAAGATGACCAAAACCATTGGTTCGCTAGACAATACACTTGGGCTTTGACCTTTTCTAGCAAATGAAAACAACAAGCTCAAGCTTCAAATGTAAGCAGCTACATGAACAGGAGGCCGTGCTGTTATTAGACAGTTTATATGAAAATATTGTGTTTTATAGAACACATAAAGGGGAAAATGTACAAATGGGAGCACAAGACTCCATGATAGCTTTAACACAAGAGCTCATGTGTGCTAAAACCTTAAACCAGAGGCACCACCCTCATTACATGCAAGCGCTCTTTTAACGTTAAGAAACCGTGAAACAAGCACGTTTATAATACAGGGAATAGACGCAGGGTCTGTGTAGGAATTTACATTCATAACTGGGTGTTTTTTGGAAACGTCAAGGAGTGCTACAGAAAAATCACCGGCCTGATGTCTTTCACGGCCAATTTCAATTCCAAACACGTGATCCTGCAGTTTATAACAAAGTTTTGTTGGGGGTGGGGGGGTCTACAGGCCCTCTATAAACCTTATATGCTTATAAAACAGCATATAAAATTTTTAACAGCAGTGCGCAAGATTGCAAACTTTCTCTCATAACCAAGGCGCTGACTTTAATACGTACTGCTGCTGCTGGATTTCTCTTCATTGTTGCCGGAAGATAACTCCGGGCTGCTCGTCTCATCCCGCGGCTCCTTCGCCTCGGTATCCCTGCACGATGGCGCGTCCTCCGGCGCAGAGCTGGGCTGCTTGGTCGGGGTTTTGTCCCCTGAGTAGCCATTTGTGGAGGAGTTCTCCGACGCGTTCCCGTAGGCCGTCTCGTAAAACTGGTCGAAGGCTTGTGGCAGCACGCCATTCCTGCCCACGTTCCCGTAGAAATTGGTGGCGGCAGAGCCGGCGCTTGTGTGGTGGTGGTGGTGGTGGTGGTGGTAGGCGGCGGCGGCTGCTGCTGGGCTGTTTTTACCGAACATGTCCCCCACGACGGCCGTTTGCGCAGACAGACAGTCCCGGTGCACCATGTCTTCCGCGCTGGGGTAGCACTGGGGCAAGTTCCCCCGGTGCGGCCATTTACCGGACGCGTCAATGGCTGCATAGTCCCTGAACGTCACCTCCCTGACGGGTTGGACCTGCGGCAGGTTAGAGGAGTAGGAGTATGTCATGGGGCGGGTGGACGGGGTTTGGGATAAAAACGAGGGAAGACCGGAGAAATCAGCCCCCGCCGAGACGTAATAAGTGCAACTGGGCAAATACATGTTCGATCCGACGGGGACCCTTTCGTCAAAATCCATCATCGTAGTTCACCCTCTACTATAACTCTATGTTGGGGTTTGATTCCTCTATAACCGCCCTGAACATGGCTCTGAAGCGCCGTGCCTCCTGCCTCTTTGAAGCAGGTTCGCTAAGCAGAAATTTGGAGACGTAAGCTGACGTGGAGAGCCATCTCCATCCACTCCACAGAGGAGGAGGTCACGTGACCACGCGGCAGAAATTGACAGATTTTCAGGCTGTGTGTATGTGTATGTGTGTTTGTGGTTGTGTGTGTGTGTGTGTGTGTGTGTGTGTGTGTGTGTGTGTGTGTGTGTGTGTGTGTGTGTGTGTGTGTGTGTGTGTGTGTGTGTGTGTGTGTGTGTAGGAAAGAGAGTGTGTATAGGAGTGTAAGAGAAATGACTGCTATGTGTCCTGAGGCTTGACATTGGGTTAATCGCAATGTCGGCTTAAAAATGAATTCCTTAACATGCAAGGAAGTCCAGAGGAAGAGAAAACTATAATTTGATGCTGGATTTTTTTAAGAGAGAAGAGGGATTTCAATCGAAGCTTTAACCAAAATATCAATATCAATTTCCCAGATGTTCTGTGCTTTTTCCACCCTCAATCTGCCCTGCAAAAATATTTTAAGCTTTTCTAGTTTTCCTTTTTTTTGTTATATATGCAATGCGTGAGAAACATAAAATGATTCTGGAAGCTAACTTGTCCGAGCCCCAGCTGACAATAACATTAACTAAACCAGAATAACTGTGCATAGATAACATGCCTGAATTGGAGGAAGGAGACAACCAGCTTATCTCTAAAGTCTGCTTTAAGAAATGTCTTAGTCATCATCATTTGGTGGTTTTACAACGTAGCATTTGGCCCAGTGGGCATTTGGTTATCAGGGTCATGTTCAAAGTAGCGGCTAATGTTTCAACAGGCTACAGCCTTGTGTTAGTAACAACATGATAAAGACCAAACTGAAATTTAGTCGAAATAAATACAGGACAGGGTCTTTAAAATGTATAGTGAACAGAATGCGAATATAAGGCGAACCCAGGAAAACGACATTTTGTTGGTCTGTGAAACCTTACACCAATAAACAAGTATTTTAAAATGTAACGTTTAGATTAGTAAATTCATTTGTGATATTTTGCATTTAATTGTGAGTAATAACAGAAGAAACTGACAAACTTTTCAGAAAAGGCCGAGTCTCAGTGAGGAAAACGCACAATAATTGTAGTCTGTCGCCTAGAAACATATTTTAAAAAGTCTGCTTCAATAGTCAAATGTTACAACCTCTTTAAAAAGATAGACTTATTCTATTTTTGAATGATCTTTGTCTTAGGGCTCTGTTTTGCCTCATACTAACATTTAATGGATCCACTAACAGCTCCAAAAATCGCAACATTCAAGCCCGGTCCACTTTTACGCATGGCTATTTCCTCATGTTTTGGTGCAAATATTTACCTCAAATGTGCGCCGTTCAGCACGAACACAGCTTCAAGATTCTTATAAGACACTTTTACGTTTTGATGAATAATAATTTACATGATATCTTTTCTATTCATTCCCATGACGCATATATACATACATTTGCGTAAATCCCATCAACACAAAATCAGAGGGGAAAACGTTGTTGTAAATGCAGGACTTTACAAGACCTGCAGCTGTAATTCAGTTACAATTCGAAATGTACAAGCAACATTTTATTCGAGAATATTTTTTAAAATGTGAATAATTTATTATATTGAGGGTTTAAATTGTCATTCAGAAATATGCAAATAATTTTGGATTTAGGGATTACTTTCCACTGAAGCTCAGGCAAATTAAGATAAATACCCAGTGTCTTTTGAAATGCAGATATTTCTCTTCTATTTGATTGGTGAACATTTCACAGTGCACATTCCCTGGCTCTCTGCTCTCTAAGGCCACCGTGGAGCTTGTTTTGGAGAGGCTGCAACCTGACTCTAATGTGCTGTGAATGAGAGACCTGAGCTCGGATTAAGACCGCCGCGGCTGGCCTGGCCCCACAGCCGATGTGCACATGCTGATCCGAGGGGCTCCTGATGGCACATGTGAAACACAACCTTAAAATATCACACACACTAAGACGGTTCAAGCACCAACTAACGCCCTATGAGTGAATCAAAACAGGGAAAAAAACATCCAGTCTGTCCTTTCCACCGTCCTGCTTGCAGGCCATTTTATTTGGATAAATTGCAGGGACACAAACAACTCGAGTGTCTTTGCGACCACACGCTCCGCCTCTCAGTCAATCCAGACAAATTCTACGAGTTGTGCTGAAGCTTTTAAGCTGTAATTGAGCACAGGATGCCCAGGAAAACCAAAGCCAGCTCTGCACAGACCTGCGTTTTTATAGCTGCTATAGTATTCTGCTGCGCTTTTTTTCTCTCCGGCCAGACAGACACCACAAAACTGACCAAGCGTGATGGGAAGTCGCCACCTACACGGACTCAAAGTCAGCAGCTGAGGATTTTCAACGACATAGAAACATATCATGTCCGTAAACAACTAAGGTAAGGTTTTCTACTCAAAATAAATAAGCATATCTCTAATAATTGACAAAAATAATAATAATTATCCTAAATCAGAGACAATCATTCGAAATTAAACGCCAGTATTATGTTAAATGTGTTTTGTATTAAAGAAAGTCGTTCTGCTAATCCGATGACCATCCCTCTTGTGGTTTTTGGCCATCAAACTGCAGTCTGGCGCTGCGTAAAAGCTCTCAAAGCCAAAGCTTTGTCTGTACGGTCGACTTCAAGTTCGGGGGAGGGAGAGGGTCCTCCACAGAGAGCAAAGGGCCCACTGTGCCCCGGATGGAGTTCCTTTAATTGCTTTTGCATTTACGCAGGCTTTAGGTTACAAGATTGGTCGATAATGTGAGCCTGTATCTCTAAGCTAAAGCAAAGTCAAATGAACTTCACCTACGCACTAATAGTGTTTCTTGAGATATTTTGACCTTTAATGTACTCTCTGCTGCAGGTTTAAATGTAACTCTAAATAGTGCTCTAAATAGTAAGCCGTTGATACAAAAACATGATGTTATTCTCATCAAAAGCCCTGAGGTAAATAATAATGTAATCTTCATCTATGCGGTTGAGGCAAAGAAAACATTCAGTTTCTATCCGATTTTGGATAAAAGAGGAAACATAAAGTCTGAAACATAAACTTTAACGCACTGACTTTTGGTGATAAACAGCAATAAGTCACTATGAAGAAGATCTGATGCGGAGACAGAATCCGTGAGTTAACTCAGGGACACCGTTTTCTTGGCCTTTAGGTCTAAACGTATGTTTTCCTATCTTAGAGCGCGCACACACACAAACACACACACATCAACACTTGGTTGACGTTATTTAGATTCAATCAAACACTAAAAATCATACAAAAAAATCATACAATTACAATTAACACAATACATTTAACTTTAAATTAAGTATAACTATTATCCTGGAGTGACAGACGCGCAGTAGGGTTGTCTCACTCAAGAGAATGAGACACACAGCCCAATTCGCATGCCATAAAACCTTGTCAGACAACAAGTAAACAATCAAGTGTGGGGAGGATCTGAAAGTACAGTTTAAGGGTACGTCAGGTAGGCCCTATAGGCTGTAAAAGGGGGCTAAAATGGCGCATGCAGTGTCTTGCAAAGAAACCTCCTGTAGTTTAAGTCTTCAAGTGAAATAAAAAGCCCAGAGCGTTTAGTACAGGCTGTTTTGTTGTTTTCATTTTATGGTAGAAAAATAGGCCACCGCACCTGCGCCTCAAAGCAACTCTTCTATATATTCTTATACTCAAAATGAAAACACAGTCTTTAATGTGTAGTGAGCTGAGCAGGAGGCCGAAGAGATACCGTATGCCCATACAATAAGAAGACGGGTTCCAACTGTGACCTATTAATGTACAAACTCTTATAAAGCTATTCAAAGATCACAAAACACAACTTAGCTAAAGATGGAGGTCTGTAATTCGTTACGGGACAGCGGTCGCACAACCAAAAGAAACCTGGGTGGAGCTAATTAATGCATTTATAATTTTCTGCCAAAACATCGATTAAAAATATAATTTTACGCTTTTACTTGTGTTTTTGTCTTTTAGATTTATACACTAAGAGATTTAAAAAAGAAAGTGTTTTTGAACTTGAATGGTACAAGGTCTTGGCTCATGTTGCTGGCAACACTGATAGGATCCTGGAGTTGCGGGGGGATTATAAAACCATCAGACTGAAACATGAAACAATCAACGAGAGCTTGCACTCAGTACAAATGAACGAGCAGGAAAATATCAGTAAATTTGAACCTGATTCAGCGAACAACTGTTGATTTATCCACAGGTGACAGAAATGTGGGCCGACCGCGATGGCGACGACAGAGGGGCCAGGCGGACCACACAGGGGCCATGCAGGGAAACTGACCAACTCCACGGTCAACGGGAGAACCTCTGACTAAGCAGTGGAGACTCGGGATTAGCCTGTAGAGGGTATCCTGGGAAACAAGGCGTGAGCAGCAGCGGGCCTGGACAAAAGGATATAAACTGGACTTCAGTTGGGGGAATAAATGACACTTTACAAAGGCGGAAAAGATAGAAGGGAAAAGACAGACTGATAGAAATAAGTCACAATTTAGGTGAAGTGATCAGATTAAACAAGGAACTCATAATGTGCAAACAAGACTATTGCGTCAGAAAAACCTGTCTTAATTACGCACTTGCCATTGCTGGCTTGTGGGATTTTAGAACGAAAAAGAAATTGTGAGGATTAGAATTTAATTTCAGTCCTCCAATTGTTTGCGTGTGCCCAAAAATAACATTTCTGAAACTTTTAATAACAAAAAAAAGTCGAATTGAGCCATTGAATCCTAAACCTTGTGTTATTTAAATGGGGTTTTCTCCCCTTGGTCCTTTGATTTAAAAAAAGAAGTCTATTCTCTAGATGTTTGCTTCGTTTTCACTATCTGTACTGAATTTAAGATGCACTTAAGATGTGATCTCCCACAACAAGATACATAGAATATTTAACAGTCCTAGGAGCTAATTTTACATTTCCAAAGAAAATGTTAAGTCTAACTAAGGCAACGCAGTTATTTTTTATCCAAACACTGGAAATTTAGATGACATTGCTTTTTTCCGAATGTAAATATTTCGGTTAGCGGCAATAGACACTGCATATAGTCTGCTTCAAATAGGTACAGCATTTAGATCAAATATATTCTGACTCATGGTAAACAGGTTTATTCGATTGAACCACCAACTTCAACAAAAATGTGTCCGCTAAAATACATTTCTCACTATACATTTTCTTATAATCACCTTTGCCTCGCATTTTTCTATCCAAGCTCAAATTAACAGATCTTAACTGATCCAGGTACTTATGGGCATCAAATGGCCAAATACAATATCTACTATCTCCTTAAAAATCCCAGTGGATTGTAGTTCAATAATTTATTTAAAAGACCAAAATAGGTGAGATTATTACCCTTTCATTAGCACTTATTCAGTTGTTTTTTTTATTTTTTCATATCAGACTATTGTCTGGATAGGATACGAATATGAAACAACTGCAGCGGTTTTTAAAACAGTCAAAGAAGCACAGATTTCTATATTCCTCCATATCGCTTTGATAGGGAATCACATGTTCAAGAAGACAAGCTTTAGTGTATTCACCAAAGATTTGCGGCACAAATTGGCCTCATAATATGTTGTGCAAGTTTATGTTTATTCATTGACTACAATAAACGTGAAACATGTATTTTGTGTTATGAGAAATTGAGTAATCTGTGTTTAGGCAAATAAAAAGCAGGCGACGCACATGTTCTGCTTTCACTGACGCACTCGTACCCTCGCATCTTTCTTTTTTTTTAAACATACCTATTCCATACATCCTTCATAGATGAACAGTAAATTATATGGCCTTTATATATCAAATCAAATGAGACCAGGACAGGAAAAGCCCGTCTGTGGAGGAATAAGGCGCCGACTGGGACACGGAGGAGGCTTTCACATAATCTCGGTCAAGTGCTTCTATTTGACCGCTGTCACGGTCTCGGATAAGCTTATGTCTGCTCAGGTCTTTGTGGTGTATTACAAGATTATCTTCCAAACTCATGCTTTCATGTTTGACCAGCACTATGTTGTTGACTGGCTGAAGGTTGCAGGCCTCGGCTCTATTACGCAAAGAGAGACAGCGAAGGTCAATGTAAAGAGCAATGCCTGGTGTTGGCCCTGTCTGTGTTCAGCCACTCTGAGAGACAGGCGAGAGACAAACTGCTAACCTATTCGGATGTGTGGTCTATTCGACCCACTCACTGACCCGAGAACCTCACACGGTATCAGTTTATTTAATAAAACTAGTTCCCAGCCTATATACCTACTGTCTGTGACGATGCAAAATAAGGCCTAGTCTGTTCAGTTCATTTGACGAAAATGAACTATGACCCAGTTTTAATTTGTTTGTTTGTTTGTTTGTTTGTTTCATTCAAACAGCAACATTTTCACAATTGGTGTAACATAGAATCGAATAGCAAAATATCACAGGCTTTAAAATATGTTTGAAAACGAACTATAAAAGAATTATTTCCTTCTTACTTCCCTTTCTTCACTCATTTGTGATTACAGTGAACGTGAATGGTGCATGGAACTCTATGTGTGGTATTTTAAAGTAAAGAGTAGCTTAATTGAAGCATTTTTGAGTAGCTACTGAAATGGACTGTAATTCACTATTTTGCCTGAGTGTGGCAGCAGAACTCAAGTCTTCCTCCTGTTTCCTGCCGCAGCCGATGGGCTGGCCCATCAAAGATGGCTCATGTGAGGAGGAGCGATAGGCGGAGCGTTGAGCTGGGAGCTTTGGACTGTCTCTTTATGTGTCAGGTTGGAGGCGGGACTTGTAAGCTTGTTTTGGTTCTAAGCAAGCCAATGAGACGTCGCTGTCGGGTCCTCGCAGCCAATGAGCTGGCGCGCTTGGCACTCGACTGCAGTACACTTCCGGTCTAGAGCTCATAGTTCTTCCGCTTTTCTGTGTTTTTGGACCACAGGAGGCACTTAGCAGTCAGACATCACACTTTTCTCCCCATCTCTGAGCTGATTGTATAACACGTGCGCGCCCCGCCAAGCCTACGTCAGATGACGTGGGAGCGTGCCAACGCTGCATCCCGTGCTCGCGGACGCACTGTCACACGTATCTGCGGAGTTTCTCTCAGTCAGCCAGCTGGCCATGTGCAAGTCATAAGCACAAGATATCAGACTGCTCACTATTTAAAAATACTCTACAACCCAGCCCTCCGTTCACTGTGTAAATAATCCTGAATGACTGTTTGTTTAAGCTACTGAATATTTGCCTTTGTTACGCCACTGTGAAACAAATAAGCTATGAATAGTAAATGTAACTCATTTAAATCAGTTTATATTACAAGTATGCTTTGAAATGTTAAAAAACAAACCCATTAAGATCAGATATTAGACGTTAAAAATATATATATAATCAAAAGTTTAGTTAGAACATGATAAATAGACTATCTATAATATATATGGCTACAACTGACAACCACAACAGCATTATTGATAACTATACGACCTATAATACTACTACTAATAATAATAATAATAAAAGTCTATGCACTTTTAATTATTGTGAGGAGTAGGAAATAAAGGATCTAAGTCTTGTGTACTAATCTAATGATTTAGCCTGTGTGCTTGAAATTCTTGGGAGAAGACATAATGGACAGCCGTTTCATTTAACTAAATTGGCTAAAACAATTATATCAGCACGTAAATCAGCCTAACAGGTGGGGAAGCTTGCTAGAGGAACTGGAGCTGTGAATAAGGAGGAGCTTGGTTTCATGCCTGACATTTGACTGCCAGTAAGACTGAATCATATTTATTAATGCAGCCAAACCAAGCATGCTGGGATGTTAGGTTTTTGGCTGCAGCAGCGGTAAAAAAAACGGCACTTAAGCACTCAGAAAGAAAATCTTTTAGAACAGAAAGTAAATATTCACACTTTGCTACGTGTATAGTTATTGTCGACAGTGAACGATGGAGTCACTGGAGACAAAGTAGATACGTTTCCAGTACAAACACATTGTTTTTTGTTTTGGGGTTATTGCTGTTTTCTTTGTTGTGTTTTGGGCTGTTTTGAAAGCACAAAACCACCCAGAGTTCAGATTAAATTCTCTTGAATGAAAACTACAATTCACTTTGAATTTATAGCACCAATATTTTCCTATATTTCTTAAAAAGTGACGCGTTTTCGTGCAAAATATTTCAACGAACCCTTAAGAAAAATGCACCAAATGAACATTTAATTAATGCCAAACATTTGTGCGTAAAATGCGTTTTAATCGCATTCATCGAGTGTAATTTTCGGCAAATTATCTTCTGCTTCTTAGTTCTGATTAATCCAGTTATCACGGAAAGCCTACAGAAATGGTGAAAGTATAATTAAAGCGATTAGGGGGATTCCTACCTACCGGGGTTCTGATTTTTGTTATACATACACATACACACACACACACACACACACACACACACACACACACACACACACACACACGCATTACAAAAAAATCTTCAGATAAATAAATAATGCGGTGGTAGGTTAATTTGTACAGAACAGACTGATACCCGGCCGCCTGCGCCGTTTGAAGCCAGTCGTCTGAATAAATGTACTCAACGTTTAGTGATTCAGTCTTACCAAATACATTTATATATATATATATATATATATATATATATATATATATAAAATATATGATAATAAATGTATACACATGTGTCAACTTTCAACGTATAAAATAGCTGCATCTCAGAAGACGCAACTTATTAAAACAATATAGGTCCAAATACCAGAGCAATTTATAAAAAATGTGACGCGTATTTAGAAAGTCATCTAGAACTGTAATAATTGTATCTTTAACATGTAGAATATTTATTAATACAACAGTAGGTTTAAGAAATACATTTGCAGAGAAAGTGCAATCATTTAGATATTTAAGAGACTGTACAGTCACACAGAGGTGATTAAGGAGAATATTTCGCAGCGTTTCATTACAGAAAAGATTTACCTGCACTTTCTATGCATCTGTTTATTATACGGCTGCCTTCTCGGTCAACGTCAACAACAACATATTCTAATAATAAAGATTATTATAATTATTATTATTGGCCTATAAACTCTGTATGGGATGTTTGAACGCTGATAATCCACTTGAGTATTTGTCACAAAGTCGGCGCTAGATGGCGATGTCAGCCTATATTTCAGCACACACCAGCCTCAACTGAATTATTTCCACTTTTCCCAGAGTCAAACAGAACCCCTGCTACACACTGCAAACATTGCAATTTCTGCAGACCATTTGTACACAATGTTTCGGAATAAAAGAAAGCCACTATAAGAATCCCCTCACTATTTAAACCTAATTTGTGACAAAACATGCACCGGGAATATGGGCCTTTAAGTAGTACGTGTACGTGTAGCATTAACGGGAGAGCAAAATATGCAGTGTTTGGATGTAAATACATACACAAAAACGAATCTATCATCATAGCGATGAAACGGATCAATTTTCAACATAACTTAAAATTCAACCAAGCCCACATTTTATTGTGACGGACTTTTACACCGACATACTGGACTCACACACAAATAACATGGATATCATGCCGGAATTTACTTTATATACAACCACATGAATACGCACACATTATAAAAGCTATGATTGATATGAACACATATCCCGAACGATTATCTAAGCATTATAATAAGAAGAATTGCATTTTGGATGCATTGGATTGGATATGAATGAGAGCACGGGTTCATATTATGAGAAGACTAAACTTCATACAAGCTAAGCATGTGAATAGGTTTTGAAAAGGAAGCCAGGAGAGATTAATATTTAACATTCCCAAGGTCCAAATCCGCAACACCGTCACTTCCTGTGAATCTTCGCATTTATCACTCTCGTTAAACTTGCAGATAAAGGCGTAGCTCGGTGGCGCACACCTTTCTGAGTTGAGGTCAGTTTCCCCTTTGAGAGTGAGCATGCCAAAAGCGAAAAAAAAAAAAAAAAAAAGAAGTCACACATACTTCAGCTATATATTTTCTCTTTTTTTCCCCCACTTGACTCCTTAAACAATATTTAACAACATGTGGCAGGAAATGGAGGGTCCAGCATTCACAGGCCGCAAAATTTTGTTCCAGAAGCTCCGGGAAATTATTTGGCAACATACAAATCAGGTTCAATCAGGAAGGAGTTTTATTGTTCCAATCCATAAGTCCAAACGTGTGTGTGTGTGTGTGTGTGTGTGTGTGTGTGTGTGTGTGTGTGTGTGTGTGTGTGTGTGTGTGTGTGTAGGCCTAGTAGTTTATCTCCCACAGATATTTGTCCGCTATAAAAAAAACTAGCTGATGGTTTTCAATTTGTTGACAACCTTCTTCTCCTTTACGCGTCTGTTTTGAAACCATATCGTGACCTGTCTCTCGGACAGGTTGGTCTGGGCTGATATCCTCCTCCTTTTGTCCTTCGTGATAAATTTATTGGCCGCGTACTCGCGCTCGAGTTCCTTCAGTTGCACCTTGGTGTATGGCACGCGCTTCTTTCTTCCACGTCGATAAGAGCCAGAGTCTCCCCCGGCGTGGGACACCGCGTCTGAGAGGGAGAGAGAGACAAAAGCAGCTGTCATAAGCTGCCCCTCAACAAGTAGTTCACCCTCACATTTGCTCCCAGAATATGTCCATTTTCATCCAATAAATGGACATATTTCCACTGGCTTTTAAATAAAATCAATAATGCTGTGTAGTAATGTGTTATATCCCTTAAACAAAGAAAAGGGTTGACTACTCTGTGATAATGACAGCTGATTAATTAAAACAAGTTTTTTTTTTCTCTAAAGGAAACTTGAGAATTAATCTCAGCGCATAGTCTTAACTTATTTTAAATAAACTGAACATTTTCCCCATTCCTTACATTATTTCAGTCATTTTGTTGCAGGCAAATTATCACACTTTTGTGCTGTTTGTTCTGCAGGTTGACACTGCAACTGATAATTCATATACCCTCTGTTCTACACAATGTGCATCCTGTTTGCTGTGCGGTAACCCACCAACATGTCAAGCAGCTCTGTCCAGTAAAAGCTGGACTCTAAAAGGGCAGCCTACCTGGTATGGAGGACTTCCACATGTGTCCAGGCTGGGGCTGCTCCTTGGCGCAGTAAACCTGGCCGTTCCAGCCGTTGGCGGCGAGAGTCCACGGTTGGTAGCTCTCCATAGGCAGCAGGGATTCGTGTCTGGCCTCTGACGGCGCACTGATTGTTGGCACCACAGGAACATCCAGGTAACTGGGGACAGGTTGGTATGGACCTGAAGGATAGGTCGGATAAAAAGCGAATTCCTTTGCCCGAGAGGTGAAGTCGTCGCCCGAGGCGGACGTGTCCATGTATTTCTCTCCATACGCAGAGGGGGGCTGCGCTCCGCACGATTTTATGCTGCTGTGATGCGACATTCTGCACGGATAATAGCCGCTACCGAAGTACCCATACGGCAAGGACGCGCTGGATGAATTCTGAGCTGCAGAGCAAGGGCTGCACTGTTTCACTGGCTCGCCCATACCGGAGGTGGGCACGTCGCTGGACGAATAAGCCGTGCTGGGTGCCAGGGACGCGGGGTGCGCCATCAGATTCCTACACTGGTTCGCAGCAAAGTTGCCACCAGCAAAACCCTCCATGTTCTTGCTAACTTCATCGGAACCGCCGCCGTTGTCGTAGAGGAACATCACCGACGGGTCGACCCAGCGAGGACGGAGGAGCAGTGACGTTGTCATAGCACGGCATCCAACATTGAAGCTTCTGGCTCTTTTTTAAAAAGCCCAGAGACTGAAAAAAGGAGATACTGGTTCCCAGAGAGTAATGCCACTCTGACGCGCACAAGAGCGCCGAGGTTGCGCCGTCATTGGCCCAGATGTTGTCACGTGACCAGAGTATGCAAAGAGGACGGTAAACATCACCCAGTACAGATAATTAAATGGAGAAAAATGCGGCGAAGTAAGGTGACCGTACCTATAGAGGGATTTCGCTTCGGCCGTGTCTGATTCAGTTGAGATGGATTTTGTGCCTTTATTTTTTTTAAAGTAAGATACAGAGTAGCCTATTTTTATTCATATTAGGTTATATTTCAGAATCACAAATGCTTAATCTGGATAATAATGGCTTGCAAACGCTTATTTTTACGTGTGAAGTTCAAATAAGAGTTCATTATTGTAAAGTCGTCAAGAATTTAAATAAAAAAAACAGCTTTGACTCATCCTTCTACATATTACTAATATTCATAGCCTTATGGCCTTTACGCACGCACACTGACCAGCCTTTGTCTGCGTCGCAATAGCTACTGGGTATCATTACAGCCATTTACCAAAGGAGTTTCCAATTTATAAATACATAATGTGAAAGTATATTGTAGAACTATTATTACAATGTTGCACAGGATCTATAAGGAATTAAACATACTTCAGTCACCCGCTGATGCACAGATACACTGTGTAGTATGTTTAACTAGACCGTCCGTGCTTTTTACTCCACAGTAAAGTCAGTATGGGATGTAGAAACGTATGAGAGTCGATATATTTGAAGTAACTCAATGTATGCATGCAGATATTTCTATACACACAGTAAGAGACGCCCCCCCTTACTCCTCCTTTAAGTATCTCCACACTAATTTCAGGTAGAAATAAAGAAAATCGGATGTAACGTCATGGTTTGAGGTTAATATTGCGGTTACTACCTTTCCGACATGTTTACAATATGCAAAGACAGCTCTGGGTTTGCCATTGCGTGCATGTTTTTACATAGGAGGTAGACGCGGCTGGAGGCCAAGGTCAAGTTGAAAGTTGCTGTCTAGCCATCCAGCCTGTCGGGCTATTCAGGCTTTGAAGGAACCGTCTGAGCTCTTGAAAAGAGCGGAAGAGGGGTGAGAATTCCTGTCCCAATGAAAGCTATTGGAGGACATTAACTTTTACTATCATTTTGTTTTCTCCACCGTTTATTCTCACCAACTAGTCTGTACCCGCTTCACTTGGGTGGTGCATACTTGTGTATCCCAGCGTTGGAAATATAAAAGGAATGTTGTTGTTTTTTTTATTTGCAGATCTTTTGGAGGTGTTTTTGGCAGATACGTGTGAAAATGATGTTGATGTCAGAAAAGAGGGGACGGGATAGACGTGTCGTGTGTGTCTGGTCTGCTGATTTGTGTTTACGACCAGTGGCTCTCCGTCTATTCTGTGTTGGAGGAAATGGACCTGGAGGAGCTTTCAGTGGAATTGTTACCAGTTTCAAAATCCGGCATGGGCTTTGACTGACTGAGTTTTGTAATTATGCTGGTGTGTTATCTGCTGGTAGAGGAACAAAATCTGTCGAACAGGAGCTGCCATCCCAGTGCGTAAAACTCTGATCCGTGCGTCTGGTTTCCAGCCTGTAGACTTATAATGTTTATGTAAATTACATTTAAAAAAAAAGATTTGGTCTCGTCAGCTTCCTTTGATGGATCTAAAGCTAAAGTTCAACGCAGCAAATCTCAACATAAAATTAACTTAAATAACATATTAAATAATTTTAAATTAGATCTTAGAAAGCCTACATACACAATGTATCACAGACTACAACATTCCTAAAATCAAAATGACTAACTTTGAGAACTGAAATAGACTATTCGCGGTTTTATACGGGAATATTCCGAACCAATTTGGGGGTTTGTGTTGTGGGCCTACTGGCGCTGGAAAAAAAACAAAAACAATACTATGGAACTTAAAATAAACAAAAAAGTGCCGAACAGAGCAAACAATGATGGGCTAACATTGTTTTACTTTACAACAACCAAGACTGAAAGGTGGTGTGTGTTGTAGAAACAGAAATGTCGAAATGTACTTTATGTTTTGTCTGGGGGGAGGGGCATCATTAATGCTGAATGGGATGAAACAACGTGGGACTGCATTATTTTTTTAAAATTCATTTTTGTTATTTAAAATCATTTGAGGGAGGAAATGTTGATACATTTTTTATAACCCAAATTTTTTTTAAAAAATGGAAGAGATTTAATATCATGTGTGTCTGATTAATAAAATATTTAAAAGAATAGTATATTAATACCATTCCTTTGGGAACATCAGTCATGAAACACAAACGTAGGCTATACAGCGTATTATAGCTACTTATTACATGTGAGTGTTAGGTCAGTGTGCCAAAATGCACGACTAGAAAACAGAAATGGGCTGCGGTTCGTCTTTTGGATTCAAAATGCAAAATATCTTCCTTGTCTATTTGCATTGTTTGCAAGTCAAAGATTTTGCACCATTTCTCTAGTTTACAGTAATCAAATCAAGTGTAATTGTGGGCAATCTTTTAACTAAATTTGAATATTTGCATTGCCTTCACAGAGTTGCAAGGAGGAAATCTCAGCTAAAATAAAATGTGTCCTTCAAACCATGATCACGGCAGCCTGGCTGTGTCTTGACCTTATCGTACAAGAAAGTCTAAGTAATGAAATCATTCAGCAGCAACAGCATGCAGCAACAACTATTAGTCATGTAGGAACTGCAGAGGCCTAGCCTGTTGCGCATTGCCCTGTGGCGTTTTCTTCAATGGAGGCAAATCCAGCTCACAAATAAACACGATTGCGTTAATCATTAACCTTTCTGTAATGTCATGTTAGAATTTACAGCATCTATCAGTATTCCAGCTACAGTCATGTCAGGCCTTTTGTGTTTTTCAAATCCATGCTGCACCGAGTAGTTCTCATTCAGGAATCATTTATGTTTTATCCATGTTTAGATCCTTTGATTCTTTTGTGCTACGGTCCTGCAGTCACAAACAAACAAACCCTGCTCCCTCGCCAAGGTGGCCGCCGGCGCGCACATGTGGTCAGTCCAGACCTGAGACATCCCAAAGTACAATGAACACACACTCTACAGGAGCGGCGCACACACATTGTCCCGCCAAACGGATGCACAGTTCAACATGGAGTTACATTCAAAGATTGTGTCACATGCACCCTCGTTATCGAAACACTTCCATTGTTGACTTAGTTCTTATTATCTGCAGAAAATGTAAGGAAGATGACAATGATCAGACTGAATGATGATTAAAGTAGTATTTTATGCAAGTTCCATGTGAGTCAAGTAAATAGTAGTGAATTTAAACTCTTCCTGATATGGATTTGAACCCCCCTGTTGATCTATCTGAAGGATCCCTGGAGGTTCCTATGTCTTGGCAGGAAAGCCTGCAGGCTTTTCTCTGAGGTCATTATCAAGGTTCAACCCCCTGTTTGTACTGGCACCCAAATTACGCAGCCGGAGAGAAAGAGCGCATTTATTCCACGGCCTCAGCGCCCGAAGCCTGCATGGGTAAAGCAGCAAAAGGTCTATATAAAGTTATGCTCAGCTATAAATTTCTATCGTTAATAGCATAAATTGTGTTATAAAACGGGCTGCTAAGAGAACTACATGCAGTCAAACTTCATTCCTGTTGATGGCACGTGTTTAAAGTAGACGGCTGTCAAAACGTTGTCAAAACATAACAACCAATATGTTTCTGTGGTCAAAGCAGTGAACCACAGGGCGGTCACACCCTTGACTTTTCCATATTTTCTGGACGGTCGCCTGCGGTGTGATTATGAAGGATTGCGTAAAAACAACAAGAAAAACTGACCCACTTCATTTTCGGACACACGCTCAGGAAACCACCTAAAGGTTGGTTAAACTGGGAAGTTTCACTCCCAAGGTGTTTCTGATGTGTGCTTCTGACGGACTTCAGTCCGTTTCTGTTCCTCCAGCAGAAGTCTTAAATGTTGCGTTAACAGCCTGCTAAGGCTACAGCCTGTGAGCTGCATGTGAAATCATTTATTGGCATACAGGAATCTCACCAAATATAAAGGTCAGCGCTTTGTTTCATTGATGGTTCAGCCGGTACTCAGTTGCACATCTGTTGTATTCTGGATTGGAACTGCAACTGCATGGATATAGAGTATGATGGAGAGGATATGCTTTTAAATTCATTCTGGCAGGCGTACGTGTGCCAATCTGCCCCATTACAGGCAACCACACGGAGGAAAAGACATTAATAATTATATTAATAATACCATGAATTATTCGCACTTTAGGTCTTATTATTTTAATTATCATTATTATTATTATCATCATAATTATCATCATCATAATTATTATTAATATCATAATTATCATTATTATCATTAGCATGATCATATTATTATATTATTACTATTATTCATTTTGCTGTTTCTTTTGTTGTTGGTAATTTCCTTTATCGTCATCAGGATACGATGTGATCTACAGAGTTTCTGGCCTTTTGTTTTCTGCATCCAGCACAAAGGCCGAAATGAAAAGAACAGATTTCTGATTCCAGTATTAGTAGCCATGCGCAGCGCGTATATACGTTAAATAAGCAACATTAAATAGAAACTGAATTCAAGACACGACCTCATGCGTCAAATAACCCGGTGCACAGTTAAAGCGCTCACCTGTTATATTTAAGATGTTCTGTTGTTTTCTTATTGAAAAAGAAAATAGATGTGTGAACAGTGAACGCATGGCGCCGTTTGCATGTATATGAAGATGCTGTGGTGAGTTTAATTTAGCTTTCTTTAAGCTCTTTTACAGAACCAATGAAAACCAAATGAAAATAGTCGCTAAAGATAATAAGCAGCTGTCCATCCCTGAAAAGAAAAACAGCCAACTGTCAAAATATAGGCTACATAAGAAATACCGTGTAAACAATTGAACACTGTATTTATTTAGATTTTTAAGGCAAAATTAAACGAGACATCTATTTTATGTTATTGCCTTAATGTAAAGATTTTTTGATGTGTTTAATTTAATTACTTATAAAAGCATATGTCACTTCTTGGAAATGGATCTCATTATTTTCATAAGTTCCCCATAAATAGTAGCTATGTGATGTTTTGTGATTGATCATTTTAATAAAAAATAAATACGGTGGTACATCGGTACATATGGTGATTCATTCATAATATAACTGATTACAGAAACCGGGCCTATATAATGTCGTTTTCAATATGATCAGTTATCATAAAATAAAGTTCCACGTTATTTATCTCCATTTCACGCAGGCTGTGCTCTTTGTGCTCTTTTAGGTAGATATGAAAGACTGAAAAGCTATTACTTGGTTCTGTCCCACGTCGGGTCTGTCTGTTAAACGCTGTCAATCACATGCAAATTAGTTGGCTGCCAGTCTGAAAGTTACATTACACCGACACAACATCTGGACCTGAAATGCACTCATCGAAAAACGCCTTAAATTCGAGGATAGTTCTAGAAATACGAATATAAAATCCACCTCTGGAAGAACGTCCATTATTAGCTGCTAAAATTTGTTAAGACAAGATATAAAGAAAACAGTGGGACATAGACTTGCAATAGAACTGATGACAGAAACACTCTCTAAAAATAAAACCCATTTGCAACCAGACAGACTTGTAAATATCACCTTTCTCAAAGATGCCAGGGACGCACCGACCAGTCTAAAGAATTACATGCACTCTTGTGAAACGTCAGGGCTTTGCACCTGGTGTGTTGCCTTGCTACTGCTGAATTGGTGGTAAGCCATACCCCATGATGTTTTCCCCTTTAATGGGGTAATACAGGCCTGATCTCAGTGGCTTGCTAAGCCCTTTGTGTAATAGCGGAGGGTTTGCAGGATGGAGCAGGGAAGGAACGATAAAAGCGGCTCTTACAACGCAGAGAATTCCAGCTGTATAGTCATCAGGACATGTTTCGCTCCAAGGTCAGCGAGTTAACTCTCTGGTAGCTGCGTCATCCTGTTTCAAGGCCAAGTTGAAGCAACGGAGACGGGAGGGGCCACAATAATGAAGAGGCTAGATGTTATTTTCCTCCAGGTTCTTACTCCCCGTGTGAAACGCGGCGCACCTCAGCAGGCGGCACACTGAACACCAACCAAAAATTCATGCGCTATTATCACACATTGAAACGGTTTTTTTTAATGCTAAAAGCAAATATTCTGGCAGGTCTGACTACCAGGGCCATGGTTTGGATTACATGCGTACTGCGCAGACTCCATGGTCAAGTTCAAGTTGGGCTGGCTAGTAAAAGTGAGGGGCGCATTCTGCAGTGTCTGCCGCGGGGGGCGCTCCCCTTCTTTGATCTCCCCTGCAAAACTAGACACCGAAGCAGAGCCGTGACTGCAGTCAAGTTTCTGCACTTCTGCCTGCAAGAATGCGCAGGATTTGGACAGACTGTTTTGAAAATAACTGATGCATAGTCCATTCAGTCCGTCATGTAAATAAGAAAAAAAAAAGGTTCCACACTCAGCAAACTCTCCAAACCCATCCGCTGTCCTTCACTATCTAAAACACACACAATATAAGTGACACTACTGTAAACCCACAAGGTCATTCATCTATTGCGCAAAAGCCTTTCTAAGTGTTATCTCCGAATGATCACAAGATCCCATCTGCCCTGGCCAAGAACTGTTGCATAACTCCTGCTTAGTAAGAAAACAATAGGACCTTTGCCATCATTGGACGCCTCACTAAAAGACTACATGGTTACCCATCTTTATGATTTTGAAAGGAGAAGTAAACCATCACTGTCTCTAAAAACAAAGGACATTTTGAATCAGGATCCAAATTGTGTATGTTTTAACATGTAAACTGCACTAATATTACTATACAATATTGGCTGCACAAAACCTATTGATGTGGGGGAAAAAAGTTAATTTACTCTCATTTTAACTAACCCAGTACAGGAAATATAAGAGCAGCTGACCAACGTTTACCTCAGTGCCAATGAAACAAAAGACAATTGGCTTTTTCCCCTCCTGACTCAAGACAATACGTATGTTTCAACTGAGATGTCCCTTCAACCTTTTAGTACATTTAATTCTATTTTCCATTAGGGTCGAGAGAGAATAGGGATTAGAGAGATTAGAGAGATAGATATGATAACATCAGAGTCTGCTTTTGCAAACTCAAGAAGCTACATCAAATCATCAGAGAGTAGACACAGAGAATGGGGGGGGGGACCCTTTTTCCTTTGCTGGCCAGATGAAAGAGTCGAGGGAAAAAGCCAAAGGAATTTCCCTCACTACTCGATTGCCGGGCTGTGGGGGGGGGGCGGCCGCCGCTGGGGCCCTTTCCCTCATTCGGACAGGCGAGGGCGCACAAGGACAGCGGAGGCTGCCGGAGCTTCACAGTCTGGCTCCCTCTCCTCTTTTGAGACCACATGACTCCACCTCTCTACAGAACATCATGGCCGTCTAAGTATACCACTATACCCTACAGTTGCAGATCTGGAATCTGATCAGAAATCGGAGAAAAGGCTTTAGATGTGCTCAGTTCTCTAATGTATTGCCATTTTTTCACCACAACTTGAAACTGTGCTCAAACAGACTACATGGAGCAATATACCTGACAATTATTATAAGGCATTTAAGGTAAATTATCAGGTGCAGGTCAAAATATTACAGCTAAGTTACTGTGAGAGCAGAGCTAATATCTTTTTTCAGTTATAGACCCCAAATTTACTTTGAATCACATATTTTCTCATGTCTGCTCCTAATTATACATGAATCATATAGGATCAAATCTAGAGTCACTTACGCTCAAAGAAGTCAAAGTCAAAGTGAACACTTCTCAGTTGGCACCCATGTTTTTAGTCTAGGTTGAATGTATGACTGTAAGACTGTAGTGAACTTGATCCCAGCCTGAAGAGGCATCAACCTCAGAAAGCATTCAGTGGACGCTCTGTGCACTGCATCCTTCAACGTTAAGCATCAAGCATTAAATGAAACGACATTTTCTACAACTGTGTTAAATCCACGTTAGCCATGTGATTCCACGGAGAGTCTCTCTCTGTTCCCTAAAGACACAGGAAGGTAATATGTGCTCAGTTCATCATCCCTGCCTCAGCCCCTAAAGGAAATACAAGCCCTATATACTGTAACTACTCATTTTTTATTGTTCAGTGCCTTTTTACTGAAATACCATACATATGTATATCTTGCATTAAAGAGAGAAAACACATCCATCACTGCTCATTGCTGAGGCACAGTCACAGCATTATGTTATATTTTTATTGTAATCTGTGTAGGTAAGTGAGACAAAAACATTTCTAATTTCCTGCATATTAAATATCCGTTTAAAATAAAGTCGTATTCATATAATAATAGGCTTTATAGCTTGTTCAAGAGGCACAAATAATGAACTGACATTCCTGCCTGGGTTCTAGTCCACACTGTTGACTTTAAAGATGTCAAATGGGCTCTTATCTAAACTCTGACCACAAGACTTGACCTTTGAGGACTTTACTTGACTTCACTTTATAGGTGGAGATGAGAGAGGCACTAAAGACAGAGAGAATGAGTGCGATGGGGGGAGTGGTGGTGGGTAGGATCACTGAAATACAAGTAAATTATTGGTTTTGACTGATAAGTGTTATTTTGTATATTTTTATTATAACTGCACAAGTTACATTGAAAATACATGTATTTAAAGATGATATAAAATATACAGTTGTGTTTCTTCTTCTATTTTTTAAGCTTAAAGAATTTGATAGCTGCTTGTTGTGCCCCCTGACACCCCCCACCCCACCTCCATCTCGACGCTGCCATTTCTCCGTCTGTTTACCCATTTCCAATCAATGCGTGTCGTCATCAGGGGGGGGACCATCATGACGACTGGCCTATTAAGAATGACAGCTCGGGAGAAAGAGAGAGAGAGGGTAAATGGTGATCCCTCCCAGAGCTCCCTCTGCGCACTCTGGAGCGCTCCTCTCTCAGGGTCAGACCGGATTGCATCCCCTCTTTTTCCAGAAGCCTCTCCTTCTCATTGGGACGCAACACCCCCCTCCCCTCCAACCCATCCACCCACCTCCACCACCACTACACACACACACCCCTCCAACCTGAAAATCATCGTCTTGGTTTTGACGGCTCGCACTCTCCCGCGAAATCGGGGTTTTTAAGACGTTCTTGTGATGGAAAGCAGAGAGGAGATGGTGATGCTGGCGGAAGGAGGTCAGCTTGGCAAGAGCGGCACTAATATGTCGGAAACCATCGGGAGCCCCGTGCGAGAACCGCAGGGGAAGCCGGGCCACAGGAGCTGTCTGAGCCCCGGCGCTGCGCCCTACTCCCGGGACAGGACGGAGGTGATGGAGGAGAGCGCACGGAGGAATATGTGCGCTGATATGAGGCCAGTTGGCACGTCTTCCTCCGGAGAGAGGCACCGGAGTGATCATCGCCACAAAGACGGCAGCAGCTCAGACACCGAGTCGGACTTCTACGAGGAAATTGATGTCAGCTGCACGCCTGAAAGCATGGACTACCCAACAGCTAAGGGTAGGTTTGGGAGCTGCATGGCACTGCGGGTTTTTCTGGGAGTGCATGTTTGTGCTGATGAAGTTGATTGAATGCCAACGGGGATTGTGCCAATCAAAAAAATGTCAATATACACCAGGACATTTGAAAATGTGCATGCATCATATTTAAAAATGTAAAATGAAATCGAATTGTTAAATATGTCCTTCAGTTAAATACAGTTTAGCTTCAATAACAGCAATTTATAAGTGCAGTCGGTGCTGCACAGCTGTTCTGTCAAGTGACCAGTGTGGCTGGAAGCACGCTGAGGTGACACCCACAATCCAACGATGCATTTTCCTCTCTATATGTGACAATGAGTCACTTGTACAGCAAATCAGCATATATTATATATATTTACTGCATGACAAAGAAGGCCGGATTTTATGTAAACCACAAGCAAGAATATGAAGGGAAGGCCACTAACATGGGAATCTGTGGAGTGTCTACCCGGCATCTTCTAAGGTGTAGAGACTGTTAGCTGCAGATGTGTTTCATCCGATTCCTAAATTACGTGTAAATAATGTTATTAATATAGATATATGAATAATGCTGTTCGCATCAAACCAAAAGGATGTCAAGAAGACGAACGAATGACAACAACATAACCTAATAGTAATTATTTTATTTAGTTAACTGAAATTATGATTCAAACTATCAATATACTTTGGATAGATGTCATTAACAGAAATATTAGCAGGTAGTTAAGACTCCACAGAATGAAAGACCTGCCCTGGGCTATACATCAGGTAGGCCCTTATTAATAAAAGTGAAACACAGTGCAGTTAAAATAATGAAATTAGCCAAGTATTATTCAAATGTCACCTCTTAAGGAAATATCTTCTTAGATATGATACGAATGAAAGAAATAAAACAGGTTTTTTTTGCACCAGCTGAATGTCTTTTAAACTTATTGCCAGTTATATCTAATTAATTATTCTGCACCCTGATACAGGTCGAAATGGGGATTCTCCGGGTCACCCGAGTGAGACTGGTGCTGATCTGGGTTCGACTGTCCCAGGTCAGGGCTCTCTGTCCTATTCAGCGGATCAGATTCGCCGGTACCGGACAGCGTTCACTCGGGAGCAGATCGCACGGCTGGAGAAAGAGTTTTATCGGGAGAACTACGTGTCCAGGCCGCGGAGATGCGAACTGGCAGCCGCCTTAAATCTACCTGAAACCACAATCAAGGTGAGAGTGCCTCCAGGGAGCAGAGCTGAATCAGGCCTCCAGATAGAGTACATACAGGTCTATCAAAATCAGAGTGCTGCACAACCGGTTTGCGTTTAAATAACTGATTCCGAAAGTATAATTGTATATAAGCAGAAAACATTGCAAATAAAGCCAGTAGAGAAGAGTTATAACATGCAGACTAGTCATTCACTGGGAGAGAGGCCTGCATTTTTAAAAAAAATATTATTATTATATATTTTTTTCAACTGGTACAAGATTGTAATCGGTTTGTTTACTATTAAATCCCATATAATCCTCAAGTCTAAATCAAACAAATGCAAAAAATTCGTGCGTAACTCAAATCCAAATTTGTGCGTAAAAGCGGAACTACTATATGAGCAGCATATCTGCTTTTGTTATTATAGTCTGTCAGTGGGGGTTGTGGTTAATATTTGACCTGGTGTGTCTCTGTCCCAGGTGTGGTTCCAGAACCGCAGGATGAAAGACAAGCGCCAGCGTCTGGCCATGACGTGGCCTCACCCCGCCGACCCGGCCTTCTACACCTACATGATGAGCCACGCGGCGGCCACGGGGAACCTGCCCTACCCCTTCCCGTCCCACCTGCCACTACCTTACTACTCCCACCTGGGTGTCGGAGCCGGCACGGGTCCAGCCGCCACCCCTTTCTCCAACCCCCTGCGCTCCCTCGACAGTTTCCGGATGCTGTCTCACCCCTACCAGAGGCCGGAGCTCCTGTGCGCCTTCAGACATCCCTCCCTGTACCCGGGTCCAACCCACGGCCTTGGTCCCGGAGGAAGCCCCTGCTCCTGTCTGGCCTGTCACTCCAGTCAATCTAATGGTATCTCAGCCAGGCCCACCGCCTCGGACTTCGCTTGCTCCCCAACTAGCAGGACTGACGCTTTTGTCACTTTCACGCCTTCAGTTCTCAGCAAATCCTCATCTGTGACATTAGACCAGAGGGAAGAAGTGCCACTGACCAGATAAAACCAAAACAAACAAACTCTTGCTCTATATCCTAAGCCTTTACCATAAGCTTTTTAAACCTAACATATAATAATGACCAGGACTGAAACAGCATGAAGAGGTAGCCTGTAAGCAGTGCAAGCCAGCTTAAACTCGGGGCAAGATACTTAACCAGATCTTCAGCTATGTGACGCACAACGGATCTCCCATTACTGAAAAATAATAATCCCATTGCAGAGCCAGGACAGTAGGCTGAAATATGACGGCATGGACACAAAAGCAGATTTGATTTTTAGAAGATTAATTTGATGTGTGGTGGGGGGGGGGTTTCCAGAGAAACGTTTAAATCTCCCGTGATGGATGGCGTTAAGGTTTTTTATCATTACTTCTCGTCTCTTTACGCGTCCAAATCGACCTACATGTATTGTTAGTTACGCGAGAATGATGCTTTCTATCTCTCTTTTTAACAAGGGGATTTGTTAACAGACTGCGGCCGTCTCATTATAAAGCAGCTCTCCACACCGGGGCCCTCCACGGCGGCCCGGGCCGAAATGTGCAGATGCTAGTGAAATTAATAAGTGATGTATATGTACGACCCGGTGAATTTTTGAGTGTTGAATTAATGATAATACCAGGAAGGGATCGTTACTGCCAAAAGGTAACAAGGCGCCAGGGGAACGGATTACTACAGCCCGCACGGTTTGACGAGGAGGGAGGGAGAGGAGAAGAAGGACCCTGAAGAGGATGGAGAGACACAGAGGGAGGACAATCACAAAGGGGAAAAAAAAACGAAGTGAACATTTTTAAAGGCCATCAGTTTTCTCTCTTTATGATATGAGACAGTTCGAAAAACTTATGACAATGTGATTAATATATTCCTGTAGGTCTCTTTTAAAATATTAATTTCCCTCGCTTTGCACTCCTACAGTGGCACCAGTTTAGTGGGCTTTTGTGGAGAAAGTGGACTAACAAGTGACTGATTATGTTAGGTTTTTTTTGTTTGTTTTTTATGTGTTTTCTTTTTGTGTTTTTTTTTTTGCTGGTTTGTCCTCAACGTCTAATTTGCAATAAACACTGTCAAAGAATCAATGGAGCAATGAAGTGTGTGTGTCTTCTAAACGCCTTTATGAATTATTGAAATAGCCAAAGGCCCGAGTGCAGGCATAAGAAAATGAGAATTCATTTTTAAAAACGACCTAAAATGTTCCTTTAATCAAAAGAACAATAACAATAAAAATAACAGCCAAACAAGTTTTCCTCCCTTCAGATCATCTTATTTCGTGTGTATGCTGTTAAAGGATTTTCGATGCTCACAATTGTTCTAGCACCCCACCTTCCAATAATAACACTAATTTTGTTCTCAAGTGGTCTGTGTCAGAAACACCAGTGTGCCCCCATATCTCCTGATGGGACCGCTAGATTGACCGTGACAGTTAAGTGGTCCCCGGGCTCCGCTAACGGTCCTCATATTTTCTCTCCGACCACTTAATAGACACGACAGAATTAGTTGTCTGAAGATATTGGAAATGCACCGAGATCGATGATTCAGAGGGGCCCCGCCACCAATCAGCGGGATCTTAATTGGCCACATTTGACCGGGGCTGCGCAAATTAAAAGAGTTTTCTGAGTGTAATAGGATTGTGGTCCGCAGAGAGACACACAAATCACATTTTAAAATGGGTTTTCTGCGTCTTAGATGGGAGGGATCAGAAGTTATTGCAGTAATGTGAGGAGAAATAGCTGGCATTTAGCATGGGCCCTAAATCCACCTGGAAATTATACTGGCCAACTGCGTCATTGTAGCAATAATCTAACAAGCAAGGTTGCATTTTATTTTTTATTTTTCAAAGAAATAGTTTTCTTTTTTCAGATTTTTACATAATCCTTCAGTCTTTATACCAACGAATAATACATTAATTCAAATTATTCCATCCCATTGTGTCCAGGTTATCTCCTCTCTTCCCAAAATGGAAAACCAGACACCAACAATGTCCTTTAAAGTCACTAGATTTCCATCCTCCTCTCATGCTTTCTGAGGTAAAAGGTTCATCCTAATCAGACAGTACTGCACACGCACCGCACCGCAGAGCCCTCCCCCCCACTACTCCCTCCCGCACACACGTTTGATTGATGGCCTTATTAACTGGAGTTCTTGTAAGTGTGACCGAGCTGATTAAAATGCATATGTTTGGAATAATACACCGTTTAAGCCGCCCGGGTCGGGGCGAAACCACAAGGCAGATTTATGTAAACTATCAGCCGGTGTCTTTAAGCCTGATAGGGACACGGGTCATGCAGGAAAGTGGCTTTGGTTTGTGCATAATAAAATCGTACCATAAAATAAAGATGAACGGATCAGGGTAGCTGAATATTCAAAAAAAAAAAAAAAAAAAAAGGCGCAGTCTCTCCAAAATTCTGGTTTCATGGCGGGTTATTTTTAACAGCCTGGAAAGCCTGGAGCTGATTTTCATTTGGTTACACAGGAGCGGCTGCACTCTACGATCATCTTCGAAACCCGCGTCACACTGTGCCAGAATGACACATTAAAGTGAGGCAAATTACAACCACATTTACCCAGCCACGCATATGGATCTCCATCTCTATACGACCGAATCCTCAGCGGCCTAATCCAGCATCAACATGCCATTTAATCGCTGAAAGATTGCGTATGACTGAGCTTCAAGATATGATGGGCTCATAGATTGCGCACATAACTCCAATTACACCAGCCTTATAAGATCCTATTTGTGAGAATTGGCTCAGGGCTCCCCCAGCTCCCACAACTAGCACAAAGCATTTTGATAGGGGCGGTGCAGTGCAGCTGTCCACCGACAGCAAATTCAGAAAAAAACACCAAATGGATCTGTGGCTGCTGCTACCGCTGTTTAAATTGGATTACATCCTAATTTACAGGCCCTTGTCGTAACGCAAGGGGCTGGCGGAGGCGTGGACGGACCAATCACACAGTAATGATGATGAATGGGAGATTAATGCGCATACAAGCAAGACAATTTAAGCCTTCATCTGTTTAAATAGGCTTCCAATATCATTTGGAAACGGGGGTCACGTTAAATCAATCGGGGGACGCGTGAAAGTCGTTTTCGGCGGCGTCTTTATCAACCTTATTTACGGTGCACCGGAGACAGCTATATGCAGCTGGAAAATGGGCCGGCTGCTACGTGCTTAAGTGACATACAAGAGCAAGAAAAACAGAGCAGGATGGATTCAGGATATATATATATATATATATATATATATATATATATATATATATATATATATATATATATATAAAAATGACCTTAAATGCGCTTATTTTAAGCTGTTGAAATCCATTGGAGCCGAAGATGTTTCTCAGTGCACATTCATGTTACAATTTCCCCTTCTGGACCGAAAATGATCATCTTTAATTCAAATAAACTCACAATGTTAGGTTTTTGTAACAGAGGTTCTGTCATCATACAGTACATTGAGGGGAAGGCAGGATTTAAAGAAATAGTGACCAAAAAAACCCTTGCGCATTCAGAATGGATTTTCTCATGCATATCACCAAACTACAACTTTTTTCGTCTATACAGTTAGCCTTTATCGGCACAAAATGGTAGTTTGTGAACGACAAAAAAAACCCATTAACATCCTTCAAAGATGCACGTAGCCTATGTCAACTTTAGACTGGCAACACTACAATGTCTTTGGTAGGCCTTTATCCCGCGCCAAAACAGTATTTTGGCGGCCGGATGAGTCCCACAAGTAGCCAATTATCGCCCTGTTTCAAACATCGTAGGCACATTGAGGTGAAGGTGGGATTCAAACCGAAGGAAAAGGAAGTTAATAAAAAGTAATAAATGCTCACACATGCAGAGGGTGTGGGATTGGGCATTGGCGGCCAATACTTCTGAGGTTCCAACCATGGCATTTTTATTGCTTTTGGAAGTTGGAAAATACCATCTAGGTGGAACATAAAGTTTTATAAATAATTATTCTTTTAGTGTCTAACAGCAAATATCCACATTTTATATTAACCCACATTTTTTTTCTTTATAGAAGTACAAAGTCCTATAATTGAAGCAGTGACACACAATAGCCAATTATACAACACAAATCAATAATGTCTCTGCACTATACTCCCCTCCTTATTAATATGGTTTGCTCTTGGGGTTTTTAAGCAGGTGCGAATCTGCGAAACTCTTTGGCTGTATCAAAGAGGAGAGTATGTACAGTGTCTTTCTCTACTAGTTTTCAGAAAGATAATTATACACTTTACATTCAGTTCTCAAAAGCTTAAAACGGTAAGTAAAATGGTCAGCGTTCAATAGAAATTGAAAATCGATAGCTCTGCACAACTAATCCTTTGTGCATACAATAACATAGGCTTGGCAAGTCAATCAATTGACTATTAATTATCAATCTAGGGTACTAGAGCCCCCACTGTCTATTATATAGATCAATATAGCTCCACAAAACATTGAATCATACTTTATTCTGTTTTCATATGTTAACACTTCTCACTATTTTTCAAGATGGAACAATTCGGTTGTTAACCAATTAACTAAACCTTGTGACAAACAATCAATTTTACATTTATTTTGAAATATTTGAGGAACATTCTTTAACATGTGTTGCTGAGGAAGGAATGATCTGAAATGGAATCAATTATACTCTGAAGGAAAACGGAAACCTTTCACAATTGATGCATATTAAAGCATGTTCGGCAGTACCACCATTCTTATTGGCATGCAGTCATTTGTCTGCACTACCAAGAGATGTAATAATTTCTGAGCTATGTCTTGGGAAGTTTCCTATACCATTTGGATGGTCAAAATTTCTTTTGCACTCAGAAGAACCTAGAAGTCAACATTTGGACACAATTTATTTTCCTTTACAAAAGCAGTCTTGGTTTTTGACTAAAATATGTGCATTGAGCTGTAACACTTTAAGGCTGTTATGATACATTTTTAATAGACGCTGCAACTAATTCAGGACAACATAGATGGATGGTTCATATTGAAATAATGCACCTTGACCCGTCATACTAATTTCTAAACTATTTAATGGATTTAAAAAGATCTAAGACAATGCACAATCTCCTTTAATTCTCCCCCTGTTTTTGAGCAGAAATTGAGTTTTGAGTGGTATATTGTGACCACAGATTGTGGTCTTGTGTCTACAACTGAACCATGATGTCAGTGTTCTGCAGAGCACTAAAGTTGCATACACAGGCGCTGAGTACAATGAGATTTCTAATGTATATTGTGACAACAGGAAAATATGTCAAAATAGTTTGATTATTCATTAATTATTTTAAAATTAAA